GGATGCTGCTATTTCAGTGACTCGCTCTGACGACATCTCACGTCTGAAGAGTCAAATCGGCCATTATGTGGCCTTCAACACCGCCTAGCAAGAGTCCGTGCTCAATCACGCTCCGAGTCGTTCATGCAATCTAGGTGCGTCTTTTTTCACTTATCTCTGCATGTACATCACTGAGATGTATCTACATATATGTTATTGTCTGCAACTGTCGCTGCTTGTCTGTACTACTTGTTTGTACTTGTCTCTGCTGTCCTGCGCACGTTTGCGCCTGGTGATTGTCTTTTCGTTCACCCGAGATTCGTTTGTATTCATTTGCGCTTGGTCATGCAATCTAGGTGCGTCTTTTTTCACTTGTCTATGTGTATACATTGCTGACAAGTATCTACATATCTATTTGTGAAGTTATGTACATTTACTTTTTGGCACTTCGTTGCGGCCACTTCGCGTGCTTGCACACATCTACACTTGTCTTTATGTGTCTCAGGCTGTGCTCGTTTGTATCCGGCGTCTTCAAGTTGTGCAATAGGTTCGATTTTTCGATTGATAATATTTATAACTAACTGATCGCATGCTCACTTGTTCACATTGCCATCACAGAAAATTTAGCGCGCGCGCCGTGGCTTGCTTGGGCCCAAGCCCCGGCTTTGGGCTGGCTTGGGCTCACGGCTCAGGCTTGAACTCGTGGATTTCTCATATTCCTGTCCTGGTGTCCGCTCTCGATTACCCGTACTCACATACATAGGCTCGGAATGATACACTAATTGTACCTCACTGCTTTGTACTACTGTTAATTCAATGCATTACCTTGTTATATCAGAACACAATTGCGATGTCTGATCAATCTGAGTGAAATTCAAATACTTGATGTACATAGCAATGTCTGATATATCGGTACACTAGCTTAATGCCAAACTTATGTCATATGGCAGTCACAATGCCAGAATTGAGTTTCCTAACATTGCCCGACATTGAGACCTTGCGCCGGATACATATGGCAGGTATGGTAGCTCCGACATGGCCATATATAGCCATGTCTGAGTTTCTACTTCAGTTAGATGACAACTTGCAGCGACGGCCCTCTCGTTTCGGCTCCATTACCTGGAACGAACGTGAATCTCGTTACTCACAGGCCAAGATCGAACTCTACGGTCTTTTTCGCGTGCTCAAGGCAACGAAAGTTTGGACAATAGGTGTCAAGAATCTCACAGTAGAAGTGGACGCGAAGTATATTAAGGGCATGCTGAACAACCCAGATATTCAGCCGAACGCTGCCATCAACCGGTGGATCGCGGGAATTTTACTCTTCGACTTCACGCTCAAACACATTCCGGGATCCAGGCACATTGGCCCTGATGGCTTATCACGGCGTCGCCGCGCACCAGAAGACGATGAAGACGACGAAGAAGACTTGCAGGATGTAGAGGATTGGATAGATGAAGTTCTCAGATGTGGTTTATGGGCTGCAATAGACTCGCACAACGGACGACAGGGAATGATGACGAAGACACAGGTTTTCGCATCTATGGAAACCGGTCTGAGTACTGACCTAGCAATCACGATCCCAAGTGACGAGGCTTCGCAGAAGCATGATGATGATCTTCGGGTCATCCAGTGCTATCTTGAGACGCTCGCACTGCCTTCGGGTATGCAGCGCTCTGACCGCACTCGCTTCCTTAAGTGAGCAGCACAATTTTTTGTTCATAATAAATGACTTTGGCGTCGTAATCCCACAGGTCGTCATCAGCTTGTTATTTTTCAGCTCGATCGTGCTCGAATTCTCCAGGAAACCCACGACAATCTTGGGCATAAGGGAATTTATTCCACACGACGCACCATTGCTGACCGTTTTTGGTGGCCATCCCTCGATTGTGACCTTGCATGGTACCTCAAAACATGTCATCAATGTCAGCTTCGCTCTGTCGAAAAAGTCATTCTTCCGCCAACAGTTGCTGTTCCCGCGCCACTCTTTCGAAAAGCTTACACCGACTCCATGTATATGCCGACATCTCACGGATTTTCATACATCGTTCAAGCTCGCTGTTCGCTCACCGCATGGCCCGAGTGGTGCATGCTACGAAAAGAGACTGGTCGCACACTTGGTGCATTTATTTTTGAAGAATTGCTGTGTCGTTGGGGCAGAGTGGAGGAAATTGTCACGGACAATGGCACACCGTTCATTGCCGCGCTAGACTGGCTCGCGTCTACATACCACATCCATCACATTCGCATTTCGGCCTACAACTCAAAAGCCAATGGTATTGTCGAACGTTCGCACCGCACGATTCGCGATTCGCTCGTCAAAGCATGTAATGGCGACATCACACAATGGCCAGTTTTAGCCCCGCACGTCTTTTGGGCCGACCGCGTCACGACTCGTAAATCAACGGGACACACACCGTTTTACATGGCACACGGCGTCGAACCCCTCCTTCCGCTCGATATCATCGAAGCAACCTTTCTTCTGCCGGACTTCGGTTCTATCCTTACCACAGACGAGCTCATCTCCCTACGTGCCCGCCAGCTTGCTAAATGCGACGACGACCTCGCACGTATCCATGAGCGCATTCTTGCAAGCCGTTATGCGTCTGTCAAAGACTTCAAGCGCCATTTCGCAAACACCATCGTAGACCAGACATTCAAACCCGGCGACCTCGTCTTGGTACTCAACAAGAAAATCGAACCGTCCTCAAATGCCAAGTGCAAGCCTCGTTATTTCGGTCCCATGGTCATTGTTGCGCGTACCTCAAACGGAGCCTACTACCTTGCCGAAGTTGACGGATCAGTGTCCAAACTTAAGTTCGCCGCATTCCGCATCATTCCTTATCACGCGCGCTCTCCAGTCATGCTTGAAGTCACACAATTCATTGACACGGACGCGATCGCAGGTCTTCCCGAGTCGTTTGATGCTTAGTTGGTCCTATGGATCAACCGAGGACGGTTGATATTTGTACTTGGAGGGAGGTGTAAGAATTACCAAACGTTTATCACCGGAACATGCCGATACTCCTCTCACCGCAACCACCACGTCAATGCCTGGACCGTTTGTCAAGCACGATACCTGACCCCTTTTATTAGTACCTATCCTTTCAATTCCTATCGCTCACTAAACCCTTCCTGTCGTTACTGTTCCTCCATTCGTAATACCGCCGTCTTCACCTTGTCAACAACTCTTATATCATTCTCTCGCTACACTATCAAATACAAACGCCACTCCCTTCAGCTACCGCTTTCACCGACCGTACACCGAGCCCTTGCCTTTAACTATTCTAGGATGACCCTTCCTCATCCTACAGTATAAGTAGCCCATGTACATTCCTAATAAGCAGCAGAATAGAACAGTAGATCCCCCAGAAGAACGCCCCGAAGAACCCGTCTCATTACCTTCTCTTATCATCGCTATAATGCGGTCACTCTCGTTTACTGATTCACGATATCTCTCGCATCCGTCATCCGTCATTTGAAGCTAACACTAATCATTATCATTCCTTCAGCAGTCTATCTACCCCCTTCGCACTCGCATCGCCTCTAGCTACGCACATCGTAGCTAACTTACAATACAATGATCCTCGGGATCAGTTTCAGCTCATTCTCGAGTTCACAGATACACTGCTACCAGGAACGGATGTGTACAAACTATACGACTGTATCCTCTCCACATGTACCAATCCCAAACGGGCATACACACATTTGTCTGTCGTTGCTGCTCTTGCGGACCCTTTACCAGTCTCACAAATCTCGAAACTTCTTGGCCCGGGTGAGGGCAGGGATCTCGAGTTAACGTTGATGCAGCTACGGTCTTTCATGGATATTCCTACCGACAGTAGCCTCCCTGTAAACATCTATCACTCGTCCGTTCGTGACTATGTTTCCGACCCATCAAACTGCAGCCTCCCTCAAGTACAACCCATTTCACCGCACTCCCTACTTGTACTTTCGTCTCTCTACTTGATGGTGCGCGATATTCCAGAAAATACGGCTCTCCTTGATGCACTCTCAGAATTGGAGAGGCATAGCCAAGTTATGCAGCCCTATGACACTAGGAGCTTGAAACAGTCATTAGCCTTCGTCGTCCAGCCTCCGGAGCCACTGCAATCTCTCCTAGGTCTATTATGGCTTCGGGGAGATCGCGGTTCGCGTTTCCAGTGCTGGCTAGGGACCTTAGACGGGCATGCTTGGCTGCAGACCCAAGAGGGAAGGGACTGGCTGTCAACTGAGAATGGGAAAACTTGGCTGCAGATTCAAGGGGGGAAAGACTGGTTGTGGACTGAGAGCGGGGAAAATTGGCTTCAGACGCAAGGAGGAAAAGACTGGCTGTGGACTGAGAGTGGGAAAGATTGGCTCCAGACTCAAGGGGGGGAAGACTGGCTCCAGACCCAGTGGGGAGAGGATTGGCTCCGGAGTCAGGGGGGGAAGGACTGGCTCCAGACCCAAGGGGGAGAGGACTGGCTCCAGACCCAGTGGGGGGAGGACTGGCTGGGGACCGAGAGCGGGAAAGATTGGCTTCAGACTCAAGGGGCGAAGGACTGGCTTCAGACTTGGGGGGGGGGAAGGACTGGCTACGGACCTGAGTGGGGCAAGACTGGCTACAGACACAGAGCAGACAAGACCATGTGCGAATGCAGACCGCGTGATATTGGCTGCGGACGGAGAGTGGACGGGACTGGCTAGAGACGGAGAGCGGGCGGGACTGGCTGAAGACAGAGAGTGGGAGAGGCTGGCTTCAGACACAAAGCGAGAAAAAGAGTTCACAGACACAAGTAGGAAACACAGGGCTGCATACCCCGTCTCGAGGCAGGCTGCAGGCCCATGGGGGGAAAGCTTGGCTGCAGCGAGATTGGCTGCAGACCGAGGGTGAACAGGACTGGTCAAAGACTGAGGAAGGGCGGGACTGGCTGCGGACGAAGGAAGGGTGGGATTGGTTGCGGACCAAGAGCGAGCAGGACTGGTCGCGGGGAGGGCGGGACTGGCTGCAGACTGAGGGAGGGTGGCACTGGCTGTGGACGGACGGAGGGTGGCACTGGCTGCGAACCGAGGAAGGGCAGGACTGGCTGCGAACCGAGGGAGGGCTGGACTGGCTGCGGACAGAGGGAGGGCAGGACTGGCTGCGGACAGAGGGAGGGCGGGACTGGTTGCTGGCCTGGCTGCGGACCGAGGGAGGCTGGGACTGGCTGCAGACTGAGGGAGGGCGTGACTGGCTGAAGACTGTGGGAGGTCGGGACTGGTTGCAGATTGAGGGAGGGCTGCACTGGCTGCAGACCCAGGGTGGGCGGAACTGGCTGCAGTCTCCGGATGCGCAAGACTGGCTGCAAACCCAGAGCGGGTGGCACTGGCTGCACACACCCCATGGCCAAGCATGGCAGATGACTTCTGCGGCGTCTTTCTGGGCGACAATGACAGATTTCTTGAGCACATTGGAAGACATCAGCGAGTACACAGTCATTCCAGAATTATCTTCACAACCAGCTTTTCAAGTCATCCATCAGTTTAAAAGCCTGCCGGATTTCTTGATATTTCCGGTGCTCCTGGCTTTACGGCCCCAGGATCATTCCACTTCCGCCATCCCAGAAGATCCGCCAGACATGGAGATCATCCATGCCATGACGGCATTTGCAACTTTCGCAAATGAAGCACGGGAACGAAGTCGATCAGCTTCCGACGCTTCCAACTACGCATGTCAAAACTGGGCCTTCCATCTCTCGCGTGCTCCGAATCCATGGGACATCAGGCTCAAACGTGCATTTAAGTTCTTCTGGGATTATCACCTCCTTTCCTGGCTCGAAAGGCAGTGGTGTTTGAAGGGCCTGCGGTCTTGCCTCGTTGTTTTATCTGAAGGGCAGAAACTTGCAAAGGTGTGTATCTTCAATGATTTTCGCGACTCAATATCTGACCTGCGCATATAGGAATGTCTCCTCCGAGCTCCAGGGCCATCTCAGTCACAAGTCTGAAACTCTATTTTATGCAACATTGTCCCACTGTCTTGTTATCTATCGCGCAATGCTATCCTTCTGTTGCGTTACTGCGGTGTTTACAACTTTTATACGCAGTGACTAATGTTTTTTCTCTGCTTCAGCATTGCCTGCGTTCGATCATTGACCGACTGTCATTGTGAATGTTCGGGAATACTATCCACTGGCATCCAATGAATGAACCCAATCCTTTGACCCCTGAGAAGTGATAGCCTGGGTGAGAGATTCGTTACTATTTCCATCGCAGGCACTGAGCTCCCCGATGTGATCACCACTTGTTGTCAATTCCCTTCTACTACTGCCTGCACTCTGCCGCGATGCCCGTTCATCGACTTCAACATACTAATGCAGTGCTACATGTCTCACAGACAAACCGTTGGAGTGGGGGACCCCCAGGCGAGCCGGGGCAGAGTAGATGTCACCCTGAGTCTCTGACCTAGGAATGTCACCACGGATCGTACCGTTACCACGTGTACAGTCCAGAATTCTAATGATGCTGAATTTGGAAGGATGATAGCAGACTGCAAGAAGACAGAAAACAGTTCCGGGAGTTGACGAAGCTGATCCGAACTGAATTGAGACCTTTCAATGACATGCAATAAATGCTTGCTCAGAAATTTGATGGTCACAACAAGGGTGACAAGACCAAGAGACAGAGAGGGAAATAAGGTATGTAGCCTAGTGTTGAAAACACGGCCACGCACGAGACGATGACGAAAGATATGCGACACATTCGCAATGATCGAGGACAACATCTACTTTTTTTTTTTTTTTTTTGATTCCAATTACTGTCCTATTGAGAGTCATACTCTATGGAGGACAATACTATCTAGTCTAGGGGACCCCCAGTGTCCCCGACGCATCTCTGGATCCACAAATGCCCTGGTGTGGAGCGTACTCCCACCAGTCCGCCGTTCCCGCCGGCCGTTTTAGACGCGCGATCCTACGAAGATGAGATGACTTTTTACAGGTGTGAACAGTGTATGTATCTAACAGATGAATAAACAGGTACACGTACTCGGCCGTTAAAACGGGCAGGTACAGGAATCAAGGTTGGATGCAGGGTTAATATGTTGTAAGAGACGGCCAGGGTTGGCGATTGGCGTCTTTTTTACAGCCGGCTGACTTAGACCAGTGACAGGTGGTGGTGATTCCATGTGGGCGAGTATGATTATGGTGTGGTATTATAGGGGGTGTAGGGCATGCAGTTCTGTTGAGGTCTTGTGTGGTAATTAGGAGCGGGGTGTTTGAGCTGCCGGTGGGTGTCAATTAGTGGAGGTGCAAGGAGGCGGTATTTCACCGAGGGTGGCTTTCAGTCTACCAGTAGCATTGAGGAATTTAACAAGAGGGAGAGTGGCAGAGGGGTCGGTGAGGAGAAAGGAGGTGGATGAGGCTTGTTGACCTAGGGCGTTGAGCAGGATGTGGCGGTTGTGACAGTAATGAGGGCATGCTAGTAGGAGGTGGTGTACTGTTTCTTCAATGTCTAGGCAATGGGGGCAAAACGGGCTGGTCATCTTGCGAATGCGATGGAGGTGCTTGTTGAGTGGGGCGTGGCCCGTGCAGAGGAACATGTACATGCTGGCGAGGCGCTTGGGAAAGGTAGCGGATAGCTTGATAAATGAGCATTTCAGGATAAGGGGGTCAAGTTCGTTGAATCTGTAGAAGCGTGGGGATTGGCTCCAGGAATGACCCCATTGCTCATTAATGACCTTGTGCTGTGACTCTTGAAGTGCTGATATGCTCAGTGGCAGGGATCAATGATGTAGGTAATGTGGAAGGTGATCGCTGGGGGAGTTGTTCTGACGTCCTTCTGCCACCAGTTTGGCGTGTTTGTCTACTTCCTCATTACCGTGTACTCCAACGTGTCCCGGAACCCAACGTATTGTCACCTTGAAGTCGTCATACTCTCTTGCGATTCTTCTCATCAATCTACGAAAATGGTCCACTAGGTAGGATCCAGGACGTGAGTAGAAGCTCTCACCAGCATAGATGGAGGCTTGGTTGTCGATGGATATGGAGAGAGGGAACAATGGGTTGCGTTCTGTGGCTATTAGCTGCGCTGCGAGGGTTAGTCCCACTTCTTCTGCCTCAAAGACAGTGTGCTCTTCCTCCATGCCAAGGTGGTAGTGTAGTGTTCTGGGCAGTTTTCCCCGCGTGAAAGAGTACAGCTGCTGCTCCCACTTGACCTTTGTATCTCGATCTGTCACTGTAGACTTGGATCAGGTCGGTGAGTTGCTTGTGTTCCATCACCACTTCTTCCTTGCTGACAGCTATGTGAGTGGTCCACAGGTTCTTGGCCAAAGGTGGGTGATGTGCTGGTATGAGGGTTTCTACTGTGTTGGGTGATATATCGAAGCAGTGGGTAAGTCAATGCAGGGAGGTGCAGTGGGCAGCGACATATCGTGTGGCCACTTTGTGGACTGGCACATAATACAGTAACATATACCCGTCTCAGACGGGCAGCCGGGCATGACAATGTACTGATAGAGACGGGCCATCCAGTGTGGGCCGAGGGTGTGGTGTATCCGAGGCAAACAGATGGGCCGGGGGTATATAGTATGGATGGTAATACAGGAATGTACTATATAGGATATCAACAATAGTAGTGAATCCACTGGGATAGACAAGTGGGCTGGAGTAATGGAGTGCAATGTAAACGAGTGGGCCAGTAAAGGAGGTAAAATGGAGATGGGTGGGTCGTGTGATAGGGCCAGTAAACAAGGTGCGTTTGAGACGGGTGGGCCAGTAAAGGATGTGCAATTGAGACGGATGGGCCGGAGGTGCACTTGAGACGGATGGGCCAGAGGTGCAATTGAGATGGATGGGCCAGTAAATGATGTCCAATTGAGATGGGTGGGCCAGACGTGCAATCAAGATGGATGGGCCGGTATAGGATGTGCACTCGAGACGGATGGGCCGGTATGGGACGTGCAATTGAGACGGGTGGGCTGGTATGGGACGTGCAATTGAGATGGGTGGGCCGGTAAAGGACATCCGGTCGAGACGGATGGGCCGGTATAGGACGTGCAATTGAGATGGGTGGGCTGGTATGGGACACTCATTGACTCATTGAAAGCCCACAATGTTGAGAGCATAATAGACTACTAATACAGATGACAACATGAAAAATATGTAGTAGTATTACTTCTCCGTATCACTGGAAGGCTTCTTAGCATGCCTAGTGCTCGCTGACTGACCATGTTGGAGGGATAGAGGTCCATATTGTCGGCATGACAAAGGAGCCGAGGTGGACTGACCATTGTCCAGCACATTTGATGGCCCTCTGGTGATCAATGCATGAAGGGTGCCAGGTGAAGGCATGGACCCCACTGGGAGAATGAGAGGTGGTACCGGTGGTGCATCACCCGGAGGAACAGATGGGCCGGATACTGTTGTGGTGAGTGCCGGGTTGATGGTGGAAGTGGATGGCGCCCGTGCTTGCCTTGCGACCGGTGAGCCGTCTTCAATGCCAATGAGATCACCACCGGTCTGGGCGCTCATCCAAGATGCATCCGGAGTGAAGACGTCGTTGGTCAACGTGCGACCGAATGCACTGATGGATGGGCTGGCGACAATGGGGGGTGGATTGAATGCCGGTGGGGTTGTTGCTGTCCCTTCATCGGACCTATCCCCCCTCATATACCTCACAACTGCTTGAAGTTGGACGGACAACTCAGTTATGAGTCTTTGGTGCGCGTCCACATCCCCCTGTATCCGGTCGATCTGCATGGTCATGGCAGCATCCGATCCTTCGGCGACTTCGATGCAACGCTCCAGGTGATCTTGCCGGACGTCAACTTCCATCCTATCGTGTGTCCAGAGTGCCTCCATATCGATGCGAATCTGGGCCAACATGGCCTCCATCTCCTCATTAGCGAGAGGGTGCTGGATGGATCAAAGGGGTCCGGAAGGTGCAATGGGGGAGAGTGGATGATGGACCGGAGGGATGGGTGAGTCCCGGATGTTGTCCTCTGGGGCCATAACCGGTGGTGGAGGTGGCATGTCGTCAGTGCCCGGTTCGATCCAGTGGTCTGCGGGGAAATCGTCTACCGATGTGAGAGGCGCTGGTTGTGGTGTGGTACCGCCGGTACCAGTCACTTCTGGAGCATCATTGATCATCCGGACATCGTCATCCTCTTCCTCTTGGATGGGACTGGGATGTCGAATATCCCTGTCTACAAGGGCAAATGAGCGCCGGAACCCTACAACTGGAAACAAGAGACTTACCTTTGCCTTTGGACGACTGCCCACCGGTCTTGCTCTGTCCAGTGGTCTTTGACCGGCTCATCTTGGAGCGAGTGGTGATGGCTCTTGCAGGTGGTGTAGCGGCGATGCTGGGGGTGATGGTGGTCACAGTGGTGCTGTCCGTGGACACTGGGTCGGGCCTGATGCATGCCATCTTCCACAGATGGCACAAGGTGCAACTTAGGCCAACCTCACCTTTCTTCATCAACCACAGGATGCACTGCACATGCTTCGACCGGCATCTCTCGCAATGAGGTAAAGGTCCATCAACGTCCGGCTATGACAGATTAGTATAGTAAAAATGATATTGACCGGATGTCTCACCGGCTGTTGGCCCTTGCCCTTCTTGCTGTGGTCCTTGCCCACGGGACATGTAGACTAATGAAATATGTTAGCTGTATGAATCACAGGTGCGATGAGAAATAAGACCTACAGGTTTGTGTTGTTTCCCCGGCTTCATGGTGGCCTGCATCAGGATGAGTGAGGCACCGGTAAGAATGAAAATGATGAACATACCTTTCGCTTGCCTTGGGTATCATCACCCTCCAAATCATTATCTTCATCTTCCGGAATCTCATCCGTCTCACTTCCCTCTGGTGCAGCGCCCTTGTTCTGTGGAAGGACAAGAATGTCTGGTAAATTGTGTCAGTCGATAGCAACTGTTTTTGAAGGCAATGAAGACTTACCTTGTGTTTGGAGGGGTTTCGCGTCGACTTCTGGCGCTGTTTGCTATGTCAGTAATGTTAAGTGAAAGAGAAGGAAAGAAACTTGCCTGGATGACTGGAAGATCATCAACATCAGTCGCCATCTCCTCATCCTCATCCTCATCCTCATCATCTTCTGGTACCTTTGCCTTTGCCTTCTCTTTCCCTTTCCCCTTCCCCTTTGCTTTCCCTTTGCTCTTCACCTTCAGCTTCACCTTGTCAGAGTTGGTGTCGGACAAGACTTCCCTTGACTTGAGGAGACACTTCCGGGCCCTCTTGAACTGACACACAGGGGGACTAGTACTGAGTTCTCGCTTGTGCGATTTGGAGGGTCCAGCCGGTGCGGTCACACCGGATGCTGTATTTCCAGGGATGCAAATGCTGAAACGGTGGGCTGGTAATGACTGACCAGAGGATGGAACAGGCTGAGGTGCAGGCACCGGTGATGGGCCTGGGACTGGGGGTGGGACTGGTGCTGGTGCTGGTGTCTTTGAGGGTGTTGGTGCAGGTGCAGGTGTGGTGACCACCGGTGCAGAGGCTGGGGCTGGGGCTGGTGCTGGTGCTGGTGCAGGTGCAGGTGTGATGACCGCTGGTGCAGGGGCTGGGGCTGGTGCAGGTGCAGGTGCAGGTGCAGGTGCAGGTGCAGGTGTGATGACCGCCGGTGCAGCACCCAATGTCTTACCATACAATGGATGCTTCATGCACATCTCCTGGTTGTGCCCAACGCGGTTCCAGTCCGGGACTTCCTGCCAGTTGAGTGGTGCGCCTCTGAGCACTGAAAGATCTCAGCTGCCATGGACAGCAGGCGAGGGGGGATGTAGGTAGCGACCCTCCCATGCGAATGAATCGCGTCATTCTGAGACCCTGGTATCAATACAGGCAATACACAGAAGGACGTCAAACATACCACTTCACGAGCAATCTTCCGGCTCAATCCCATTTTCTCTTCCTCCGACTGGGACCGGAGCACCTGTTCAGCCATCTCATTGAGTCTGGCGATCAGAGCGATGAGCGCCTGGTTGGCAGGCAGCAGGGCAGAAGCAGAAGCAGAAGTGGAGTTGGATGACATCTGGGTAGTTAGAAAATTGCACTGGCAGATGGATGAGCTGAGTATCGAGTGAGAGCAAGTGAAAAAGACACCCGGAAGCGACCAATACAAACACTTGTGAAAATTTTTCATCACCGGATGCCCGGGCCATTGTTGCCACGTCATCATTATCTATTTTTAGCTACTTATTTCTCATTGTGTGGATGCTATTGTTGACACGTCATCTTTATCAAATTATCGCCAGCAGAGCATCCGGCTACAGTAGAACACATTCATTGTTCCGGTGATCGCATGAAGAACATCAATTTAAAGAAGGCACCCAACACAAGGAAGAAAACCATGTCATCCTCGGCGATTGCGCAAGAATATTTACAACTATCTAGTGAGGATGAAGGTGAGAAATCATTGCCTTTGGGAATGTACCTGTTGACATTATCCGGCATACTAGTATTTGACTTATTAGAGCCGGAACACGAGGAGCGCACTTACAACGACCCTTTGATGGATTGTTCAAGCATGGCTGAATGTGAGTTTTATCTCATTCCGGCCTGTCACACTGACAATTGATATTTGTCTTGGAGATTTAGATATCCTGTCAGCTCATGACCGGTGGAAGGATGGTAAAACATTGAAGATGTTGGAGATGACCGCCGAGGAGCGCCGGTCATTAGACATGGGATTTCCATTGTCTGATGATGACCGGATGTCTGACACTTTGGACATGCAATTCCCCACACTGTCTGACGACGACCGGTCATCCAACATCGCACCCGCACCGGAGTTACAGGAATATCAGATGTTGGACCTGGGATTTCCTCTGGAGTCAGAAGCGTTAGACATGGAATTCCCACTGGAATCAGACGATGCACTGGACATGGAATTTCCTCTGGAGTCTGACAATGATGTATTTGACATGGGATTTCTACCCGAATCCGGAGATGATGGACTCTCCCTTCACCCGGCAAACTCTCTGCAAGTCAGTCATCCGGCCGGTAACACAGGTACTGGTGCTAGACTATATCTAATACATCAACTTGCTCATTTTTCAATTCAATCCATGATACTCAATTAGAAGGCAGCCCTCTGGAGATGGGTTTTGACACAGATCCGGTAGATCATGTTCCGGACATAGGGAACAGTATTCAACCGGTAGAGAGCCCCTTGGAGATGGGTTTTCAAGCGGATCCGGTCAATGAGTTTCCGGATCAGTCATGTAAGTCTTCATTTTGTCAGATATTAAATGATTAATCACCTGCATTCAGTAGCCGTCAGTCAACCGGATCCCATTGGGTTTGTTATTCAGCTGGGCGGTAGGTGATTTGCAGGTTGCAGTGCACCGGTTGGAGATGGACAGGGATGGTGGTGCAATTTCGCCAGAAGAGGCCTTTGCAAGGGAGCAAGTCCTTGGGTTCACTCGAGACTTATTGCTGGCATGTCAACTGATATCGATACCTCAACTGTCAACATGATGTATCTATCCGGTCAAGCACTATCTACACCGGTCTACAATACTTGTAATATAAAATGTCCATCTATCCAAATCATTACCTTTGCATATAGTGAGCTTTATAAGATGCCTTTGCATTTCTACTGGAGCGTTTTGGCTCCAGATTGGTAATGCGGGCTTCCTGTCCTGCAGTTTTCTTGCCGGTGGCCTTTGGAGGGGAAGGAGGCGTTGGTTCCGGCACCGGTCGCTTTTGAATTTTCATGGTCCGGACACCTGATGCAGGACCAAATGAGCGACTTGTAGATGCATGGTGTGAGGGCAGCGGATGACTAGAACTGGTACCAGGTATTGTCTTCTGATGGTCCATTGCTCTTGACAATGAGTTTGGATTTCTTTACCGGTGGGTGAGAATCCTGCTGCTCTGATTCAGATTGCACCAGATGAACCGGTGCTGATGAGACTTCATTGCGCCTGACAGTCACCTTGGATTTCTTGACCGGCAGGGGGAGAATCTTCCGGCTCTGAATCAGATTGAACTGGAGGAACCCTGCTCCGCTTGTTGGTTGGGTGAGACTTTGAAGGTGGCGATGGGACTTCATTGCACCTGACAATCATCTTGGATTTCTTGACCAGCGGGCGAGAGTCTTCTTCCTCTGAATCAGATTGAACCGGAGGAACCCTGCCCCGCTTGTTGGTATGTTTGGACTTTGAAGGTGGACATGGGAGAACTTCTTCCTCGTCTTCTTCATCATCTTCATCTTCTCCTTCTTCCTCCTGCTCATCTTCTTCTTCCTTGTCTCCTTCCTCCTCCTCTTCATCTTCTTCATCTTCTTCTTCATCACCCTCATCCTCACTACTTGACTTCTTTTCCTCCCTCCTGCTCGCCTGTCTGGTTGACTTTTTGACCGGAACCCTGGTCTCTGCTGCTGATTGTCTGAGTCCGGTGTCAGGAATCCTTGCCTGAGATTGTTTCTACCGGTTCTCTCATCTTCTTATCATGGCCTTCCCAGGCTTTGAATTCAAAGGTTGGGCGAACCTTGTCCTTCTGTCTCTGACACCAGAACTCTAAGAGCCGGTCGACTTCAACTAACTGAAGCTTTGAAGGTTCCTTGATCTTGCCACTGGTAGGTAAAAACTTGGCCTCAACGAAGTTACCCTGAGCATACATCACTGCGGACCATGGCACAGATGCCTTTGCCCTTTGGCTGCAAAACCCTGAAAAATAGCTGGTCAGTTGATCAACACTCCAGATGCATGATTTGTGAAACTGACTGTAGTGTTTTGTGAGGAACATCCAGATGAGATGTTGCTTGCTCTCTAAGTTAAGGTTCTGAACATCCGGTATTACCGGAAGCCCATAGGTATCCACCTCCAAAGGATAATCATCCTTCTTTCCCCTTGGCTTTCTGCTCTTCTTCCCATCCCCCTCATCGTTGTCGTCATCTTCATTCTGGTCAACTCCTGGTATCATCCCCAAGTGTGATAAGTGCCTGATTGAATGATGCAAGATTGTGGAAAAAGAAGCTCACCGAACTCTTCTCCAGCATAGGCATTCCACTCTGATATCATGGGCTTCCAGTCCTTTGTACCTGTAAAACTATTGCCCTCCAACTTTTCATTGAAGTCAATTCTTCCAACCGGATCAGGCGATCTTTACCGGTTGAGGGTGAAATTAGAACTCACCCATTGATCCTCACTTCGCCTTCCTTTGTTTTCCACGTGGACAATATGAATATCCTCATACCAGCGTGCCTCCATAACTGAGTTGCCAGGTCCTTCATCATACCGGGTGCTTTCTTCTTTGCAAACTCGGCCTGGACCTCTGTAGGAGGACCATCGCTAGACCTACTCTATCACAGTCTGCTTTGCTTCCTTCAGCTGCTCTTTCGATAGACTGGCCATGACTGCAGTGAGGGTTGGCTGGTATCTTTTGATGAATTCCTCCAATCCAGGCCTTGCTCCAGTCTTTTCAATGATCTCCTCCTTGTGCTGCTGTTCTATCACTGACTGGGCATTCCATTTCTGACCCAACTTCTTTTTGCGAGTCTTTTCAGTTCTCTGGTTATAGAATCACTCCCGGTACATCTTGATCCATCATGAGAAAAGTCAGCAGTCATGTATAACATTAGAAGATCAACTGCTCACTGTTTTCCTCTTCTTCAATAACTGGGCATGCATAGCAGGGGCATGCACTTTGGCCTCTTTTGTGGCCGCCTTCAGAATAACTTTTCTATCCTCAGTGGCTGCTTCCTTCCATTTTTCTAGGTGAGATTGTAAGACCAGCACCTCTTCCTCTGTCAATTTTTGCTTCTTAGTCTTTTCTGGGCTGTCCACTGATGAGTTGGATGGGGGCATTGCAAAGTAGTTGAAGGGTTGGTAGACAAAAGCATGTATGTGTATCGCACAGTATTAGGTCACTTAAGCAATGTACCTGATAGCAAACCGAACAAGAGATTATCTGCCAGCAAGTCAACACTCATTTATTGGCATGATACCCTCAACATCTCATGTGTTTCCGGTCCATATAATTTAGAAATGTAAAAACACACAGACTTGGACCTTTATCATATAGTATATGAGCAGCATACAGCTATACCCTCAAACATTGCATACAGGCCCTATTCAGCTATACCCTATGACTTGCTCGAGTAAGTGTCATCACAAATGACTTTGGAGGCCAGCATGAATGCAGATACATACAGCCGGTCTCCTGAACATCCCCCAGGCAGTGCTTCAAGTGCTGGAGGAGGACAAGAGCAGCAAATGTGACAGAGCCATGCAGTTTGGTGTGGTGCAAACCATAGGCAATGAAATGTTGCAACTTGACTTGAGAATTCAAAGATGATAGGGGATACTGAGGACAAGCAAAGAGATGAATAATAAAATATGTGCACAAATGAGAAGCCTGTTCATGTCCATAGAATGGGTTATTTGGTTTGAAGTGTTCCCTGGAGCATGTTTTACAATGCCAGTGTCCTCACTGAAGTTCATGCAATGTGTTCATATCGTCTCACATACATCATCTAACCGGGAAGTATAATTTTCTGGCAGTGACACTGAATGCCATAATCCATCAATTATTGTTGTGATTGCCTACATGCATCCTCTAACTCATACCTACTGCTTCAGCCTGAGCTCCTGTTATAATACCTGAATTACTTCTGAGACCAACACCCAGTGACACTGAGTAGAAAGAAGTATATGTTACTGCCAGGAGCCTCTTAATCTTGAACCTTGAAATGTCACCAGTGACTCCAACCTATATATATTCCTAAATGGAGAGATATTTTGGGACTTCATTATCCTTTATGGTCATATGACAATGATCTGGTTGGATTATCAAATCGGTCCATTTGCTCCGGTAGGCACATGACTGTTGCTGAATGACTAACAACAAGGCAAAATATCCTTTATAGTAATATGACACCAGAACAATGATCGGTTGGATTATAAAATCAGTCCCTTGCTCTGGTAGAACTTCACATCAGGTTGCTGAATGACTAACAGCAAGGGGATATGTCCTTTATAGTAATATGACACCAGAACTATGATCCGGTTGGATTATCAAATCGGTCCCTTGCTCCGGTAGGCACATAACTTCAAATCTGGTTGCTCCATGACTAAACAAGAGAAAATGAGCTGATGCCGACGGTTCAGAGTTGATGGAAGCACGATCCAGTGGAGTTGAGTACCTCCCAGTCATCAAGCTTAAGTGCACTCCCTGGTTCAACGATCCTTTCCGGTGGTGGTATCAATATGGCAAAGACTAAACAAACAGGAATCACATACACTCCTCCTATGAAGAAACAATTGCCTCAGCTGTATAAGCTCAAGGAGAAAACTACAGCCAGAGGATCCAGATCGTCTTGGGTGAAAGACTCATGGTCTCCGAAAGCAAAGTCGGTAACATCATCGCCGATGAAATCTCCCTCAAAGCAAAAATCCGGGTCCTCTCGGATGCTGTTAGGTACCATGCCGGCTCAAGAGGCAGAGGGGTCGGGGCTTGGCTTCAGCTCTTGCACTGCGCCCTTAGCCGAGTACGTGCCCCGAATTTGGAGCAGGTCCGACGTTGTCTGACGATAGGATGAATGGACCGCTTTGGTCTGCTTTGAGGGTCGGGGAGTAAGAGCTGCGAGTGGTGGGCTGACTAGGAGCGGAGCGGAGAAGACAGGGGGTTGATGTGGAGGGTGGATAGGGCAGGGGGAATGTTTGGCAGAGGCGGAGAAGGCGGGGGATGATGCAGAGGGGCAAGGGAGAATATTGGATAGGGGTGGAGTATATGGGAGAGACTTAGAGCACAGCTCTAAGTCGGAGCAGAGGGTCGGAGGGTCGGAGGTGACAACAAGTTGAAACTTGTGTCCAGAGTGGGCAAGGTCCTACTGAGAATTCTCACAAGTAGTAACTGCGAGAAGACAAGTAATATTAAGACTAAGGAAAAATATCTAAGTACAGGATATGTTATATACTTCTATGTGAGGCAGTGATCAGGATAACTATGTAGTAAAGCTATGTACCAAGGATATAGTTTGTAAGTACTTTACATAGGCGAAGACATAAGTCGGAGCGGATATCAATATGTATGCGTCGGATCAGCGATCGGGCGGTAATAGGAATTACCAGTGATCCGGAAGTAAGGGTCTATGTACCGAAGGGGGAAGTGTATGTCTAAAAGGGGAAAGGGATCCAGTTGAATGGAGAGGTTTATGGAAGGGGACTGGTTGAGTGGTTGAGCAGAAGCGTAGGGCGGAATGTGGGTTTGTGATAGGATGGAGCAGAGGATGGATGGGGCAGAGGGGGTCGGAAAGCAGAGCAGATATCAGTATTGGAGCGGTTGGATCTGGTATATGACAGTATCCCCCCCTTAGGGCCGAGCCCTCGAGGCCTAGAGGACCGAAGAACCGGAATGGGGATGTTATGGAGCGGGGGCGGGTTGGGGTTTATCGGGATATGCAGCATGAAAATCTCTGACCAACTCAGGAGCGTGTTCTAGCTTGGTTGCTAAAATCCAGGAAGTCTCCTTGTCGGTGCCTTCATAGCCCATCCATCATACTAGATATAATAATCGGCAGGAGCGGCGCCTCTGATCGATCTTGGTGTCTAGGATTTTGGAGATCTCATATTCTGCTTCTCTGTCGACTTCTATCGGCGGGGGCGGAGGTTGAGTATGGTTGGGAATGGTATTGGGCATAGCGGGTTCTAATTGCGAGACATGGAAGACAGGATGCACGGAGTTCATGGAGTCGGGGAGGCAGATGGTGAAGGAGAGGGTACCTGGTTGCGCGATGACGACAAAGGGTCCGAGATTTTTTTCCGACAGCTTCTTGGAGGGGCGGGTGGAGCGGAAGTATTTAGCTTTGACAAATACTTGGTCCCCAACATTGATCATCGGAGTGGGGAGCCATTTGGCGTCAGTGGGGGCCCTGATAGCGGATCTGAGTGGAGGACATTTCTTCTCGGAGGAACTGGTGAAGTCCGTCAAGGTCTATGGCATATTCGCGGGCACGGGCGGACAAGAGGTCGCGCTCTGGGTGAACAGAGATGCTCGGATGGTAACCTTTATTCGCGAAAAATGGGGAAACTCCGGTAGTCGCGCTAGGCGTGTTGTTGTAGGAAAATTTCACCAATGGAAGTAGTTCCGCCCAATCATCCTGCTGATAGTTGCAATATATGCGGAGGTATTGCTCGAGGGTCTGGTTAGCACGCTCGGTTTGTCCGTCACCTTCTGGGTGATAGCTGGAGGTGAAGTGGAGATTAATATCCAGCGCTTTGCCCAAGGATCAGAAAAAGTGAGAAACTGAACTCCGTTCTGCGGTCGGAGGTTACGTGCGCGGGTACTCCATGCTTAGAGAACACATGCAGTAAAGAGAGTCAGGCGAGGTTGGGGGAAGTAATGGTATCATGGGTCAGAACAAACACCGCTTGCTTGGATAGGTGGTCAATGACTACGAGGATGGCAGTAAAGCTGGCAGAGGGCGGAAGTTGTTCAATAAAATCCATGGAGATGGAATCCCATGGTCTCTTTGGAATGGGGAGCTGCTTGAGTAGGCTGTAGGGTTTGTGTCGGGGAACTTTGGCACGGGCGCAAGTGGTACATGATTTTACATAGTCTCTGACATATGTGTGGATACCTGGCCAGGTATATTCTCAACGGATGAGCTCTAGTGTCCGATTTTGACCAAAATGGCCCGACAGGGGGTGATCGTGCATATTGCGGAGTACGCAGAGGTCATTAATATCCAGGACATAGATGCGATCGTCACAGCGGAGGAAACCTGCTTGGTCTACCGCCCAGCAGGGGCTGGCGGGAGCAGTCAGATGGAGGGAAGCGATGGGGTCGGAGGGCAGGGTGGAAAGGATATCCTGTCGGAGCCGCTCAACGTCCATTAGTATTGTGGTGCGCAATACTGGTATTTCTAAGGAAGAGGCTTGTAGGGACAAAGTGAGCTGTTCATTAGTAAATACTGGGCGGAAATTATGAGGGTTAACTCGAGTGTAGTCCTTATTCCCCTCTTTGGGATAGACGTCCCAGCGTCTAGTGAGGGAATCGGGTTTGGCTCCGAGCTTGCCAGGGCGGAAGCGGATGGTGAGGTTGAACTGGTGGAGGTACTCTGACCAGTGGGCTTGGCAGGCGGGAGAGGAGTTTGGTAGTGGCAAAATACTCAAGATTTTTGTGGTCGGTTATCACATCGACTGGGGTTAGCGGAACCCTCCAGGTAGTGCCAGCCAGGAGTGGAAAGCTTCATAAAGGGCTAGGAGTTCTTTATCATGAGTATCGTAATTAAGCTCTGGCACCGACAGAGTGCAGGAGTAAAAAGCTACTGGGCAGAGCTCCTGGTCGGGGCATATGATGGATAGGATGCCCACGACGGCGTAGTCGGAGGCGTCGGTCTCAACAACTATTGGTACGTCGGGCATCCAGTGCGTGAGGATCAGGGGCGGAGGTGAACGATTTTTCAAGGACTCGAAGGAGCAGCAGGCATTCTTCAGAAAAATTCCACAGGGCAGTCTTTGCGGGTGAGGTAGGGTGAGCGGGACCACGAATGTCGGAGTAGTTAAAAATGAACTGGCAGGTAAAAATTCAGCAAAGCCCAGGAAGGACTGAATATCCTTAACCTTCCTTGGTTCAGGGCCAGTCGGAGATGGCTTGGATTTTTTCAGGGTGACAGGTACAGTGGCTCAAAAAAGTGTCCTGAATGTTTATGCATTTTCAAGTAATTGAACAATAGCAAGGCAGAACCAAACAATGACCAATGGGTATAGGGACATGTCTGGAAGCTCTATATCATGGCTCAAATCTGGGATATATAGCGTGGGAACTCGACCATATATAGGCAAGCTATGGTAATTCTAAATACATGACTCATTCGGACACTTTTTTGACTTTTTATTGAAATCACATAATCAGACCATTCATACATTATACTCTTAATTAAAGCGGTGTCATAATGATAATATGGTCTGATTTCAATATTATTTGAATATATAAACCCACATAAGATTATGAAATTCAACATAATCATCATGAAGCCCATCTCCTCTGCTCACAAGGATAATATCCTTGTTCTCTGTACCTCTGGTTTATCTACTAGGCAAATTGCCTCAAAAACTGGTCTCAGCAAGTCTACTATTACTACAGTCATAAAGCAGCACATGCCAGAGAAGGAAAATCATCAAATGGGATGTCCTCCCAAGCTTACTCCACAGAACAAAAGAGCTATTGTTCACCAAATTCTATCTGGCAAGGCTTCAAATGCTACCCAAGCTACCAAGTTCATCAATTCCATCATCTCCACTCCTGTCTCCACACAAACTGTTAGAAACACCCTCAAGGCAGCCAATCTTAAGGCTGTAAACAAGAAGAAAAGACCTCTTCTCTCTGTAGCTCATAGGAAGAGAAGACTGGCCTTTGCTTTAAAGCACCAACATTGGACTGTGGAAGACTGGAAGAAGGTTATTTGGTCAGATGAAATAAAAATCAATAGAATGGGGTCATATGGCCAGGAATATGTGTGGAAAAAGGCAGGAGAACCATTAGGAGAAAGAGAAGTCAAGGGTACACTGAAGTTTGGAGGAGGAAGTATGATGGTATGGGGTTGTATGGCATGGAGATTCTTTATGAGGTGGAAGGATGGATGAGTGCAGATCAGTACATCTCCATTCTAGAGGAGTGTCTACTCAAAAGCATGCAGAAGTCAGGAATTGATGAAGAAGACATTATCTTTCAACAAGATAATGACCCCAAGTACACTTCAAAACTGGCTACAACATGGTTTGAAGACCATGATATCAATGTTCTATCATGGCCAGAACAGTCTCCAGACCTCAATCTCATTGAACATCTCTGTGGATTACTCAAAAGACTACTTGCTGCCTATCAAGATCCTCCACAGGGGCTATTTGAACTATGGGAGAGAGTTGCAGCAGAGTGGAAAAAGATTGCTGAAGAGAAGCATCAAAAATTGATAGAAAGTATGCCTAGGAGAATTGCAGCAGTTATTAAAGCCAAGGGGGGTAGCACCAAGTACTAAAATCATAGAATAGTCTTGGTTAAATACAAAGTCAAAAAAGTGTCCAAATGAGTCATGTGTTTAGAATTACCATAGCTTGCCCATATATGGTCGGGTTCCCACGCTATATATCTCAGATTTGAGCCATGATATAGGGCTTTTAGACATGTCCCTATACCCTTTGGTTATTGTTTGGTTCTGTCTTGCTATTGTTCAATTACTTGAAAATGCATAAACATTTGAACACTTTTTTGAGCCACTGTAAGTCTGGTCGGAGAGAGGAGGTAACCCAGATACTCAACGGAGTCAGAGTGGAATTCGCATTTTTCTGGTTTGGCATATAGCGAATGCTGTCGGAGTCGCTGGAGGACTTCGCGGACATGTTCCTTGTGAGCAGTTAGGTCGGAGGAGTAGATGAGGATATTGTCCAGATACACGATGACGCAGATATCGAGCATATCCGCAAATACACTATTAACAAAGCGCTGAAAAGCCGCCAGAGCATTGGTTAATCCCTCTGGCATCACCAACCATTCATATGAACCATAACGCTGTCCGAAAAGCGGTCTTCCACTCAGTCTCCTTCGGAGATGTGGACGAGGTGGTAAGCCGATCAGAGGTCAATTTTGGTATAGATCTTGGCCCGACTAGGGGAATCTAGGAGGTCGGCGATGAGCAGGAAGCGGATAGCGGTCTTTCTTAGTGATATTATTGAGTCCTCGAAAATCGACGCAGAGGCGGAGGGAGCCATCCTTTTTCTTGACAAAAAGGACCGACGCCCCGTGGGGGGAGGATGAGGAGCGGAGGAGACTGGTCGCAATATTCTCAGTCTAGGAATTTGTGGAGAGCTTCAAGCTCGACTGGGGAGAGGGAATAAATGGTGCCGATAGGTGAAGCGGCTCCGTCCTCCAGATCGATCTTGAGATCATAGGGGCGATGCGGAGGAAGTTCGCTGGCTTTGCCTTTGTCGAAAATATCCGCAAACTCGTGGTAGTCGGAGGGAACACCAGCAAGGTTGACTGGTTCCGATGACAGAGTAGCGGAGCGGAGGCCTGACACCGGTGGGGCGGAGGTAGACACTGAACTGTACCAATCCCTCTAATTTGCAGGCCCAACAAAATGCGACCGCATTTATCAAGGAAATATTGGGAGGGGTATTATCAGACGGAGGAGCAGGAAAGTGGAGGAGGGGAAGGTGAGGTCAGAGGCGGGGGAACCGCCTGTGCCAAGGGAGGTGACGTTGGGGGGCATGGCATTCCATGTGATGTCGGTCGGAACTGTATGCTGCCCAAAACCCAGTCAATCAACGGATTGTGTCGGGTGAGCCAGCTATATCCTAAAACAATAAAACAAGATGAATCCAAAGGAGTTATGTAGAACGTATCAGAGGTGACCTCGCCGGAGGGAAAGCGGATAAGTAAATCTACTGCTTCAGTAATAGTTGCGTTAGAAGTACCATCAAATAAATGGAGCGGAAGCGGAGGAATGGTGTACATAGGGATTTTATGTTTTCTAATAAAGTCAGTTTCTATAAAACAGTGAGAAGAACCACAATCTAATAAAGTGGGAAAAGCGATAATGTCGGAGTAAGTGGAAAGGGAAACAAGCGGTCTAAGAGAAGTCGGATTTAAGAGTGGCAGCATTGAGGCAGAACTCCTGTGCACGGGCGGAGCCTATGCAATCCTCCCCCCATGCGGAGATGGAAGGATCACGGCCTATTTTTTTGCTTCAGCAGAAGCCTCCTGTTTGGCTTCAGGAGTCAGGGCAGCGGAGTGGACTGCGCGGGAGGTTGATTTGGTGCATTTCTTGATGAAGTGACCGGTCGCACCACAGAAGAAGCAGAGCCTGTGCTCGCGGCGGTGCTTATGTTCTTCGTGGGTAAGTCTTCCGTCCACCCTCAGCTTTGGAGGAGGATTGAGGATATCTGAGACAGGAGTTTTAGGCATGATGTTTCAGAAGAAGGATAGGGGTTATTTCTTATTAGTATACTTCGGCTAAGAGGAAGTCTTAATATACTGTTAGGTACCGTGCCGGCTCAAGAGGCAGAGGGGTCGGAGCTTGGCTTCAGCTCTTGCGCTGTGCCCTTAGCCGAGTACGTGCCCTGAATTTGGAGCGGGTCCGACGATAGGACGAATGGACTGCTTTGGTCCGCTTTGAGGGTCGGGGAGTAAGAGCTGCTAGCGGTGGGCCGACTAGGAGCAGAGTGGAGAAGATGGGGGTTGATGCAGAGGGTGGATAGGGGCAGGGGGAATGTTTGGCAGAGGCAGAGAAGGCGGGGGATGATGCAGAGGGGCAAGGGAGAATATTGGATAGGGGCGGAGTATATGGGAGAGACTTAGAGCACGGCTCTAAGTCAGAGCAGAGGGTCGGAGGGTCGGAGGTGACAACAAGTTGAGACTTGTGTCCAGAGTGGGCAAGGTCCTACTGAGAATTCTCACAAGTAGTAACTGCGAGAAGACAAGTAATATTAAGACTAAGGAAAAATATCTAAGTACAGGATATGTTATATACTTCTATGTGAGGCAGTGATCAGGATAACTATGTAGTAAAGCTATGTACCAAGGATATAGTTTGTAAGTACTTTACATAGGTGAAGACATAAGTCAGAGCGGATATCAATATGTACGCGTCGGATCAGCGATCGGGCGGTAATAGGAATTACCGGTGATCCGGAAGTAAGGGTCTATGTACCGAAGGGGGAAGTGTATGTCTAAAAGGGGAAAGGGATCCAGTTGAATGGAGAGGTTTATGGAAGGGGACCGGTTGAGCGGTTGAGCAGAAGCGTAGGGTGGAATGCGGGTTTGTGATAGGATGAAGTGGAGGATGGATGGGGCAGAGGGGGTCAGAAAGTGGAGTGGATATCAGTATCGGAGCGGTTGGATCTGGTATATGACAGATGCTCCATGAAGGTCCTGACTTTGACTTTGACCAAGGTGACATCCCCCAGCCCAAATTACCAAAATCTCTGGCAAGCAGCAGTCATCCTCATTTCCAGAGTCTGGATCTGACCGGATCATACAGGGTCAGAATGCATATCTCCGGCAATGGAAGGGCAAGTTCAAAGACTATATAAACTTACTCATGGTCAGAGAAGCCCCTCTGGCAGACCGACTTTGCTCAGTGTGCAAGAAGGATGGGGTGTATAAATGCCATGGCTGTTTCAATGAGCCCCTCTTTTGCACAGACTGCTGCAGAATCCAGCATCAAAGACATCCATTCCATCGCATCAGTCAATGGACTGGATCATTTTTTCAAGAAACTTCGCTCATTAAAGTCGGCCTCCACATTCACCTCGCTCATGACAGCACTCCATGTCCCAGCAGCACAGATTACATGTCAGACGTCTTTGAATGGTCAGATACCAATGAAAATATAGACTACAACAACTATCCGGAGGGACCTTCTACCCCACCGGTCACAAATTCAGATCATCCGGCCATAACTGTAGTGGACAAGTCCGGAGTTCACTCTCTTTCCATATGGTATTGCCACTGCCCTGGTTCTCTCAACCAAGATATGCAGCTCTTCCAAGCAGGCTTGTTCCCAGCTTCTTTCACCAGACCAAAAACTGCATTTACATTCTCTGTCTTGGATGACTTTCTGCTAGACAATCTCAAGTGCGGGACATCAGCAATGAATTACTACAGCAAAATTAGCAGACTAACCTCAAGCATCTTTCCACTGATGGTTCCAGTAAGCTAGGTGTCATTTTCTGTACTTGACCATCCTGTCATTAAAGAACAATATCTGTAGGATTGCTACAGAGAGCTCATGAGAACTTCCAGGCAGTGGCGACAATGCAAGCTTTACAAGTGGCATGGATTTGCCCACAAAGATGACCAGCCAACGGCCGGTGATCTCGCCCTATTTTGCCCTGCATGTCTGCAACCTGGGATAAACTTGGACCTGTCTACCGGTGTAGTCACCCAGCCTGACGATGCACCTTCTTGGCTCATCACCAGGTCTTTGGTCATGGATGGTAATTTTAAAGCCGAGCACATGCATCCGGTGAATCCATCTGACGAAGTATCATTGATGGATGGTCTCGCATTCATGGTCTCCGATGAAAGATACAAGAGTCATTTGTCCATTGCTCAAGACCATGTCCAAAAGTCAGATTGCAACAATCACCAGGCGGTCAATCAAGCAAACGCCTCCCGGCAAAGGCTGGAAGCCACTGGTATAGGAGGGTGTGCATGTGCACGGCATGGATGTTTTGTCCCACATTCCATGGTGGATTTTCAGAGGGGTGAAAGGTGAGTACGCATCACATCCGGTCACTTTGATCTCTGGGCTTACAGGTCTTACCGGGAATAATCAGGCAGATGAACATGGACTATGCGTTGAGTCAAGCACTCAACTATAAGACCGATGGAATCTCTCGAGCCATAACTTTCTATGACATAAATTGTCAGTATAACAAGTATTTGAAGGACCGGATCACTTCCAGTATATATCTTTCCATCCCCATTGGCATGGATATCATTCCCGGAATAGGTTTGTGGCATGTACATGGCCATCAAGGCAGCTGCTTTGTCCGGTATGCATCAAATTTCATCCACAGGGCTGGCAGGATAGACAGAGAGATCATGGAGACCCTCTGGGCACCTTTGAATATCATCTCCCCATCAGCCAGGGGCATGGGAACCCCGCATCACAAGGAGGTATTGGATTATCAGATGAATGATTGCAACTTCATGAAAATGATTTGCATCAGTAAGTCGCCCACCTCCGGATGTTCAAATATATTCCGGTCTCATACATGATACTTTCCGGCTGATTCGCCCTGTAGCTAAGTTTCTCTGCAGAAAGTTAAAAGGGGCAATCAAGGGTGCTGTGGAGAGCAAAATTGCATTCCAAAATCTCAGTGAAACAGCTCACCCTGACATGGTCATTCTTTGGGAGGCAGAGGAGGCACTCGCTCATGCGAACAGACTGGATGATCCGACAGCTATGGACATCTATGAGGTCCAGTTGGAAAAGGGTAAGTGTCCACTTCTACCACTCCTCCGGTAGGTCTGATCACGTTCTGATTATCATCCAGCCATGTGCAGCTCCCACTAGAAAACAGCAGGAGTTGCACCTCCTGCAGGCTCAAAATCGCCCGGAACATCTGGTCGCCAAGGAGCTGCCACCTGGCTTGCAACCAGTCTCACCATAGAGGAATCTCAAATCTCTCTTGCTAGGGATGTGAAATGGCTGGGAAAGCATCCCACAGACATGCAATTATTGAGAGTGGCCCGACTCCAAGACAAGCTTCAAACTCACATCACAAGCTTTCTCATGGTGGCACCTACTTATCTCGGAGTTCAAGTCGATGTCAACGACCCGGATTTGCTGGTCAACAGAGTTTGTAATTCACTCCCGGATGATTATGAAGACAACTCCAATCTCGATGATGATCCGGAGCCGGATATACATGATACTTCCATATTTCAACCGGAGCTCACTGTCATACCCCTGCCATCCAATATTGGTCAGGTCAGGTGCAAGGATTTAGGTCTGATGGATCTCATGAAAGAAGAAACTACCCTTCAGGAAGGCCAGGCCAATGATGCACTCCATGCCATTAGAGTTCATTTGGGAGATAAAGCCGTCATATTCCGCAATACTGTCTGGTCAGCCAAGTCACAGGCCTCATCCACCAGGGCATGGACTCAAGTTCGCTCAGTGGAAACAGCAGTAAATCTCAATGCCAGTATATATTCAAAATGCAGGTTGCAACTGGCTAATCTCCCTGACCATGACCTCTTGAAGAAATACCTTCCTTTGAAGAAAGAAGACCTGAAAGCAAGCTCTGCAGTGGCTGATCCCAATGCACATGGTCAGAGGGACACGACTCTTTCATGGTTCTGGTCCTTGGATGTTCAGGGCGACACATCAGGCAATGACTGGATGATGGAATGTGAGTGTCTGCTGTATCTGGTGGTATCAGGACGTCCAGTCTCACATATTCTCAATAGTTTATCGGGTGAATTGGCTCTGGACGAAAGCACTGCATGATCGTTGGAATGAGGAGGTTATTCTCATCAAACATGAAATGCAGTGGTCCATTAATTTCTTTAACAACAAAGCCAAGCAATGGCTCAGTCACATGGACACCACAACTTCTGCAGGGCTCACCGGACATACATGTTATGCTGCTCGACAATCTCACATATATCACCAACTAGCAGGACATGCAGAGGATACTTTCCGGAAGATGATGGGTCAGCCAGAACTACCGGTTTGATGGTTCATGGTACCGGTTGGATAGTTCATGCCACCGGTCGGATGGTTCATGGTACCGGTCAGATGGTTCATGCCACCAGTCGGATGGTTCATGGTACTGGGCAGGTGGTTCATGTTACCGGTTGGATATATAGTTCATGGTGCCAGGTGGATAGTTCTTGGTACTGGTTGGACAGTTCTTGGTACCGGTTGAATCTTTCACAACACCGGTTAGGTAATATGAAATTATGGTTGACACATGTAAATAATTCTGAGTGTTGGTCTCACTACAGCCTCACATTCCCTCCATGAACAATACTGTAACTCTCATCCCCCCTGACCAAGTCATCATTGCCACTAAGGGCAATCAAATCACTGCTGGGGATATCTCTCGCGCCTTATTCTATGCCAATTCCCGGTTGTTGGCCATGCACCTCTATGTTGACAAGAGTTTTGCCACTGACATGCCTGGCTATGCCACAAATTTTTACATCTTGATGAAATGGGAGATGGAGGTAGGTATCCGGCAATGCTGATATTCCCTTGCACTCATCTTCTACACTGTCATACAGACCTTTGTAACTCCATTCATCAATATATCATTTATCACCCAGTTGTCTGCTGTCGTTCCCCACCTTCTCAAGGGTGTGCTTGCAATCATGACCGCACACACATTGGTGGACCGGCAACTGGATGTTGATGCTATCCTGCAGGATATCAAGGCATTGCGCCTCTCTGTTGATTCCAACGCATGCGATGACTATGACATTGCTCATATGCCAGACTACTTCAATGACTGGTGGAAGGAAAGTCTCGGTTCTTGCCGGGTGTCCGATATGTTGCCAAAGTCATCCATCAAAGATGTGATGGATTTGGTTGAATTTCACTGTTCACAACTTGTAAGTCCCTCAGATCATGTTAATCTTTGCCAGATGCTCACAACATCCAAAATAGCCGGATCATGTAAGGTCCGGCCTGCTCCCATATATTCTTCAGGGCCCAGATCCGCTGCCAGATACAACCGGTTCAACATCTCTTGTGCAGTGCCACAAGACACCAATTGGTAGAGAGTTGCTGGATATGTTACAGGGAAGGATGAACAATTTTAGAAGCTCAAGTGATAGGTTGGCCAGATTGGTTGGGCCGATTGATGAACTCACAAGGGCTGTCACATCCTCACAGGCACTCATTGACCGGTTGAACACAGATGTCAGTGCATAGTGCATCCTGGGTGCAGTCAAGGACAACCTGACATCTGCCAGCATCCGGTCAATATGTTATACTATTATATGTTACTGTCATATTCACTGCAATGTAAATGAGAAGCACCGGTTTTTGTCTTTGCAATCAGGCCGTGTGAATGTGAAACTATTTTCTCTAACTGCTATCTCTCCGGCTATCATTCAACAGTGGTGTTTTTCCATCACTCATTTGGTTTTCCAGACATGGTCGCAATCCCACTAGACTGGGCTTTGTATCAGACTGTTAAGGTCATGCTCAAGGGAGAGGTTACTCAAAGGGCTTTGGCTTCAGCTCGTGCGCTGCGCCCCTTACCCGAGTACATGCCCTTTAATTTCCAGGGGACAGAGGGGAAGTCCGACGGAAGTCCGGGGAGTTCCGGAGGACTTAGTGTTGGTGGAGTTTGGCGGAACTCCGGAAGGTTTATACTGGGACGGAGTAAGGCTACTACAGAAGTCCGGAGTAGAAACTGAACAGAGGTTAGACTACCCTAAGGTAGAGCTGGAGAAGTAGTCCTAAGGTTTAACCCCTAAGACTCAGAGGTGGACAAGAGATGAGACTCAAGTCCGGAGATTGCAGGAATGAGCAGAACTAAGATGATATTCGAACTGAGGACTTCCGGAGTATTACAGGGGTTTATATACTGTAGGTAACATGTAAGTAAATCAGTCAGCAAAGGTAAGGGCTATGTACGAAGCATGTGGAAAGTCTATTACTAAGTGTAGCGGATCAAAGCAGTGAAGTCGGAAATGAAGTAGGAATGGACAGATCAATAAGCATAGCGGAAAGAACATAACCAGTAACCGGAGCAATAGCTAATCTAAAAGGAGTTAGGGGTGAGTGCGGAGATGAAGGCAGAGCGCCGGGCAGAATAGTAAGATGGAGGACCAGACTTTAATGGAGTAGATCCGGAATTCCGGATCCAGAGGTACGGGATATGACACAGACCTACCTTGCCGGTGAATTGGTTCATGAGATTTTCATGTCCACAATTCATCAATGACTGGCAAAAAACATGAACCTTGGACTCTTGGATATTGACACTTGCATTGCATTAGAGCATCTCACCAATGTGATGGCCACTGCATACTCCAATGCCGGTAGGTATGCCGGTCCATCACCACATTCTGGTCAACTAACCACCATACAGTTCATCTCAAAATAGACATGGTCAGATACAATGATGCCCTGGACAAAGATGAATCCGGTCGAAGTGCAAAATGAGAGCAGACCCTCTTTGACAGATTCCCCCCCCCGAACAGGAGCATTTCTTGACAACACCAGCTGTTGTCATTGATTCCGGAGGTAGAATCATTGTCTGGTATTTGCCTGGAGCAATGACTGCTATGATGATGGTCGGTCTTCCATTGATCTTCATTTGAATTTCAGCTCAGCCGGACATACATAACAGCAAGATATGCATGGTGCAACACATTCCATGAGTGATTTATTGAAGCACAGCATAACAACTGGTAGGACTGTTGAATGGAGGACCCATCGGTCTAACTTTCATCCAAGTCCGGATGGGAAGATTACACCCGGTTGCATCAATATATCCCCTGCATGGTTTCAGCAAGGAAGAGAGGTATGTCTGGTCCATATATATTGAAGTTGCTGGTTTGAAGTATTCTAGAAACATGGTTTTCCAAAGCTTGACCCGGAAGATGGGTTTTCGCCCAAGGTATCCGCTGCACTGAAAGGTGATGTCGGTTGGAACATTACGACCTCCCTTCAAAGGTCCGGTATACTAGTTTCGGCTGCACTTCGAGTCATGCACCCTGATCTTTATTGGGCCGGAATGGAAACCCAAGTCAGGCTGGGCGAATGGGCGACCCGATATCATTTGCATGAGATGTACCATCATCTACAACACTGGACATCCATATTCAATGTTGTGTCGGTCATATGCAATCACCAGACACCGCCTCATAGAGACCCAAAGTGCCAACTGGCAGCATTTGATATCATGATGACCACTGGTGTTTATCAGCCAGTTATCATGGATTTTATGAACCTCAGAATCAAATTTCTATATGACTCCAGCTCAATGTTGGCTTCATCATGTCACCTGGTGAGACATTACATGAATGTCGAAGAAGGCAACCGGATTGTCACTGCATGGTACATGCGAGACAGCATTCACAACTTTGTTAGGACTCCGAGTACAGAGTATGCAAAATATAGCAATGTAAAATTCAGCGACCCAGTGGAGATGGAATGGGTTTGAGGACTCTGGGTCAACGGACTGTAGATATTTAGACAAGTGATGTCATTCAAAGATATATTTCCGGTAGATCTTGTTTTGCTATACAATGGATCCCCCGGTTGTTCTATGATGGATATGCCAGTTACTGTATGGATGTACCGAATATGGTTTTTGCATGCATGCACCAGTCTCCATTGCACCCCACAGTACCGGCCCACCCACCTCCATTGCACCCCATAACGCCAGCCCACCCATCTGCATTGCACCCGGTAGCCCCAGCCCACCGGTCTTGATTTCATCTGGTTGACCAGCCCACCCAGTCTCCACCGCACCCCATAGCCCCGGCCCACCCGGCTCAATTTCACCTCCTTTACCGGCCCACCCGTCTTGATTTCACCTGGTTGACTGGCCCACCCGTCCTGATTTCACCTGGTCCACCGGCCCACCCATCTCCACTGCACCCCATAGCCCTGGCCCACCCGGCTCAATTTCACCTCCTTTACTGGCCCACCCATCTTGATTTCACCTGGTTGACCAGCCCACCTGGCTCAATTTCACCTCCTTTACTGGCCCACCCGTCTTGATTTCACCTGGTTGACCGGCCCACCCATCCTGATTTCACCTGGTCTACCGGCCCACCCTGTCTTGATTTCACCTGGTTGACCGGCCCACCCATCTCCATTGCACCCCATAACCCTGGCCCACCTGGCTCGACTTCATCTCCTTTACCGGCCACTGTTAAGGTTGTGCTCAAGGGAGAGGTTACTCAAAAGGCTTCGGCTTCAGCTCGTGCGCTGCACCCCTTACCCGAGTATGTGCCCTTTAATTTCCAGGGGACAGAGAGGAAGTCCGACAGAAGTCCAGGGAGTTCTGGAGGACTTAGTGTCGGTGGAGTTCGGCGGAACTCCAGGAGGTTTATACTGGGACGGAGTAAGGCTACTATGGAAGTCCGGAGTAGAAACTGAACAGAGGTTAGACTACCCTAAGGTAGAGCCGGAGAAGTAGTCCTAAGGTTTAACCCCTAAGACTCAGGAGGTGGACAAGAGATGAGACTCAAGTCCGGAGATTGCAGGAATGAGCAGAACTAAGATGATATTCGAACTGAGGACTTCTGGAGTATTACAGGGGTTTATATACTGTAGGTAACATGTAAGTAAATCAGTCAGCAAAGGTAAGGGCTATGTACGAAGCATGTGGAAAGTCTATTACTAAGTGTAGCTGGATCAAAGCAGTGAAGTCGGAAATGAAGTAAGAATGGATGGATCAGTAAGCATAGTGGAAAAGGACATAACCAGTAACCGGAGAGCAGTGTTCTAAAAGGAGATAGGTGTAAGTCCGGAGATGAAAGTGGAGCGCCGGGTGGAACAGGACAGAGAACCGGACTTTCATAGGGGAGAATCCAGAATTCTGGATCCGGAGGTATGGGATATAATGTTCGGAGGAAATAGGGGTAGTGTCGGAGGAGTGGAATAGAGTTCAGGGTGGAGGTAGCAGGGCTAGTCCTGCTGAAATGCACTTCGTGCATTGTTGGAGAAGGAGGGATGGAGCGGATGGGGAAACAGGGGGTCGGACTAGTAATAGGGATGTTCACAGGTGGTATTGGAGGTGCTCGTATCCGGTATGTGACACCCACCCATCTTGATTTCACCTGTTCTACCGGCCCACCCATCTGCACTGCACCCCGTAACCCCAGCCCACCTGGCTCAATTTCACCTCATTTACTGGCCCACCCGTCTCCATTGCACCCCGTAACACTGGCCCACCCATCTCAATTTCACCTCATTTACCGGCCTACCTGTCTCCACTGCACCCTGTAAACCGGCCCACTCACCTGTCTCCACTGCACCCTGTAACACCGGCCCCCTCATCTACATTACATTTCATCTTCTGGCCCACCCGTCTCCATTGCACCCTGTAACACCGGCCCACCCATCTCTATTTCACCTCATTTACTGGCCCACCCATCTCCATTGCACCCTATTCCCCGGCCTCCTCGTCTCCATTGCACCCCATACAGCCAGCCCACTCGTCTCCATTGCACCCCATTCCCCGGCCCCCTCGTCTTCATTGCATCTCATCTACTGGCCCCTTCGTCTCCATTGTGCCTTATTTACCAGCCCACTCGCTATCACACACTGGATTCACCACCATTCATAATCACCTATATAGTACATTGCTATACTACCATGTATACTATATACCCCCGGCCCATCTGTTTGCCTCGAATACACCACACCCTCGGCCCACTCGTCTATCACGGTACAATTATTGCCACCAGCCCACACCGGATGGCTCGTCTCTATCGGTACATTGTCACGCCCGGCTGCCCGTCTCAGACGGGTGAATTCACTGAAGGGGCTCGGACTGGAGCGTGCAGCGGATGGGTGCCTGGGAGGGCAGCGATGCGTAGGATGGCCCGGTGGCAAGCTTTTTGCAGGAGGAGTGGGGTGGGGAGAAGATTGGCGTGGACTTCTACAATGTCGGTTGCTGAGGTTCGCATAGCACCGGTGATGGCGATGGTGGCCAAACGCTGGACTGCAGATAGCCGTTTGGCGACGCCTATCAATCCTCTTTGCAAGGTGTTTGTTCCTTCATGGTACACTGGGGAGAACCATAGATCTGCCGCATAGATCATTTTTGGTACTGCAACTGCTAGGTAGAGCTGGCGCATGAGGCAGAGTGGTATTCCTTTAGCAGAAGTGGAGAGACGACGTAGCTGTAACACGTAGGCTGTTCCTCTCGCGATGGTGTTGTCTACTTGGGCTTTCCATCTAAGTTCCTGGTCGACAATGACCCCCAGGAAGCAGTGGGTTGAGGAGGGGCGGATGATTGCTCCTTGTAGGGTCATGTTAGGACGGGGTCTGCGTTTGTTCATCGAGAAGTCCATTAGTGCGAATTTATTAGTTTCAAAGTGGGAATTATGAGTCCTAGACCATTTGTAGCCCCCACCTGGGCGTTCGAGCATATCTGCTATGATAGCATGAGTCTCTGTGAAGTCATTCGCGACAGCAACGAAAGCCGTGTCGTCTACGAAGGCTAGAGTCAACTCTTTCAATGCTGCTTGACCTGCCCGGGGTCTGGCGACGTCTACCAGGTCTGAACTGTAGATAATATATAGGATCATAGAAAGGGGGTCGCCTTGACCGATACCGTTAGTGACCGAAAACCAGTCAGAGGTGAATCCGTCGAATTTCAGCTGCGTTTGACGATGAGTGAGGACCTGCTCTGTGAAATGTACTAATTCAGCTGGAATGCGCCTCATTTTCATGTTGTGGAGTAGGCGTACAACATCTACTTGTTGGTAATCTCTAGGCTAGCTAAAATCAAGAAGACGAAGACAAGACAAACCGAGACGAGTGTGGGTGACAGTAATGGTAATTAATACACTGATTGAGGGTTATGGAAAGTCAACTCCAATCGCTTCCGGGGCCCACAACCCGAGCTTTTGATCTCATGCTAGCGGCGATAATTATTTAAAAAGAGTCTCGACTCTAGGGCCAAAACTAAAGACTTACCCTGATCGAGATTGACATCTGTAATTGAACGGGGTAAATAGAACGTTCAAAAACAAGCCCAGCACTAGAGAATTACCTTCGAGGTTCTGCTCCTCGATGACTGCGTTGTAAACAAATGAATATGACGCTCGGCAGCAAAGTCAGCACTGGAGAATCACCTTCAGCATCAGGAGACTTGTAATACCAGGAAGGGACATCTAATTAGACGGTGTCAATCAGATACTGCAGCAGGCACGTTAGAATTCAACCTACAGAATGCGTTGATACGAGCTGGATGCCTATCTAGTCAGAAGGTGCGAATACCACAAGACACATCGAAACATACATTTGAGGTCCTGCTCCACGACGGGCGCTGCTGCCATCATCTGTACCAAAGCGACGGCAAAAAAAACAAAAGACAAAGAGAGCTTCATGGTAGTTATATAGGTAAGAATGTGTTACTTGGGGTGTTGAACTGCATAATCGATGCAGGGAGTGAAGCGTTTATATCTTTGGGGATTGTTTGGGGACCGGACCCAGTTCATAGACTGACTCCTGAGTCCTCGTGTCTTGTCATATCTGATCTGATCTATATTGTGTTCCGTGTTGCATATCTTGAGGCTAGAGCTCCCTTTTGACTCACCGTGCGTGTATAATATCACACAATGACCGGAGAGGTATGGTGTGACAGCTGGAATTAAATTTCATAATGATAATTGAATTGACTATATTTCATATTGAGTGATGAGTGACGTGCAATTTCCATGAGTCACTTACCTTCCACGTAACTTACCGCTCCAAAGTACTTCGACTCCCAAATCTTGAGAAGGACAAGGTATGTGCAAGCCTGCAAGGTAACGGTACTCAGTCATGCCTGACCCCCGGAACCTCCTCCCACCGAGAAAGGCACTTATGATGACGGGGAGCATTAAGGAACAACTCGATACAACACAACACGGTTTGACACTGTGAATGAGGATTTTAAAGTGCAAGCACCTCTACAGCTTAGAGCAAGACGCCCACCGTCTCTACAGCAGTCTACATGGAGCGTACTCCACACCATCAAACACCACCAATATAGCGAATGACACATGACAGCCCATCATTCCATTGACCACACCCACTGGGGTGTTTGAAGGTCATGAGGGCACCATAACCGCAATCTCATCCTTGCCCGATAGACAAAGTTTGATCACAGGCTCGTACGAAAAGACGGTTTGTCTGTGGGACATGCAGAACTGCATTATGTTGAAGACGATGAAGGGGCATTGCAGCGGCGTGCAGGCAGTAGTAGAAAGGGAATTGATGGCAAACGGTGATCACATCGGGGAGGTCAGCGCCTGCGATGGAAATAGTGACCAATCTCTCACCCAGGTTATCACTTCTCGGGGGTCAAAGGATTGGGTCCATTCATTGCATGGTAGATAGTATGCCCGAACATCCGTAACGACAGTCGGTCAATAATCGAACGCAGGGCTCGCGTAGTTTCGGCTGAGGTGAGAGTTCGCCAAGGTTAGTAGGAATGTCGCCCTGACCTAGGAATGTCATCACCGGATTATACCGCTACTACCTGTACAGTTCCGCAACAGAGGACATCCCACCTTTCAAAGCGCATTTTATCCCAAAATTTGTGGCAATATCTTCTGGGGGCCTCACAACCTTTCCTCCAGCGTTCTGCTCGTCGCTCAATTTAGTCCGGGCTCCGGATCAGTTTCATCAACTCCTGGAACTGTTTTCTGTCTTCGTGTCTGCTATCATCTTTCAAAATACAGCCCCATCAGAATTCTGGACTGGTCCTTAACAGTGTAGGATGCGAGAGGCGAGACCTTTCGGCTGCAATGTACATCCGATGCACACACACCTTCGGAGTCGAAGGGATGGCCAGAGCAATAGTACCGTGAGCTAAGTGCATTCCAGTTCTACGAGAGAATGAGACCAGAGTAACGACGTACGCGAGACGTGACTGTTCTGGCAGAGTGCATGGCGATGTACTGGAGTAGCAGCTCCACGTGAGAAACAGGACATGGTTTATGTATCCCTGCAGAATATATAATAATCGTAACATTCGACAAGACTTGAGTACTACCAGCCATATTTACCGGGGGGTACCTGGTTGTGCACCAATTTGACGCGAGTTGATGCAGTGCGAAAGTTGTGAAGATATAAGTCGGACCCATGTGCAGAGTCGCAGGATGGCGCGGATGATAACAGGGACCATCCTCAGTGTAGCCTTGATGGAGGTGGGGAGGTGAGCACCTGACTTGTCCTGGGCGTCTATAGAAACAGGAGACAAGTATTTTCATGAAGTGAATTAGCGCAAAACGCACAATAAGTGCACCCATCTTTGCAACTTAGAGCAAGTCATCCAGAATCCCTTCAGCCAAGTGACCCACACCTCGACCGTGAATGGGACATATCACGTTTCATTATATAAACACGTGACAGACCCGTCATACTTCTCCTTCCTCCTTCCTCCTACCAGTCTTCAGTCCCTCAACCCTCCCCGACGCCGCCACTGACGCCTGTGGTCTGCGTATGCTTAGGTCTGCCTGTGCTCTCATGCATGGACGAATTTGACCGTCATGGAGAGTGGCTTTTGCGCTGAGGATGTAACTGGGCTGTAGGAATCTATCATTGATATCTAACACTTCGCCACCAACTCCGAACATGCCACACGCCTCACCGCCATAGACACTCTAACAACCCTCGCGCGCAAAAACCACCACCTTCAAATTGCACATGTATTTACGCGTCCTCCTTCATGCAGGTGCATGGACACAAGTCGGGACTGCTCTTGATACCGCAGAGGCTGTACTTGGCCTAACGTTCGACAAGCTCATTGCGCACGTTCCATGGTATCATTCAGGTACCCTTCCCCTCATCTTTGGTCCTAATTAACTTGCTAATCATTCTACTCGTACAAATCCTCTCCCACCACATCGTCCCCAAGCTACAGTCCACATAACCCACCCACTAATACTTCTCCCGCTCACATTCCTCGTCACCGCCACCGCGAAACGAGTCTCAGTAGGCAGGAATTCCGAAGCGGGGATTGAGTTGACTTCATCGAGATAAACATGGCGCCTTGTAAATTTGCGAGCGTAATGTTTCGTCGACTGTAAAATCCATTGCCCCAATTAAAAGATCGTTCACCGACACTACTGCTCGAACACCTTATTACGACCAGCACAAGATCAGCCTGAAGTAAAAACCCCGTCACTCTCTGACTGGTTAGCATTTCAGCAACCTCGCCTACACCAGCACTGTTAGCAACCCGCACCCTAAGTCCATAAACAAGGAGACTTCGTGGAGATATGCGGGAACGATGATATCTGAGGTGATCGAGGACGTCAGCTGGCCGTACACCTCGCTCAATGCTTCGTAGCGGTCCGTCTGGAGCGTGAGGACCTGTGGAGCACGTTTCGTCGATCAACTTTGCGCATGAACACATGGTTGCGTCGCGGCTGACTTTTAATGGCTTCTATGGCACTGGTGCAAACACGTCTGATGAACGTAACGGGTAATCCAGCACAGAGGAATTTGTCTTAGGAAGAAATAAAACTTGGAGGAGAAGCAAGTGATTTGTATGTTGAATGAAGTTTTACTGAACCACTGAGCTGTGAGAGGCGAGGGTGGCGGCATATTATTGACATCCTGTGTCAGATAGCGCTTGTTGCGCAAGGGTAAGGGTAGCAAGGTATGATTGCGCCAGAGTACATAACGTACATTCCAAGAGAGACGGTATACTGATTGTTCTAGACACGACATGGGGATATATGATCTGGATTCTTAGCTGCGCGCAATGTGGACCAGCAAAGTAGTATAAGACACCATACAAAACGTACGTCTCACAGATGCGGCACTGACGGTGATGACATGCAAAGTGCTCAGGCAACCAGTCTCCAGTGACCCATAACTGTCAATATCAGCTAGTAGGAAGACCGGTGTTGATCGGGAGCGATTGGCTTTCAGCACGCGACGAAAACACACTCGCAGACAAGTCGTAGTTCAAGTCGCGCGTTTCTTGGGCTTCGGGGAGCGTAATGAGGCATAGTGTCGACTAAGGTGTGGGTCATAATTGTAATATTCTTTTGAAGGACCCGCGAGTGATACAACAAATGATCTACCGCCGGGACTGTGCAAGTTCTAAAACTGCAGTGAGCACGACTGGAACGTTATCGCGACAATTAGATGCCGGTGAAGCGGGGTTGAGAACTTGCGGCTGATAACCAAGCGCTGTCACTAGTGAGATTCGTGAGGTCCGCAGAACGAGGAGGGGAGAGGAGGGGAGAGGAACTTCTAAGAGAAGAAACGGGGACATGCAGATCGGCGGCGCGCTTGGCAGTTGTGACTGCGACGGCAGATAAGGAACGAAGCCACAAACAAATAATATCAAATACCACTAAGCTTTAGAGCCTGTTCGGTAAGTGTCCAGGAACAACGCTTGAAGGAGTAAAGTATGAAGGAGATCTGCTCGGACTTGAAAGTTACGCAACTTTTAGGAACCGAAATATTTCGGACAAGTAACGGGGGACGGTAGACTCCATTCTCAAACCTGCGTGCCGAGTCCGTAAATTTAAACAGGCAGCTGTCGATTGGGAATTTCCAACAGCTCAATGAGTACATTCGGAGGCACATATGTCAACACGTGAGATGGAAATAGCGGGTATAAGTTCGGCATACGGAGGAGATGGTTAGTGTTTTTCATGGTGGAAAGGAAAATCGGACCGTCATGCTGACATGACGCCGTCGGGTCGATGGAAACGCCAGCGCTAGGCGAGTTTCTGCAAAAGTCATACGAGGGAAGTTCTACAGGACTTGTTTTGAAATTTCTGAGAAAACATTATTGTGTGAGACTTACTGAGACTTGCATTCGCAATTTTGCATCCAGAACATGCATATCATACTATAGAGCGTGGGTGTCACTCGATAGCGTGAAGTTGAACAAGACAGGCATTCAGGATCCCAGTGCGTAATGGTTCATCTGTTACTAGGAGGGTAGCTCAGAGTGCGCGGGTGTCGCCCGAAACTGGATGGTCCTGGAGTGCGTTCAAACCTCGATATCTGGTTGGTCGAACTCCGGCACAAGGCCGGCAGCCTCGTGTGAGTCGTGTCTTCCTTCAACCGGGCAAGCGCCCACTTGTCTCTCAGCTGCATTCCACTACCATTCAACGAGCTGATCATAGTCCTACAACCGATTCGAACATCCATCCATTCGCTCCAAGCGGCCTTGAAACATTACTATCACTCCACAGATTGATCGTTTCCGAGCTGCCTAGCCTAATACCGTTGAACACACTGACTGGACAGCCTGACGCCCAAACATAGCTTCATTGAAACAATTCAAGTTACAGCTTAGACTTTGATTCTTCAATCAAGCGTACGTCCCTCGTGATAGCCGTCACCTATAAGATGTCCAACTGACACACTGTCGAACAGAACTAGTATTTTCCCGACGATTGCGTCACGTTTTATCATCAATCTCCGTCGATGAGTGACCAGGATCAGTGTCAAGTATCTCCTTCTCTTATCTCCTCTTATCTCCTCTCGCGGTCTGACCTCATTATTAACAGTTCCTCAATCGTCTGAAGGGCCTTGGGAGAAGCTGTCTCGGGTCGCTGTCTCGGGTGCTGAGTATGACTCCCCTGAACGCCAGCCGCATCCAAAATGTTTGGAAGGGACCCGGGTGGACCTTCTCGACTACATCTACGGATTGTTGGACAATCGAGAGAAGAGTCAAATAATTTGGCTGCATGGCACGGCAGGCGTCGGGAAGTCTGCTGTTGCGTTCACTGTAGCTGAAAGGATGAGATCTCTGAAAATGACGGAGGAGACGAAGATCGAAACAAGACTTGCGGGAACATTCTTTTTCTCTCGCAAGCACACACAACGCAGCACGACTGGACATTTCTTTGCGACGCTTGCCTACCAGCTTGCCAGAAATTTTCCCAGCATTCGGCAGGACATAAACAAAGCTATCCGCGACAATCCTGCGCTTCTAGACCCCGACACGTCTCTTCGCGATCAGATGGAGGCGCTCTTTTGCCGACCTCTCCGGAAGCTTCGAATCAGACTGTGCGAGTGTATGCCTCCGATGTTTGTTATCGATGCCCTTGATGAATGTAAACACGAAACCGTCGCTGACCTGATCTCCCTGCTTGGCCAAGCTCTTCGTGATCCACATTCTGCTCACGAGTCGCTTGGAAGAGCATATCCGTAGAGCCATTCGAAACGACGAGATGCGCTCACCGGTGTGCGAGATACCAGTGAACACTTCTGGGGAGGGCGTTTTTGGGACCATCTCATTAGACGGCGCAGATGTTGACAACGACATCTATATTTTCTTGCAACATTCCTTCAGAAACCTGCAAAGTCGTCATCCCGATTTCCCGCAGCCCACCGCGGATGAGCTTGCACGCCTGGCAAGCCGAGCAGGCAGACGTTTCATCGTGGCGAGTACGATGATGATGTTTATCGATGATGGATACAACGATCCCCGGGATCGGCTTGAGCTCTTGCTCGAGCTAACGAGTGAATTGCTGCCAGGAACGGAGGTGTACGAGTTATATGATCGCATCCTTTCCACATGTTCTAACCCCAAGCGGGCATACCTGCACTTGTCCGTTGTCGTGGCCCTTGCTGATCCTCTACCGATCTCACAAATTTCTCGACTCCTTGGCCCTGCTCAGGGCATTGATGTCGAGATAACACTAATGCAACTACGTTCTGTCATGGATATTCCTACCGACAGCAATCTCCCCGTGAATATATATCATTCGTCCATCCGTGACTATGTTTCCGACCCCTCTAACTGCAGCCTCCCCCAAGTACGCGATATTCCATCACCCCATTCGCTACTCGTTCATTCCTCTCTCTGTTTGATGGTGAAGAAAATTCCGGAAAGCACGGCCCTCCTCGATGCGCTCTTAGAATTGACGGAGCACAGCCAAACTATGCAAACCCACGACTCCCAGAGTTTACAACAATTATTAGCCTTCGTTGTCGAGCCACTAGAGCCACTCCATGTTCTTACGGGTCTGCTATGGCTTCGGGGAGTTCGCGGTCCGGGTTCGCGGTCCTGGCTAGAAACCCCGGATGGATGTGTATGGCTGCAGACCCAAGGAGGGAATGACTGGTTGCGGACGGATGAGGGGGAGAACTGGCTGCCCACTCGCAATGGGGGGAACTGGCTGCAAACGCACGTGGAGAACACATGGCTACAGACCGAGAGCGGGGGAGAGTGGCTGCAGAGTGGGAGAGAGTGGCTATGGGCTCAGAAATGGCGACAAGTCGCTGGACACTCTGGCGAGCCAAAATGGCTAGACACCCAGAGCGAGCGAGAGTTTCTGGAGACCAACGGAGGGGAAAAAGGGGCTGGAGACCGAGAGAGAGTTGCTGGAGACCAACGGAAGGCAAGAGTCACTGGAGACCGAGAGACAGTTGCTGGAGACCAACGGAGGGCAAGAGTCACTGAAGACTGAGAGAGAGTCGCTACTGACCAACGGAGGGCAAAAGGGGCTGGAGACCGAGAGACAGCGAAAGTGGCTGGATACTCCAGGAGGGCAAGTGTGGCTGTGGACCCCGAGGGCCAACAGAGTGCGAGAGTGGCTGCGGACCGACAGCGGGCGAAAGCGGCTGCAGGCAGAGGGTGGCCGAGAGTGGCTGGAGACCAACAGAGTACGAGAGTGGCTGCGGACCGACAGCGGGCGAAAGCGGCTGCAGGCAGAGGGTGGCCGGGAGTGGCTGCGGACCAACAGCGTGCGAGAGTGGCTGCAGGCAGAGGGTGGCCGAGAGTGGCTGCGGACCGACAGCGGCCGAGAGTGGCTGCAGGCAGAGGGTGGCCGAGAGTGGCTGGAGACCAACGAAGCGCGAGAGTGGTTGGAGACCAACAGAGCGCGAGAGTGGCTGGAGACCGACGAAGCGCAAGAATGGCTGGAGACCGATGGAGCACAAGAGTGGCTGGAGACCGATGGAGGGCGACAGTGGCTGGAGACCTACGGAGGGCCATGGTGGCTGGAGACCTATGGAGGGCGACAGTGGCTGCAGACCTATGGAGGGCGACAGTGGCTGCAGACTGACGGAGGGCGATGGTGGCTGGAGACCTACAGGGGGCGATGGTGGCTGGAGATCTACGGAGGGCGATGGTGGCTGGAGACCGAGGGAGGGCGACGGTGGCTGGACACCGAGGGAGGGCAACAGTGGCTGCAAACCAAGAGAGGGCAACAGTGGCTGCAGACCGAACGAGTGCAACAGTGGCTGCAGACCGAGGGAGGGCAACAGTGGCTGCAGACCGAGGGAGGGCAACAGTGGCTGCAAACCGAGGGAGGGCAACAGTGGCTGGAGGCCGAGGGAGGGCAACAGTGGCTGCAGACCGAGGGAGGGCAACAGTGGCTGGAGACCAAGGGAGGGCAACAGTGCCTGCAGACATGGCCAGGGCAAATGTGGCTGCAGACACAGAGCGGGCGAGAGTGGCTACAGACGCCCCATAGTCAAGCATGGCAGATGACTTTAGCATCTGTCTGGGTAACAGTGGATGAATTCTCGAGCACATTGGAAGCCGTCAGCGAGTACACAATCATCCCAGAAATACCTTTACGGCCAGCTTCTCAAGTCATCGAACAGTTCAAGAACTTGCCGGATTTCTTGGGCTTTCCGGCTTTCCTGGCATTTCAACCCCAGGATCACCCTACACATGCGTTCCAAGAAGATCGTCGTTTACCAGACATAGAGGTCATCTACTGCTATGACGGCGTTTGCAATTTTTGCAAAAGAAGCACGGGAACAAAGCCGATCAACCTCTGACGCTCTGAAGTACGCATGTCAAAATTGGTCTTTCCATCTCTCGCGAGCTCCTAGTCCATGGAATGGCAGGCTCAACGCTTTATTCAAGCTCTTCTGGGATCGTCACTTGCTCGCCTGGCTTGAAAGGCAGTGGTGCTTGAAAGGCTTGCGGTCTTGTCTCCTTGTTTTATCTGAAGGGCAGAAACTTGCAAGAGTGTGTGTTCTCGATGATTTTCGTGATTCAGTACCTGACCTGCGCATATAGGAACGCCTCGAAGCTCCGCCGGGGCCATCTCAGTCATGAGTCTGAAGCTGTCGATTTTGTACATCCCGTCACGCTGTCTTGTTATTGCGCATTAATTATTTTCATATCATTCTTTTATGTTGCTCCAGTGTCTTTAGCTTTCATTCGAAGTATTTCCAGCAGATCCTCCGTTTCCAAGTCATCGGGCGAGAGAAATAAACGTGTTGATTTTTGTCATCCCCTCCGACTATAAATTGAACAGTATATCAGGACCACTTGTTGGCCAGTGGGGGTGTATACAGTACCTCACGATACACCACAACTGCCAGCGTATGACAGGTCAACACTAACGGCACCAATAGATTGTGTAAAGGTAAAATGTGCGCTAAGCAGATTGTCACCGCCGTGAGGCACGGGCACTCCTCGCGCGCTGGTTCTCAAACTGTTGTTTGATGCCCGCATAGCCTGCCCGGTCGACTCGATGTAGATAATATGAGCCACCTCCGCTACCCCATGAAACGCTGCCAGAGCGGTAGGATCGTTCAGAGACATCAAAGATCGCGCTTATATCATCCACCTGCGAAATTCACATGAGATAAAATTTATGAAGAGTAGGCATCGTCACTCACGTTGCGTTCAGTAACCCGTGCATTGAGAGAGGAAACGAACGGCTTCAAGGAAACAACAATGGCGCCCTCTTTTAAATCAAGAAACCGCGGGCGTAATGCTTCGTTTACTGTAATATGATCAATATTTTGAGGCACAAATAAAAAAATTCACTGACGCGACTGCTGGAACACCTTATTATTAACCAGCACAACATCCGCCTGAGGTAGCAACTCAGTGACTCTCCGACTAGTCAGCATGTCTCCTTCTTCTAACTCCACCTCTCCTATCGAAAGTCCCCACATCCTACACCGCTTCTTAATCTGCCTCAGCTGCTCTCTCCCCACCTCCGCGGGAGTAGGCATCAGCTCAATTCCGTAGCTTCTGCAGCACGTTTCCAGGCTCGCCTGCACGAGCACATTTCCTACTCCACATCCCAAGTCCAAAAACAAGGAGTCTTTGTGGAGATGTGTAGCAGCAATGATATCCGAGGTGAACGAGGGTAACAGCTCGCCGTACACCTCGCTCGAAAATGCTTCGTAACGGTTCAACTTCAGAGCATGCGGGCCCACGGAGCGTTGATATGTTTCGTCGATTATGCGCATGAGCACCCGGTTGGGAATCCCGCCTGATGGCCAATTTTTGATAGCCTCTATGAGTACATTCGGAGGGGCCGGTGCAAACGGGTCCGATGGAAGCGGCGGGTATTTCAGCGCACGGAGGAGCTGGTTAATATTTTGCATGGTAGAAAGGAAAAGCGGACCGTCACGCCGTCGGATGGAACGCTGGAGGATACGCAAGTGATTTGTTCCGCAAGGGTCGTACGAAGGGAATTTTACAGGACTTGATTGCTCTGAATCACCCGAGAGCTGCGTGAGCGGTGAGGATGGCGGTGTATTATCGACATCTTGTAGAAAATCTGTGGGTAATGTTCCAAATAGCGCTTGCTGCGCGGGCGTAAGGTAGCCTGGTATTGGATCAGAATCCACGCTTGTAACTGGTGATGGTAGTAACGTACATTCGAAGATAGTATATAGGGATTGTTCTAAGCACATGATGGGGTTATAGTGATCTGGGTCCTTAGGAGCCAGTAAATAATAGCTGCATGCAATGTGAATCAGTAAAAAGTAGAATAAGACACCGCGCGAAACGCACGTCTCACAGGCATTAGCATTAGGATACTCGAGTTCAGCAGCAGGATAAGATTCAGCTTCAAATGACGTGTCGCTGGGATCGTCCGAATTCTTGAAATCTGCAATAAGTATAAATTCAAATGAAATCTGCAAGAGATGCATGGACTCTCACAAGTCTTGTATGATCGCGACAATATCTTTATTACAGACGCGGCACTGACAAAGTTCTCACCTGGCGACCCGTCCTCAGTTATCCACAACTGTCGATGACGAAGGAGATCAGGCGGGGGAAAAGTTGACGTTGATCGAGAACGACTGCTTCGGTATATAGACTCGATATCAAGAGTCTCGGAACGTTGTCGACTTTGAGCACGCGACGAAGACACGCTCGTAGTCGCGCGTTTCTTGGGCTTCGGGGGGTATAATGTGGGCTCGGGCGCGATTGACAATATTCTAGGTCGCTTTGAAGGACCTGCTATACGCGCGATGTGAGCTGGCTCGTCAGCTTCTGGTGATGTCTCGGCAGAAACTGGGGTAGGTGGAGATAGGTGTGCCTGTGAACCCGTAGCCTCCTGTTCACGTTTCATCTGTACCTTCCAGGCGCGGCGGGTGGTGACGCATATCTCTGGGACCATTTGCTGTATGTTTTTCGATGTGTTTTCAAATAGAAAGTAACGAAAGTCTGAACACGGGGAAGAAGGGAGGGCAGATGAGAGCATTAGAGCAAGTGTCAATGAAATCTTAAAACCTACAAATGGGAACTGGTAATCGCGTCGGTGGCGGTGTCACAACACCGCTTTCGGTAAATTACTAAGTACCACTCGGCTCCAAAAGATGCCGCTGACCACAATTTAAACGTTTTGCTCTTTGTACTTGTCAGACGCTATATACTTATTCTCGAATACGATTAAAATCTTGCCAAGATTTCAGTAAGCTGTCTCCTAGTGTTCTTGCGTTCGTGTCGGTTCTCTTTGCCCCTCACCATGCTTGTATCGGACCTAATCCCTTCGCCAAATAAAACACTCACGAAGAGCCCCATAGCCAAGAATGCACCGTCTACGCCCTCGTCCGACTTTGCTGATGAGTCTCCATGAATTTGATGCCCAGTTCATCTGTTATAGTTCCTCCATTACAATTCGTCTCTGTGACCTGCTTTCCCAAGGAGCATCGCATTGACATACTCTGACGCATTCTACTTGATACGCTCGTGCCACGTACGGATGTCTATGTGACTAAGGCGAGCGGTCCAAACGTCCAACAAAGGTCTTACTCACTACTGTCAAAAGACGTTTGATTCGTGACGTCACAATGCCATCGATCCAGCGGTAGTGTGCGTTGGTTATTGCATGAAACCGTTCCTGCCCTGCCGTGTCCCACTGGTACCACTTTAGTCCTCGTACCCGATCCGTAGCCCCGTCGAAGTTGAACTTTACTCACCGTCTCAATGCGGACGTACTTTCCTTCGATGTTTCGTGTCTTCAAGTCGATGCCGATCGTTGAATGAACGAAGGGGACCAAACCTCATCGCTGAAGCGCAGCGCCCGACTCGATCTGCCAACACCTGCAGTTGCAACGGCTACTTGAGCTTTTGTTCACCTTAAAGCAATAACTGAATCGCCAAGCAGCAGTATTTGCGGATCAATATGGGATGTACGATCTCTCAATAATAACCTGTTACTTTCGTCAATACTGACCTTGATACAGAGATCCACCGGTGCCATGCCTGCTAAATATCGAGCTAAAACCAGTCTGCAAAGTTCCTCACCTGCCTAGTCATAGGTGCTTCAAGTGCTACGCTCGTTAATACCACTGATATGTCCCGGCACTCTAGCAAACATGAAGACACTGCGGCTCCGCGGTTGTACCTTTAACTATTTTCAGCTTCGAGGTTGATCTGCAGCGAGTGATTCTATATGTCCAGTTACCTACACCGCACGAAGATTGATTTCAGAGAAAGTCTGGCATACCTACAAATGTACTCCCGGGATGAAAGAGGATAATCACTGCTGGGGAATCACAACAATATTACCTTTGGCTCAAGTGCCACAGCTACAGTCGTCCATCTCACAACTTCGACACTTCAGCACTCCGCAGCAAGTCAAAGCATCAAATACTAGTGCAGCTATTCAGTCAACAGCACCGTGTAACGAGGTAGAACAGTATTACATGGAGGGGGAATACGGAGGTAACGTGAAATAGTTTGCAAAAGATGAACAAGAGGATCTCGGATCGTACTACTATCACCACATCCAACATAGGTGCTCATGAGCAACAACCAGTCGACGCCAAAGTCGCAGGTTGATTGACTTTCACTGACCCATCTGCGTGGGATGCACCTCCCAGTGAGGCAGCTGAGTCGGCTTGAGAGTCGATGAGCCGAGTCTTGCAATCCCTGTACATCGGCAATTGAGAGTGAAGTCCGCAATGTAGTCAAATGCGACAAACCTTGCAAGGGTGAAGAAGGCCTCTTCCACACCGTCATTCACTTTGGCAGACGTCTCCATAAACTTCATGCCAAGTTCGTTGGCAAGTTCACGTCCCTGGTCTTCTGTTACAGCTCGCTTGTCTGTCCAATCTGACTTATTACCAATGAGTATCTTATTGACACCCTCTGATGCGTGTTGTTCAATGTTAGCATGCCAATTGCGGATACCTGGAGAGATGCACATCAGGATGGGAAAATAGCAAGGGAGGTGCTAATAGCGCGCACTGTTGAAGGATCGTTCATCCGTGACGTCATACACAAGAAGAATACCCATTGCTCCGCGGTAGTACGCAGTCGTTATAGTTCTAAACCGCTCCTGGCCAGCCGTGTCCCACTGTACGACACAGGTCAGACTTGTGAAGCGAACAGTTCTGGGATGACGGCACGCACAATTTGAAGCTTAATACGCTTTCCATCTAGCTCGATTGTACGGATCTTGAAGTCAATGCCGATGGTGGTGATGAACGAGGGTGTCCACGCATCGTCGCAGAAACGGAGCAAAAGACAAGACTTTCCAACACCTAACAACAACTTAAAATTTTGAACATGCTGGATAGAACCACGTAACAAACACACCTGAGTCACCAATCAAGAGCAGCTGCGAAGCAAGTTATGCGTTTGAGGCGTGTAGTGTGTATACAGCGTGCTCACCTTGATGAGGAAATCATAGTGTGGGGGAGGCATTCTAGAATATCTTTGCTAGTTTATGAGATGCGTTTGTCCATCTACAAGATTAAGAAACAGACCAGATGAAGTATTGAGTAGATGGCCAGCGAGCAGGAATTCAATATTCGAGTGCGTCACTGCGAAACCACCTGTCGCTGTTATTCAGTGCCACACAACATTACGGGAGTAGCCGCAGCATGTTATTACGTAATAGAAAGTTCTTCGATCCTATGTACGCGGTCCTACGTACGGAACAACTACATTATCATTCGATTATCATAAACTCATTCTAATTTTTACGTCGGGAGTCGCAGATAAACGTGTCTTGTGTTCTTTATCCTACTTGTAATTGTATAGCAGAACCTCTTCTTCCACCTGTACGTAAGCGTTCTTCTTTGCGGATGTATTGAGGGTCCAAGTTTGTCGCTCATACAGCTTCAGGTTGCCCACAGGTGTCAATTTTAGGTGCACGATTTGCGCCCCAACGTGTTCGGAAGTTTAAACAGAGCGCTCGCTCGACAATAAGAACAGCCTCGTTGCGGAGCTTGCTTTGCGACGCACTTCCTTGTACCTTTGTACCTCTTGATTTGTTGGTATACCCAACTCATACGGGTGCTTCAATATCACAAGTACCTATCGTTCAACAGACCATGTTGGACTTATTCTCCAAAGATCGAATTTTCAACGAGGCAGGACTTAGAGCCGCCTTATATCATCTGGATGCAATCTCAACTTCAGGTGCAACTGGATTACAAGCCACGATCGAACATCTACTCTCACCACCCCATGTTTTTGCCTATATCATTTCTGGTATCTCACAGACTTTCTTGCGCCACCAGCTCTGACTCTGTAATAGTTTGGAATCGCTCCGAGAGAATGATCTCGCAGATCTTGACAGACTTTCCTACCAAATCTCAAGAATATCCTTCATCCCTTGCGAGCAAGATTCTAGACAATTTGTCTATATATCTTTTAGCCTTGCCAGTTGAGTCTTTGGAGACAGAAGTCTCAAGGGACATCAGCCGCCACAGAGGCTTCATAGCGGGCGCTTTACCCTTACTTTGTGCCTTGAGCACTATGAAATTTTCCAACGCCAATTCATTTGAAGACGAGAGCGATCTCTTCGACGTCGAACCTGATGATGGATTTGTCAAAATGAAAATGCCTCAGAAAATGCGCAAGCGAAATCGCCAGAAACCTCAGCATGTGACTATCGACACATCACTCTTCTTCAGGCTCGATGTGGCTGTGCCTACCACGAGTGACGCGGCCGCAGCGTTGTCCGTTCATATTCTTGCAGAGCTGAAGCAAGTCCTCTCGGTGCGCATATTCACAGCCTTTTAATGTTTTCCCTGACAGTTCCCCGTAAGTTCTACCTCTCGCTTCTGCGGAGGACGGAATTAGCAGGCGACATCAAAGCCTTACTCCTCCCAAATGTAGGAGAGTCCGCCAAGGATGTCGCGCCTGCATTTTCGTCCACCGACGATGTCGAGAACTCAACAAACCGACCCAACGCGTATCCAATGGTGCAGCCCATGAAGGCTGCCCTTTACTTCGACAACGCGGATGGGTTCGGAGAGTGGCGAATCCTCATATCCACCGAGGCCTATAAAAATTTGCGTGAATTCCGTCGAGCGGATGTGAAGATATTCCAGATCATCGTCAAGAAGATCAAGTCTGTCTTCAGATGCATTTGGCTGCAATGATCTCATCTTTGCCACAGACAGCTATCGAATGGTCATTTCTCAGATGATAACCACAAGCGACTTAATGGACCGGATGCCGGCATTCCTATCCATGAGGCCAAGATGACAAGGGACCTACGATTGGTAGTACGTGTAATTTTGCATACGCTACTTAGAGCAGGAGACAACCAACTTTTTCTCACAGTACCAGATTGATTGTGTCCCTGACCATGACGGAGAGGTGGGTCGTTCTTCCATCAATAGCAAGCATCATGCTGAGACCGGACTCTCGACAGTTCGAGAGACAAGGTGAGTTATCAAGAGCAACCACATGTATCCGTTATTAGCGCTCACGTGAATACCAGTTATCAAGGTCTACGGCATTTATACGCATGCTCAGCTTGGCAGAATATGGGATGCGTTGGGGAGTCATCTCGCACGCAAGGGCAGAGAATATCGTAGAAGGTGAGTACGTTTTTCAGCTCTTGATGCAATTCAGTGAATAGTTGCTTTTACAGGGTCATCTTTCGGAATAGACCAGCGCTTTCTAATGATAGCGTCATTCTGCCAGCGTCATTCCCGCCGGCAGAACCTGAGCCAGAATGCCCAGGAAGCCCGCTCGATCTTAGTGATAAGGACATGGACCACGTTGAGTGTTTTCATCTTTCATTCGCGCAATGATTGACCCATGGCACAGCTTCACTCTTTGCTTGTGTATGAATTCTTGTCATCTTTATACAATTTGGTTTCCATCTAACAATTTTCTAGTTTGGAGAAATACGTCGCATTCTCGCAAGTAAGCTTATCCACACGGTTCTTCGGCAGGCATACTGACTTGGTATTTTTAGGCGTTTCTGCATAGTGAGTGATCATGTAGCCGACTGGTCATGGCTTCTCATCTCTTGCAAAAGGTCTCATCGCGAACCAAGACGTACAACACGTCTTCATGCTCACGTAAGTTCCGCCCCAATGCAATGAATTACTGATCGATGCCGGTTCAGACCTCAAGAACTAAAGATTGTTGAGAATACCACGTCGTGCTACGTCTTGGGTCGCAGCGGTACAGGGTAAGACTCATGCCCTTGAGATCAGTGACCTATTTATCACATCTAACCAGAAAAACCACGACGATGCTGTTCAAGATTCTCGGCATTCAGCGAGCTTGGGAGATGAGTGCTGTCGGTATGCCCAAACCGCGCCAAATCTTTGTAACCAAATCCAGAGTGCTCGCCGCGAAGGTGGAAGAGTATTTCACAAAGCTTCTTGAGTCTCTGGCGCTGGCAGGCTATACTCTGCAGGAACTTGCGACAATGAAGGCACAAGCTGTCCAGGAGGGCCTTGTTGATCTCGATGACATGCCCGAATCGCAGATGACTATACCCATGAAATACAGCGAGCTTGAGGACAAGCACTTTCCTCTTTTTGTGACTTTTGATCGAGTATGTCCCCATCCGTCGTCCAGGCAGTCCCTTAGCTCATTTGCTTCTTTAGTTGGCGAAGATGGTCGCGGCAGATATCTTGAGCAAGGACAACCCCGAAACGAGAGATAGCGCAGAACTTTTCTTCATTGCTGATGATGCTGAGGCGCATGACTCTTTCGTCACCTATGAAGTATTCGCAAATCAATATTGGCCTCATTTTCCGCAGAATCTCACTAAGAACCTTAGTAATGTCCTTTTCTTTTGTCATGATGATGATGATGTACTGACACTTCCCCACCAGACCCGTGGTTGGTTTTCAGCGAATTTATGGGTGAGTACAATTCTTTCTCATCTTGACATCAGCATTTCCTGAATATCTCTACAGGGATCGTCAAAGGCTCCGAACACTGCGCTGAGCTGTCCTGACGGGGTTCTCGATCGCCCGAATTATCTACGCCTTCCTCATCGTTCCAACCCGAATTTTGCGAATCAGAGGGGGATTCTGTATGACATGTTCGAGAGTTACACTAAATTCAAGAGGCAGCGACGTCATCACGATGTTGCGGATCGGTACCGACTTATTCCTTATCCACGGAATATCATGATATATGCCCAAATAGCACGCAAGCAATACTCAAGGTTTTGCGGAGCCAAAGATTCCCTGGCCAACAGATCGATTATCTGTACGTATTGTCCCCACCAGCGTAGCCAGTTCCTGACCGCCTGCGCCAGGTACGTCGACGAAGCGCAAGACAACCTTCTGATCGACGCGCTCTGTAAGTAGCTACCACTTCAATGATGAAGATCCCTTTTGAACTTTCTGTTGTAGTCTTGAGGCAACTATGCAGGAATCCAGACGGTTTGTTCTGGGCTGGAGATACCGCACAGACAATCTCTGCTGGGAGTTCTTTCAGGTTCGACGATCTGAAAGCGTTCCTCTACCGTGTAGAGGTCAGCGAACAATAACTTATCTTCCGGGTCCGAATTGATATCTTCTTACAGCAGCAAAATACTTCTGTCAACTCCGCTGTAGCATCTCTCTGCCAGCCCACGATGTTTCAATTGGCAATCAACTACAGGTCACACGGGGGCATCGTCAACTGCGCTCATTCTGTGATCGAAATCATCACAAGATTCTGGCCCAACACAATCGATAACCTACAGCCAGAAAAGGGGGTGGTTGACGGGCTGAAGCCTGTATTTTTCACCGGTTGGGACAAAGACACCGTTCGTTATGAGCAGTTCTTGTTCGGGGCGAGGTGAGTAGGCCCTGACCGACATCCTTTGTTCCCCTACTGAGGATTCTCGCAGTGGAAGCCACATCGAGTTCGGAGCCCAGCAGTGTAAAGGAATTGGTTCAAGATTTTATCATACGCTGACAAGCTATCTTAGGCATACTCGTGCGTGATGATGCAGCACGTCAGAAGTTGCGAGAACAAGTAGGCGATATTGGACTGATTATGTGAGTCGTCTTACAACTGCCTTTACTGCGTGGTTTTCATGCCCACGTGTCGCAGGACGCTTTACGAGAGTAAAGGCCTGGAGTTCAATGATGTGAGAAAGCTAATCTTAGCTATCTGATGGGTGTCTGACTTCGGTCAGGTGCTGTTGTACAACTTTTTCGAGGATTCCGTTGTAGATCTGTCGCGCTGGCGCATAGTTCTCAATGGGGTAGAGGGTCAAGCACATGCACCGAATTTCGATCGTGACGAGGCACGTTACGCTGGGGTTTGCAGCGAGGTAGGCGTACTGGTGTTCGATGAAGGAATAAACTCCGCCTTACTTTTATCAGCTCAAGCTTCTTTATGTGGGGATCACCCGAGCAAGGAAGAACATGTGGATCGTCGACAAGTCTGATAAGTCAGACCCGATGCGTGTACGTTAGAGCAGCGTGTAGGTTTTACTCGATCTGATAATCGTTTCCCTTTAGATATTCTGGACCTCTCGAGATCAGGTTCAGAATTGTACTCCCGGCACCGATGTTCCTCATCTAGCTGTATCCTCGACTCCAAAAGAATGGGAAACCTTCGGGCATTCACTATTCTTGCACAAGCGGTATTCACAGGCTATGCATTGCTTTGAACGTGCTGGCCTTCGTCGTGAGGTGAAGGTCTGTGAAACCTATCAACTGCGAGAAGTAGCACGCTCTAGTGTCGGAGTGGCCTCACTCAACGACCAAAAAAGAGCTTTTGTCGTGGCAGCCGATGCCTTTACTGATTGTGGTGCGGCCGCGACGGGGAACCAGAGGCTCCAATATTATCGCAACTCAGCAGACTGCTACGTTCGAGGAGGGGATGATCTCAAAGCTGCCGAGGCCTATCTCAAGGCTCAAGAGTTTGAGCAAGCAGCGAAGAGATATCGCAAGGCTGGACGTTTTGACAGGACACTTCATGTCCTTAATGACCATGGCACGAATATACCTGAAGAGACCTCTGCGGAGTTACGGACTGTGTGCAGACTCTTTTACTGCAGCAGGAACAACACTCAGTAAGTCTCCACAATTCGAGTATGATGTTGTTCAATAGCAATTGCGCAGGGCTCCCTTACCTCTCTTCTCAACATTCGATGAGGAACTCGAGTTTCTGGAGGACTATGATCTGGATTATGCTCGTGCTTCACTACTTGAATCTCACTCAAGGTACTATGAGGCCGCAGAGCTGCATTTATCAGAGAACCGGCCCCTGGAAGCTGTCCGAGCATTCATCAAGGACAACGGCAATGTCGATTCCACTGCTCGTGCGGCTGACACTATTTTGGAACACCTCTGGCGCAAATGCTCCTTTAGAATATCTGCAAAGGTTGCCTTTGCTGACGGGTCACTCCAGCATTTCATCACTCTCGCTGATCAGCTACAGACGAGCAAACTAAAGCCCGTGACGCAGGATCTAGTACGTATAAGCAGTCCCGAAGTGTACCGGTTGAACTGATTGGCATCCAGATCTCGATGTTTCAGAGCATCTTACGCGGAAATGATAAGCAGTTAGCAAATCTCGCGCTTGCCTTCGAGAAACATAACAACCAGCCAGCGGCTCTCCTGTGTTTGGACCATGTCTTCTCTCGAGCTACGGACATTCGATCTTTTGCGGTCGATGAAATGCAACGGTTTCTCCAACAGTTTCACGCCTATACGCGACTGCTCTATCTGATTTCAACCTTCCCTGACCCTATAGAACATCGAGGCATTCAGAGACTGTTCTCCTATGGTGCAGCTGTCCGGTGATGAGTTTCTCATACCAAGTGGAACGTTCCTCCACAGCAGTGTGATGGAAATTCGCCAAGGAATCGCTTTGGTATCGGAACATCCGTCCGGGTATCGAGCCTCTCGCAGAAACATCACGGAGCTGCTACAATTATCGATTCGAACTGTCTTGAAAGACAAAGTGTCGGCGATGGATGCTATGTGTTGCCAATCCCCCGTTTTCTCGCAGTGCCTGCCATTCATTGTTTCTGGGATGTGTCGAAGAGAAAACTGTCCCCAAGAGCATGTCGCAATGTCGAAATTGGATCGCATGTATTACAACGCCCGTGTTGCCATCCACATCTGGCAGATTCTCATCTTGCAATTGATGTATTCCTCTCACCCATACATTGACCGACGCGATAGGTGCGCCTTGAGGTAGCCTACGATCGGGTATCTATGCTAACCTCTTGATCAGCATGAGGGACTGGCTCAGTCATCTTTACGAGGCACTTAATCCACCCTTCTTCATTCAAGGTTCTCTCGCGGACCTTGACATGAGTCTAATGCCATTTCGTTTAGATGGCATGAAAGTGGTGAAGCTGTGGATCCGCGAATCCTTCTACTCGCTCGACCCATTCTATACCCAGAGTCACTTTTTGACGGCACTGATGAGGATTACTAGTCTAGGTTTTGCTTGTGACAGGAATGACGCATCTGGCTACATCTGTCGGGCAAAATGTATGGTCTCCGGACCGGTCGAACTGCATCGCAAAATAGACGATCGCTATATGGTTCGTGACTTGTTCAACTCTTACCAAGGAGCTAGCTACAGCAGCATCTCATCGGGAATTCTGTATCTTCTGTAAGCTTGCTCCTTGTCTCTGTGTGTACTATGCTAAGTGTAATTTAGGCATGTCCTCAACAATCGTTTGTTTACCAACCTCTCCGTGCTGTGTGACTGCATCGAGGACATCTGCAGCGCCTTTGTAATTAAGTACCGAATGGACCCGGCGTTTAATCAGCTTCCCCTCCATGATGTCGTCCTTCCATGTAACTGGTTACTGTCTCCCCACAAATTCACTGCGGAGAAAGAAGCTAGGCTGCTTCTCATGGGCACGCTTCTGGATGAGATAGCAAGGCTAGTCGAAGCATTGCGCATAGAGGCTGGCATGGGTGAGTTTCTCCACTCTCGAGAGACCTTCTGAGACTACGATTGGGCAGAATTCCTCTGGCTGAACCATACTAAATTTACGCCTATTCTCCGCAATATTTTCATTTCCCGGATGTAAGTTCATCTTAGTACCTGCTCGTCGACAATGTGCAAACTAATTACATATTATGCAGCTGTAGAATTCTCTGCCTTGGTACGTTTGCTGTTTTTTTCTCAAAACCCACTGGCTGCTGAATTCAATTCATTAGTTGCCCATAATACTAGGAGCCGCCTCATCAAGGACAAAGTAGACAAGATCATACTTTTTCTACACAAGAACAACCCTCCTTCAAATTGGCGTACAGCTAACTATCGGAAACTTGTGGATGACGTGGTCAGGTACATGACACCCTTGCCAGGACGGGTGCCCCCTTCAGACGGTTACGTGCGAGCTCTCCTGGCTTTCGACAACAACACAGGAGTCAGCAATCTGGCGCACCTTGTCCACAAAACGATGAGCCATCGCGCTCGAAACTATCCAGTTCGTCGGATCTTATACGAAAAGGTCGTCGAGATTCCCCATCTCCTTTCGTCTTATGCAGTAATCGCACAGTCTACTCTGAGAGTGGAGGCCCCTACCTTTGTACCTCGCTTAGAGCATCCCAAAGATCACACGGAAGTCCACGATGAGAAAGAAGAAGCGCAACCTCAAGAGTTCGAGGGAGAGGAAGAAAGGGAGGAAGATGTTGTGGCGCATACTGATGCCGAGACTCGCGATGCGATGGAGAGTTTGGATGAGGCGGTAACGTCCCTGGCACCTGATTTGGACGAGTCACTACGCTCTAATGGACCATCGGTGGAGGAAGAAAAGGCGGCTTTCAAGATTCAGAACACATATCGCCGTTACGTTAGACGTCGCTCTAGTCATGCGGTGGATGCCGAACTCGCTGCGATATTCACGAGATGCTTCAAGGAGACACAGTCTTCTGAATCTGACTGGTATCCGGGTTATTACCGCCTCCTTTTTCTTGGACCATTGCCCCACCTTTTGGTGTGCCTGGAACGAGGCATTGCTCTGACCCACGCTGCCAAGGCGAAAACGAAAGGCCTTCTTAACGAGGAGAAGCATGAAAAGCTTGAGGAGTTGGGCAGGCAGAGAAGCGGGATCGCGTCAGTCCTAACTTACCTAACGTCATACAATGACTAACGTGCTTTACAGAGCGACGCTCAAGAAGGGCTTGCGATTGCGCAAGCAGCTAGAACCTTCCTCGGCAGCCCATCGTGCCCGCGACATTGATGCCCTCAAACGTGCAGTTCTAGAGGTCAAAGAATTCATGCAGAGGGTTCCCAGCAACATGCAGGATATGCAAACTGGGTTTCAAGTAGCCTATAAGGCAATCATTGCCGAGAAGAAGGTTCCGGCGGGAAAGGAGAAAGAGAGACCCGCTCTCAACGTGGAGGATGTCTATGACTGCTTGATAAGTAGGTCGTGGAGAGTCGAGACCGTGATTTGATCGTGTACCATATTGAATAGTACATATTTCTGTAATAAATGCCTTCCACTCGATACTATGGCCCTGTCTAGACATCTCCCGGTCAATGAATGGAGAATGCGATCGATAAATGCATGGATAAATGCATTACATAAGATAATTTCAAATTGGCAATAATTCATCTATCACAAGTATTGGTTCGGACACTTTGCAATAACTCACACAATTTAGCCTCAATGAATATTCTATCTCACCACATATCATTGTACACATATTCCAAGCTACTATAAAGTTGAATCATCAAAATTGGTGGAGAAATGATTGAGATAGTTGTTAAGGTGTGACAGAGCAGCTCGAGTCTGCCGTGGCGGAGTTTCGATACCTGGTAGGAAAGATGGGCTCGCAACGCCAAATACCGAGCGGAGTTCGCTTCAGACAGCCAGTGACCATGGTGCGACTGTCTGAACCAGTGAAGTTGTGGTAACCGATAGTAATACCTCGTCTTTATCCTGATGGCTTCGGTTAAGAGCGTCGGGAGACTAGGAAGGATAAGTAAGAGATAGGGAAATATCGAGGCGAGATAAACTAATGAGTGGACGATATCAGTCAAGACCGTAACGTCAGGGATATCTCTGATATGAGCGTATATCGAGCAAGTCAACGAAAGTCGGGCAAATAAGGACAACAGTAAACAAACGGATGGTATACTGAACGTGCACCTAAGCGCAGCCGTTACAATCAACTATTCCAGGATCAGCTCGCCGGGTCCATCCACAATGGGCGTCTGTCAGTCGCGTCGCCGTCAAGTTGCTGAATCAAATCAACAAAAGCGAAACTCCCCCTATCCCACATGCCCCGATATCAACGAGACGATACACCATTTCCTCTTCGACTGTCCTCAATTTCGACGCGAACGTCACATCATGTCCAATGCTCTGAAACGCAACGCAACGTCAATACAGTACATCCTTACATCAAGCAAAGCCACACCTCATCTTATCAGATTTGTCAATAGTTCCGGCTGATTCAAACCGACTTTTGGTGAATTATAACACCCACTTAGATGCACATACTGCCGTAAATTTTGTACAGATAATCCGCCAACCGCCGTCCATCACCATCGCCATGTACATTATCACCTATTCCATGACGAAAGGAGAGATGCGCATCGCCGTATCGCTGTCGGCACAAAAGGGAAGCCAGTAGTAGACTCGTTAACGAAAGATTAGCACTTCCGAATCAGCGCTCTATCCACGCTACAGATCATTATTCGCAAGTTCATGCATTCACCATCACACTCTACTGATGCTCCCTTCACTGCAGCCTTCCTTTTGTACTTACTAGCTCTGTCCCGTAAGGCGGAGTAAAGGAGTACGCGTCCGTCCTCAACACACCCCAGAACCCATACATACATACGAATGACAAAAATGTTCAACATAGGGTCTTCGACCCCAACGGGCTACCTCTGATGCAAAAAAAAAGTTGTTGAATGAAGTGCATGGCCTCCAAGCTCATGTTTACGTCGGCACATATGAGGATCCGCTATTTTCCTTTCTGCCACACAAGATCGAAAACACTATCCAGCTCCTCCGAATGCCGAAACACCTGCTATCTCGATTTACACCGGCGCGTCCGAATGTACTCATCATGCTGGTAAGAATTCCCAATCGACGTGTTTTAATTTACGGACTCGGGGCACGGGATTGGAAAGGCGCTGGTGCATAGGATCTGAAACGGGGTCAATCCCCGCGAACTACGGATCGGTGAGCAATTCGGCGGCGCTAGCCCTGTTCGCGGGATCCAGACGCAAACATCTCCGCATCAGAGAAGCCGTAGATTGGACGTCTTCCTCCCCTACAACTTTGTAGGGTCTGATACACTGTTCAAATGGGTAGCGAGCCATTGGTATCAGTGGATTCGATCTAAGGGAACCTGCACACGAGAAATTGAACAATGAATAACTGGTGCAGATTGGATGCGAGAACATGTCTCGTCAAAAAGTTCGACACCTCTTTGGCTGACCTTGAGTTTCTCTGGGCTGAATTTTTCACCTATGTGGCGCATCATATGCCATAGCATATTGTTTGTCTCGTCGAGCTTGCCGAGAGGCCAGGATTTGAATGTGAAGAGGCAGACACCGGTGATGAGTTCGAAGATCTGAGAACCTTTCGTGAGGCAGGACATAGCAGCAGATTAGAGAAAAATTTCAGGCGGACGAAGATCGCACGCAGCGATCTCGTCAAAGTTTTGATCGTAGCTAGGCTGGGCTGTAGAAGAGCTCGGCAGAAGGAAGTAGAATCATCGCAACGGACTTGCCATTGCCAAAATCGGTGAGAACGAACGTCCTCTGCATGGCTTCCTGCAGAGTAGGTACCGGAAGTGGCTGCGACACTGCAGCCTGCATCATCCCATCATAAGATTCTTCCGGAGAGTGTCGGCGAGACGGGTGGGACTCAAGTAACTTGTCAAAGTCAGAACCAGACATGCGTGTATCGAAGAAGATGTTTTCAGGTCTTAAATCAGTGTGGAGTACACCGCGGCTGTGCGCATGGGCGATTCCACATAGTGTGTAGAAGGACACGTTTGGCAAGGGGGGAGAGGCAATGAAGTTCTGCCATGCCCTCCACACAATGTGTTTACATATGTCCACCTAGGATCGGCATTACCGAGCAGACGTGTTCCCCTGAACTGCCTTTACCAGGATTCGTGAAGTCAGACAGGAGTTTAAGACAGTGTGGGCTCGATGGGGACGAAACTTGATAGAGGGTTTCGGTCTCCCGAATGATGCGTTGTCGGACCAGATCAGTCGCTGTGCCAGTGAGTACCTTGATAGCGACACAAGAGTTGTTTCTGGGAAAAATCAGACATTCAAAGTTGTCAGTTGAAGGAGCAACTTTTGGCGTACGTTTTGTCGCGGGCAAGCCAAGTCCTTGAACTCATGCCCCACACAAGTTTTCTGCAGACAACACAGCAGTCATCTGGGCCAAAACCGCCCTGAACTGGCAAACCGAGTGGTTCCCCGATGAACCTCTCAGAACCCACCCGAATTTTTTTACCCGAATCAGGGGTAACCTTGACGGAGACGTGCTTGCTGGATGGATGGACACGCTTCGTATTTGCAGATGGCATCCCCATCGTCCTAGGCCGAGCGACTGTAGTAACTCGAAGCAAGTTCGCAAGTTGGATGCGAGATTGAGGGAGAAATAAGCCCGTCATCGTGAAAGCGAAAGCCTGAGCAAGATGAGCGTCAGCGAGAAAGGGGCTAAATCATAGTATTGAATGCATCACATGACCTGAAAACGAGCACGGTCAATTGAACCCTCAAATTCTCAAGCCCAAAGCCATATGCATACCATGATGAGATAAATTATAGACCTATCATAAATAACCCGAGCAAGCATAGTCCAGGACGCAAAAAAAAGTGAAAAGCGGAATAAACGAGGGTGTATGTACGACGAATGAGGGTGTATGTGCGAGTATGAGACGAACGAGGGTGTATGAACGAGGGTGAGCGTATGCGTCTGAACGAGAGTGTACGCGGTTACGAGGTTGTGTGCGTCCGAAGGTTACAGTATGCGTGTCCGAATGAGGGTGTATGCGTGTTGAATGCGTACTCGTGGGTCGCCGTGGGTGGTGACAGCCAAGAAGATAATGATAAATGATAAACGAGGGCATGAAGATGAGGGGGACATGAGGGAGTATTACGGGGACGAATAAAGAGTAGCAAGACGTGTTGGAGCAAAAAGAAAGAGAGAGGCGCGAAAACGGAGGAGAAAGAAAAACTGTACAACCTCCAAGGACATCAATCAGCCTTGAACCGAGCCCCACCGCCTCCTCCCCGCACGATAGCTTTCATGAACCCAAAGAAGCGGTCTGCATATTCAGCAGGCGGGACTGGGCTGATTTTATGCTGTGTGAAGGAAAAAGAGTCAGTATTGGGGAACAGACGAGAGCGAAGAATGAACAGTGGACCGAACAACAGTTCAAAACGAACGAAAACCCAGAAACGAAAATCAACTCACCCGATCAGCCTTCAACCCCTTCCAAAAATGCTCACACTTCTTCATCCCCCCATACGGCGTCAAAATATCAATAATCCCCAAATAATAAATAACATCCATCTCGTCGTTCCCTTCGTCCGTCGCTTGTAACCCTCCCTCGTCTTGATAGAACAAAAAGTGGTCGCGATCTTGCGTTGGGTGGGTTGGTTGTGGTTGTGGTGTGGTGGCGTTGGCGTTGCTTGTACTGGAACGACGCGTGCGGGGGGTGTTGGGCGTAACAGGCGGGATGGTATGCGTTGATGGGGAAGGTGAAGTCGGGAGATCCAGCGTAGTTCCTAGATGGTGCGGATCAGACGCGCGCATGATTCGGCGCATGGCTATCGCTTCGGGCGACCGTCCGTTTTTTGTTTGCGTAGTTTTGCGCCGGATGGGCGGGACTGAGGGCTGTGTGCGCGTCAGTTTAGAAAGCGGAGAAAAAGTAAAAAGTAGAAGTGTACCTCGAACACCCTCAACATAGTCCCTCTGACATTCTCCTTGTTTCCCCTAGTCCCCCAATGAAGCCCGACGAGGAGACTATAATCCATGACACCAAGATCTCTCAACATCTCGCTATCCCTCCTCAACTGCTCCATCAATAAAGCCCTCTTCTCCGGGCCAAGCTCCAACACCCTGTTACTATCGATCCAGTTCAAATCCTTCTGTACCGCACGAGGATTCTGCTCCAGCTTCGCAGGGTGGAGAAGACGACCGACAGTGCTCCCCTTGAGATCATAAGACTCGTGAATATCTTTATGAGGCGGGAACAAGTTATTCATGATCACGAAATGAATCTTTCGGCCTCTCGGGAGCTTGACCCGATGTAGACCATAAAAGCGACTGAGCAAAGTATGCGGGTTTGCTTTTACATGTTCCCAGTATCGGCGGAGGACGCGGAGGAGGAACTTGTGCTCTGCGTGTCGGATGGTTTTGATAATGAAGCGGTAATCGCGGGAAAAATAGAAGAAGGAGCCACTTTTCCCTGGGGAAGTGAGTTCAGAGAGGATGTATTTGGAGGTGAGTGAAAGAAGGTAGTCTGCGGGGTCTAGAGCGAAGTGGTCTTCGCGCAGCTCACGGAAGACCCATGGGGCATAATCCTTGAATTTGAAGTCGTATTTTGCAGAGGGAGTGAGTTCGTTCCCAACGCTGGGGGGAAGTGAGTTAAGGGAATGGAGAGGCGGGGAGTACGTACATGTCGAAAGAATATTTATGCCTCGCGGTGAAATCTTGGTCAGTCAGGGGTCGTTTGATCTTTGCCTGGTATCGTGAGACCTGGGCGGAGTCAGAGGCTGCGGGACATAAAGAGAGAATGGGCACGGACAGCTATCCTGATTCCGGTGAGCATGTTATACATGAGGACGTAGTTGGCGTGGTCCTCTCCTATCAAGTTGCCTACCAAAGGACGTTCGTCTTCTTGCTGAGCCACTGCTGCGGCGACTTCTTCAGCCTGTTTTCGCTTTCTTTCGCGGCGAATTTGGTCTGCCTGTATCTGGATGTCATCCTCAAGTTCGCCAGTTGCTATATAAGTGGGTTGAGGAAGATGAAGACGGCGAGCAGAGCCTGTCGTGTTGCGACGTATGGGACGGGGTGCTGGTGGGTGGAGGAGACCATCTGGATATTGTGTCTTTGAGGAGCTGGCAGCGGGTACGTTACTGCTTGTCTGAGATATTCTAGCGACCCTAGCTGCAGAGAATTTTGTCTCTGTAGATGCTCGGTGGAGGCTGTCGTGAAATATGCGAGTGCGTTGACTGTTTATGGTTGCTGCATCTAGCTCTACGTCGATGTCATTCTCCTCGGGCGTTATGCCTTTCGGGAGCGGATCTGATTTGGACAGGCGAATTGGACCTGAGGAAAGAGCATCGGGTGACCCGTCTACGCTTGCTGGGGGTGAAGGCGGAGGTGGACCAATTGTCTGGTTTGAATCCTCGCGGGGGATAACAGGCAATGGCTTTTGCGGGCGGAGGTGCACTGCGTCCCGGGTTACTTCCACTATATGAATCTGAGTATGAGTATGATCCATGGTCTATATCCGTCAGGATTGGAGTTGGGCAGATTGTAGACGTCGGGGAAGTCTGCGCGGTTACGAAAGATGCGGCTGAAGACGAGACCAAACTTGAATGTCGGTCTAGCTCGGTCGCGGTCAGAATTGAAACCCGGTTAGCCATTATTAGACCCCTTGGTCACTGTCGCACACGATGAGCTCGCAAGTCAAAAAGAACCTTCTCGTTGCTTGTCCAACAGCCTCAAACTTATAGGTGGCTGTGCTTCTTTCTTCACCGGTCTAAAAGCTATACCGACTATTTTAGCACAGGTCTACTGCAGATAAAATCACGTTCTCCAGTTTCCTCGTGCAACAGTATAATCATTGTGGGTAAGCAAAGCTGCTCGACTAAAAACAGTGCGACCTTGGGCGACCTCTCGGAGATGATAGACAAATGATAGACGTATAAAATTGGACCTGCTTCCTTATGACAAGCAGCCAGTCTTGGATTGGATAGAAGCTAATCTCTGCATAGCCGATTTTCACTGGGCTGTCATGGTCTGTCGATCTAACAGTACTTATCACACCAAGTTTCTATCATTGCGCATTCTATTCCAGTTGACAGCGGACGCGTGACATGGGTTTATTCGCATGAAGGCGTAAGAGCAACGGAGTAGGAAGTAGCATAGTGTTCTATCTCGACCTCAGTCGATCCATTGATCTCCGATGGAGATGTTGCACAAGGACGGTTGACTCTAATGATATAATGAAAACCCTTTTTAAGCAACATCCGCAGCTGGCCCAACGGCCAGCACAAATCCTAGCTTCGCAGAAGACGACACTCCACAAAGGAGTTCAACAAGCAAAAAATTACAAGAACCAGTCCAAGAGTAGTCTGAATCGAGTTTCACGATCCACAAAAGATGCGCGAGCCACGAAGTGAACTCAAGGACGAACCCGCACCATCGTATAACCATACAATCAGTCGCGCCTCATACGCAACAGTGTTAGCCTCCCGCAATGCGTATGCAGGGCGACCTTCGTCCCCAAGCACACTAGCGGGACCGCATGATTACTCGAGCTTCATACGCAAGGAGACATAAGCCCCAGAGCATACTCAGCAGTGCATGATCACTCTGGCAGCAGACGAGCTTGACGCTCGCTGGAGGAGGTAGGTTTAGCCAATCATAGGCTGCTCAACCAATAGGTGGCGAGTCCAAACGGACATCACCACGTACCTAGCAATCATGAGCGCCTTCAAGACGCACGCGCTGATAGCTCCGACCGACTGTTATACAACAGACACGAGGTTCGCCCGATCCCCGCAACGCTTTCAAAGCTCTCATTCTCGCCCTCCTCTGCAATAGACAGAATCTTTGGGATATGAAAACGAGGCTGCTTTTCTGGTATGTTGCGCAGCTGATTACAGCTGGGCTCTGCTGGAGCCAATCGAGGGGGATTGAAATACTCAGACCTTAGCCCGCTCAGGAATTTGGATGCGTGGAGCAGTCCTGTACGTGATGAGCAGTCGTGGCTTTGGAACTGGTTGAGGAAAAGAATAGTTTCAAACTCCGCTTGATACAAGCCATTCGGAATCGGTAACCGAGTCATCTTCTCAAGAGTCAACACATGATCAGCTGGTGAACTACCCTAAGTATGCACGCTGAAGCCATACATATTATTCCCAGTGATGCACTAGGAGGATTCATCACTGGGAATAATATGTCATTCAAAATTTGCATTTCCACCGCCTGCCATCATCTCAGAGATCGAGGTGCGTCTCACCGCGTACGCGCTCCCCAAGTTCCATATTCACGTTTCCGAATAGCCAGAACAACACCCTCTACCTGCTGAGGACACGATTTAAAGGCAGGGTCTCAAGTCACCACGTACCACATCTGACGAAAAGCGTCAACATCTCAGTCTCAGCATGCGAAGACTATCATTCGTGCATCACTGTGTGGATTTCATTTAATTTCAAGCGAAGGCGGCTGAAATATTGACGTTTACATTATATAATGCATTACAGCTGCTTGACTTTCAACACCGGGCATTACCAAGTCGAAGAAGCACCCTGTGACGAAATCCTTCACGACATTAGCAAGCGTCGATGTTAATTGTGGCATGCGACTCATGATCATCCAAGAATACAATTTGCTATCGTGTCGATACGCCGGGCCTCAAGCCTCAAGGCCTCCGAAGTTTCAAAGTTCAGATGTTTCGAGGTCAAGCCAGATATTGATGGTTGACGCAAGGTTGATGTCATGGTTTACGTGGTTCCGCAGGGTCCCGCGGCAATTACTCCACATAAATGTGAAGTCCACAGCTTGTCACGTCAGGTCTGATGTACCTATCGACAGTCACCGCCGTGACTGCGCATCAAGTACTCCATGCAGGTCGAATGTCCAAATGTTTACCTGCTTCCTAACAAAATTAGAAGTATTCTCAAGATCCGGATTCTATTCCCCGGACCCAAGTTTGTTTTGCCAATTGTCGTCTGGGCATGATCTAATTTGCCTTGCTCAGTCTCACGGGGACGCAGCCAGTGAAAGAGGATCCCGCCGCAACCGCGGGAAGACTCCATCAATTTGGAGAACAACCATCACAAGTGCGTATCGAACAACGTGTTGTATAACGCGGGTGGGCGTGGGCGGGTGCGCAAAACTCGCTATGCTAACGAGACGAGGGATTCAAGTGAGAAGAGATACAACTAAACGGCAATGGCAGCGTACCTAGCGAGACGAGAGATTCGAGTGAGAAGAGCCAAAGGACTCTTTAACGCTGTCCCGCTAGACATGGCCTGCCTACTTCACTAAAGGAGGTGGCAATGAGGATTGCACGCGACACGCTCGTCATGCCGCAAGGGCAAAAGGGCAGGGTCCGAGGTATGTGACAACGCGAGAGACGTGTCTACTGAATGGCACGCTTGTCTGATTACCCTGGTATAACCAGATTAAACTCAAGTAATTTGGAGCTTGACGTGCTTTCCATCTAGCTCAATTGTACGGATCTTGAAGTCAATGCCGATCACGGTGTGATAAACGAGGGTGTCCACACATCGTCACGGAAAGTCGCGGAACGGAGCAAAAGACAGGACCTCCTAACTTCTAACACCTAAGTAACAATAACTTGAAATTTGAACATGCTAGAACTGAGAAGTTAAGAACCACGTAATAAACACATCTGTCACCAATATTAATCAAGACCCGGAGCAGTTGCAAAGCAAGTTACGCGTTTGAGGCGTGTATGCGGCGTGCTCGCTGATGCTAAGAAACAAACCAGATGAAGTATTGAATATTGAGTAGACGGCCAGCGAGGAAGGATTAGTTCTTAACTAGTCTCCCCTAGTAGACAGACGAATGAAGATAGCCGTTTGATTTTTGACCACATTCGAGAACGATAAACTAAGAACCTCGCCAGCTCGTTGGGTAATCTTGTGTGAATCGCGCAGATGTATAGTACACTGCAGAAAAAGGCAGATTATGTCGGCGACGGATGTGGCAAAAACCTCCAGATCCGTGGCAAACTCGTGCGAGATTTTTGTCAGGTTCGTCGCCACTGTAATGTCAAACGATTGGTCGCAATTTTCATGTATCCGTGTCTCATTTCACGTAGGTTCTTGTGCAACTCGTTCGCTCTATAATCCTCGGCCACCTACCATCATGTACACCACCAACCGCCCAAAATCTCTGGTAGACCCCAAAATGTGTTAGGGTGTGGTAAACCTTCCCACAGTATAGATTATATGGTTTTCGCACAGTATCTTTCGGAGCAATTTAGTAATTGTCTGGGCGACCAAGTGAGTGTAGAATCAACGAGACCTGCATCCGGTAATCTGAGCATATTATAGAGAGACCGAGGGTACATTGACGACCAGGTCTGTTGGTCACATCAGGTTGCCATGTTCCTATAATATTTCGAACATACATCGCAGAAATATCTCATACCACAACTCGCACAGATATCAGGTTAGCATGTTCGGTATAGACTTGCAATTGATACCTCAGCCAGATATCGCACTTCATATGGCATGGAGATATTTAAAGGTGTCTTGTGTTCTTTATCCTATAGCTAATACCCTCGTGTCAGACTTGTAATTCTATTATTATAGCTGGCAGAGCCTCGTTTTCCACCTGCACGTAACCGTCCTTTACGTTAATTGAGGGTCCAGGTTTAAATGTTTATCGCTCATACAGCTTCAGGCTACCTGCAGGTGTCAATTTTAGGTGCTCAATTTGCGCCCCAACATGTTCGGAAGTTCAAAGCAGAGCGCTCGTTCGACAATAAGAACAGCCTCATTGAGGAGCTTGCTTTGCAACGCATTCCTTTGTCCCTTTGTACCTCTTGACTTGTTGGTATACCTAGCTCAAGTCTTTGTCCGGCCCTTCATATAAGTACTTGGATATCACAAGTACCTCACGTTCAACAGACCATGTTGGACTTATTCTCCAAAGATCGAATCGTCAATGAGGCGGGACTTAGAGCCGCCTTATATCATCTGGACGCAATCTCAACTTCAGGTGCAACTGGATTGCAAGCCACGATCGAGCATCTAGTACTCTCACCACCCCTTGTTTTTGCTTATATCATTTCTGGTATCTTATAGACTTTCCTTCTTCTCGCGCCACCAGCTCTGATTCTGTAATAGTTTGGGATCGTTCCGAGAGAATGATCTTGCAGATCATGACAGACTTTCCTACAAAATCTCAAGAATATCCTTCATCCCTTGCGAGCAAGATTCTGGACAATCTGTCTATATCTTTTTTAGCCTTGCCAATCCGGTTTCTGGAGGCAGAAATCTCAAGTGACTTCATCAGCCACCACAGAGGCTTCATCGAGGGCGCTCTACCCTTACTTTGTGCCTTGAGCACTATGAAATTTGCAGGCGCGAATTCATTTGAAGACGAGAGCGATGTCGAAGACATCGAACCTGATGATGAATTCTTCAAAAAGAAAGTGCATCAGAAAATGCGCAAGCGTAATCGCCGGAAAGCTCAGCGTGCGGTCATCAACATATCCCACTTCGCCAGGCTCGATGTGGCTGTGCCTACCACCAGTGACGCGGCCGCAGCATTGTCCATTCACATTCTTGCAGAGCTGAAGGAAGTCCTCTCGGTGCGCATATTCATAGCCTTTTAATGTTTTCCCTGACAGCTCCCCTTAAGTTGTACCTCTCGCTTCTGCGGTGGACGGATTTAGCAGACATCATCAAAGCTGTACTCTTCTCAAATGTAGAAGAGTCTGCCACAGATGTTGCGCCTGAATATTCGTCCTCCTGAAGACGCCAAGAGCTCGAGTGTGCAGCCGATTGTGCAGCCCATGAAGGCTGCTCTTTACTTCGACAACTGCGGATGGGTTCGGAGAGTGGCGGATCCTTGTATCTACCGAGGCTTATAACAATCTGCGTGAATACCGTCGAGTGGACCGGGAAATATTCAAGATCATTTTCAAGACGATCAGGTCCGTATTTTAATGTCATTTATAGCGCCAAATTGATATTTGCCACAGACATCTCTCGCGCGGTCACTTCTCGAGCGACAATCAAAAGAGGCTTGATGGAACGGATGCAGGAATTCCGGTCTTCGAAGCCAAGTTGACCAAGGATCTACGGCTCGTGGTAGACGTAATTTTCATCACACACTGGGCAGAAAATAACCTCCCTTCTCTTACAGTACCAGATTGATTACATCCCTGACCAGGATGGAGAGGTATGTTATTCTTCCACAAAGACGTGTAAAGGATGAAACTGATTCTTGATAGTCTGAGAGACAAGGTGCGCCGTCATGCATCAATGCATCAAGAGCGAACATCGTCTTCTTTATCACTCACGCGAATACCAGTCATCAAAGTGTACAGGATCTATAAACACTCCGAGCTTGACAGAATATGGAATGCCTTGGGCAAGCATCTAGCACGCAAGGGGAGCTGAATATCGCAGACGGTGATAATGCCTCTCATGTATTGATGCAACCTACTGAACCATTGCTCTATCAGATGCATCTTCCGCACCAAGGCGGCCAACAATGTTATTCTGCCAGCCTCATTCCCGCTGGCAGAACCCGTGCCAGAGATCCCAGGCAAGCCCGCTGGATCTCAGTCCCAATGACATGGAACATGTTGAGTGTTTGTATCGTTTAGCTTCGCCAGTGATTGATCTACGGTGTATGTAGCTTCACTCTTTGCTTGTGTAAGAACGAATATTTTGCGATCCGACGCACGATGATTAACTATTCTCTAGTCTAGAGAAATACGTAACTGTTCTCGCAAGTAAGCTTATCTGTACAGTTCTTCGATAAGCAATATGACTTGATAATATCGCATTAGGCATTTTTGCACAGTGAGTGACCGTGTACTCGTCCAACCCGAATTCTCACTCGTGCAAAAGGTCTTATCGCAAACCGAGACGTACACCACGTCTTCATGCTCTCGTATGTTCTACCGCCTTGAAATGAATTTGATGGTTTGACATTACTTCAGTCCTCAAGAACAGAAGGTCGTCGAATGCACCACGTCGTGCTATGTCTTGGGCCGCAGCGGCACAGGGTAAGTACCTTGTGCTCGAGAGCGGTCACTTGTTTATCTCACCACCAGAAAAACGACGACGATGCTGTTCAAGATCCTTGGCATTCAGCGAGCTTGGGAATCGAGTGGCATTGACATGCCCAAGCCACGTCAGATTTTTGTTACAAAATATAGAACGCTGGCGACAAAAGCAGGAGAATACTTCTCGAGGTTTCTCGAGTCCTTGGCATTGGCAGACTCTACGCTGCAAGAACTTGCAAAACTCAAGGCACAAAGCATACTGGATGATCTTGTTGATATTGACGACGTTCCTGAGTCGCAGATGAATATACCAATGAGATACAGCCAACTCGAGGACAAACATTTCCCCCTATTCGTGACTTTCGATCAAGTATGTCATCGTGTGTCTTACAGACCCTCTTGAAAACTTATTTTGTTCAGCTGGCAAAGATGATCGCAGCAGATGTATTCGACATGGACGATCCTGAGACGAGACGTAGCGCTGAGCTGTTCTTCAACACCGACGATGCAAGGGCGCACGATTCGTGTGTCACCTATGACGTATTCAAAAATCAATATTGGCCACATTTTCCGCAGGGTCTCACCAAGAACCTCAGTAGTGCTCTTTCCTTTGCTGTCAGATCATGCACTCACACGTCCCTACCCAGATTCGTGGTTGGTTTTCAGCGAGTTTATGGGCAAGTGTAAGTCTGTATCCAACAACAGCAGTTCCTGAACCTCCTCCCAGGTATTATCGAGGGCTCCGAACAGGCATTGAGCTGTCCGGACGGTGTTCTCGATCGTTCAAGCTACATCCGCTTTACTAATAGCTTCAGTCCGATTTCTGGGAACCAGCGGAACAGTGTCTACCGTATCTTCGAGATCTACCAGAAGTTCAAGAAGCAGAAAAACCATTTCGATGTGGCGGATCGGTACGAGTCATGTTACTCCTCATTAATGAAACTCCATGATATAGCCCCAAACAGTACCCACGCGATCCTCAAGGTCTTGGGAAACCAACGATTTCCTGGTCGACAGATCGATTACCTGTAGGTGTATCTCCCGACCGGACTAATCTTAGGTTCTCATCGATTGTGTACCCTAGGTATGTCGACGAGGCGCAAGACCATCTTTTGATCGATGTGTTGGGTCAGTCATTATTTCCTTCAATACGAGAGTGTGAAGGAACTTTCTGCTCTAGTTTTGAGGCGAATGTGTAGGAATCCAGATGGACTTTTCTGGGCTGGGGATACTGCGCAGACGATCTCTGCTGGAAGCTCCTTCAGGTTCGAGGATCTGAAAGCGTTCATCTATCGTATGGAGGTTAGTGACCGGTAATTGTCTCCCAGAATACCTGTTGATATCTTCCTACAGCAGCAAAGTATCCCGGTCAACTCCGCTAGAATTCCTGCGCAGTCAAACAACAGTGTTCCAATTAGGCATGAACTCCAGGTCACACGGTGGCATCGCGAACTGCGCTCATTCTGTCATCGAGCTCATCACGAAGTTCTGGCCAAGTTCAATCGATTTCCTCCAACCTGAAAAGGGAGTGGTTGATGGAGTGAAGCCAATCTTTTTCACAGGCTTGGATCGCAAACGGTTTTTAACCGGGAACAGGTAAGTGAACTCAGGCTTCATCGTTCCCTTGCTGAGATTCTCGCGGTGACAGTAACTCTGAGCTTGGAGTCCAACCAATGTAAAAGGCTGCTGCCTCAAGATTCTATCCGTGTCCTGAAACATTATTCTATAGGCATACTTGTACGTGATGATGCAGCACTGCCAGAAGTTGCGAGAACAAGTAGGCGACATTGGAATAATTATGTGAATCGTCTCTGTTTGTGCTCCAAGATTTTTATGTTCACGTGTATGCCTAGGACGCTCTATGAGAACAAAGGCCTTGAATTCAACGATGTGAGAAAGCTGACCTTGGTTACCTGGTAGATGACTGACTCTGGTCAGGTTCTCTTGTACAACTTTTTCGAAGATTCCGTCATAGATGCGTCACGCTGGCGGGTAATTCTCAATGGGGTGGAGAGTCGAGGTTATGCGCCCGATTTTTACCGCGACGAGACCCGATACGCTGGAATATGCAGTGAAGTAAGCGCCATCGCTCGTCGACAAAGGAATGGACGTTCCTTACTTTTATCAGTTAAAACTCCTCTATGTGGGAATCACCCGAGCAAGGAAGAACATGTGGATCTTTGACAAGTCTGATAAGTCTGATGCGATGCATGTACGTTTAGGCTAGCCGGATGCTGAGCGCTACTTGATCTGATAATCCTCTATCTTCAGATTTTCTGGACGTCTCGAAATCTTGTCCAGAACTGTGCCCGCGGCAGCGACGTTCCTCCTCTAGCTGTCTCCTCCACTCCAGAAGAATGGGCATCCTCTGGGTGCTCACTATTCTTGCACAAGCGCTACCTGCAGGCTATCCACTGCTTTCAGCGTGCAGGCCTTCTCCGCGAAGTGAAGGTTTGCGAAGCTTATCTACTACGGGTAGCAGCGCGTTCCAGTGTCGGAGTGGCCTTGCTCAACGTTCAACAAAAAGCTTTTATCACGGCAGCGGATGCCTTTGCTGACTGTGGCGCAGCTGCGACGGGGAACGAGAAACGTCAATATTATCGCACCTCGGCAGATTGCTACGTTCGAGGAGGAGAGGACGTCAAAGCTGCTGATACCTATCTCGAGGCTCAAGAGTTTGGTCTAGCTGCGCAGAGATATCGCAAGGCTGGATCCTTCCACAGGACGCTTCGTGTCCTCACTGACCACAGCAAAATGATACCGGAGGAGACCGCGACAGGCTTGTGGACTGCATGCCGGCTTTATTACTGCCGCAACAGCAACAATCCATAAGTGGTCGGATCTTTACGATGATTATGTTGAATGACAATTGCACAGAGCCCCATTGCCTCTATTCTCCTCATCTGACGAGGAACTCGAGTTTTTGAAGGCAAATGGCTTGGACTATGCTCGCTTCTCGAGTCTCACTCGAGGTACTCCGAGGTCGTGGAGCTACACTTGTCAAAGATGGAGATCTTGGGGAGGACGAAGTTGAGGAGGGCCCAAAGTTCGGGCCAGTGAGAATGAGGCGGTAGTGGGAGTGATAGTTCTACGTGAGCGTTTGCGCGAGCTTCGACTGGGTGTTCTTCATACGGTGTCCCTCGTCTAAAACCATGGATGAACAACTAAGAACCAACGAAATCTTCAAACATACTCACCGATGATCATACGCACCTATTTCAGCTTGCTGAGAATAAGCGGTCTTTGATGATATACCCGTATGTGGTGGGCAGAACTGGTAGTTGATCCATCTGCAGTTCGTCCTGAAGGTGAGTTCAGAGAGGATGTATTTGGAGGTGAGTGAGAAGAGGTGGTCTGTGGGGTCTAGAGAGAAGTGGTCCTCGTGCAGCTCGCCGAAGACCCATGGGGCATAATCCTTGAATTTGAAGTCGTATTTCGCGGAGGCAGTTCGTTCCCAATGCCGAGGGATGTGAGTTAAGGGAGTGAAGAGGCGGGGAGTACGTACATGTCGAAAGAATATTTATGCCTCGCGGTGAAATCTTGGTCAGTCAGGGGTCGTTTGATCTTTGCCTGGTATCGTGAGACCTGGGCGGAGTCAGAGGCTGCGGGACATAAAGAGAGAATGGGCACGGACAGCTATCCTGATTCCGGTGAGCATGTTGTATATAAGGACGTAGTTGGCATGGTCCTCTCCTATCAAATTGCCTACCAAAGGATGTTCGTCTTCTTTCTGAGCCACTGCTGCAGCGACTTCTTCAGCCTGTTTTCGCTTTCTTTCGCGGCGAATTTGGTCTGCTTGGATCTGGATGTCATTCTCCAGCTCGCCAGTTGCTATATAAGTGGGTTGAGGAAGATGAAGACGGCGAGCAGAGCCTGTCGTGTTGCGACGTATGGGACGGGGTGCTGGCCCTGGAGGAGACCATCTGGATATTGTGTCATTGAGGAACTGGCAGCGGGTACGTTACTGCTTGTCTGAGATATTCTAGCGACCCTAGCTGCAGAGAATTTTGTCTCTGTAGATGCTCGGTGGAGGCTGTCGTGAAATGTGCGAGTGCATTGACTGTTTATGGTTGCTGCATCTAGCTCTACGTCGATGTCATTCTCCTCAGGCGTTATGCCTTTCGGGAGCGGGTCTGATTTGGACAGGCGAATTGGACCTGGGGAAAGAGCATCGGGTGACCCATCTACGCTTGCTGGGGGTGAAGGCGGAGGTGGACCAATTGCCTGGTTTGAATCCTCGCGGGGGATAACAGGCAATGGCTTTGGCGGGCGGAGGTGCACTGCGTCCCGGGTTACTTCCACTATATGAATCTGAGTGTGAGCATGATCCATGGTCATATCCGTCAGGATTGGAGTTGGGCAGATTGTAGACGTCGGGGAAGTCTGCGCGGTTACGAAAGATGCGGCTGAAGACGAGACCAAACTTGAATGTCGGTCTAGCTCGGTCGCGGTCAGAATTGAAACCCGGTTAGCCATTATTAGACCCCTTGGTCACTGTCGCACACGATGAGCTCGCAAGTCAAAAAGAACCTTCTCGTTGCTTGTCCAACAGCCTCAAACTTATAGGTGGCTGTGCTTCTTTCTCCACCGGTCTAAAAACTATACCGACTATTTTAGCACAGGTCTACTGCAGATAAAATCACGTTCTCCAGTTTCTCGTGCAACAGTATAATCATTGTGGGTAAGCAAAGCTGTTTGACTAAAAACAGTGCGACCTTGGGCGACCTCTCGGAGATGATAGACAAATGATAGACGTATAAAATTGGACCTGCTTCCTTATGACAAGCAGCCAGTCTTGGATTGGATAGAAGCTAATCTCTGCATAGCCGATTTTCACTCATGGTCTGTCGATCTAACAGTACTTATCCCACCAAGTTTCTATCATTGCGCATTCTATTCCAGTTGACAGCGGACGCGTGACATGGGTTTATTCGCATGAAGGCGTAAGAGCAACGGAGTAGGAAGTAGCATAGTGTTCTATCTCGACCCCAGTCGATCCATTGATCTCCGATGCAGATGTTGCACAAGGACGGTTGACTCTAATGATATAGTGAAAACCCTTTGTAAGCAACATCCGCAGCTGGCCCAGCTTCATATGCAAGGAGACATAAGCCCCAGAGCATACTCAGCAGTGCATGATCACTCTGGCAGCAGACGAGCTTGACGCTCGCTGGAGGAGGTAGTTTAGCCAATCATAGGCTGCCCAACCAATAGGTGGCGAGTCCAAACGGACATCACCACGTACCTCGCAATCACGAGCGCCTTCAAGACGCACGCGCGATAGCTCCGACCGACTGTTATACAACAGACACGAGGTTCGCCCGATCCCCGCAACGCTTTCAAAGCTCTCATTCTCGCCCTCCTCTGCGATAAGCAGAATCTTTGGGATATAAAAAACGAGGCTGCTTTTCTGGTATGTTGCGCAGCTGATTACAGCTAGGCTCTGCTGGAGCCAATCGAGGGGGATTGAAATACTCAGACCTTAGCCTGCTCAAGAATTTGGATGCGTGGAGCAGTCCTGTACGTGATGAGCAGTCGTGGCTTTGGAACTGGTTGAGGAAAAGAATAGTTTCAAACTCCGCTTGATACAAGCCATTCGGAATCGGTAACCGAGTCATCTTCTCAAGAGTCAACACATCATGATCAGCTGGTGGACTACCCTACATATACACGTGAAGCCATACATATTATTCCCAGTGATGCACTAGGAGAATTCATCACTGGGAATAATATGTCATTCAAAATTTGCATTTCCACCGCCTGCCATCATCTCAGAGATCGAGGTGCGTCTCGCCGCGTACCGTGCTCCCCAAGTTCCATATTCACGTTTCCGAATAGCCAGAACAACGCCCTCTACCTTCTGGGGACACGATTTAAAGGTGGGGTCTCCAGTCACCGCGTACCACATCCGACGAAGAGCGTCAACGTCTCGGTCTCAGCGGTCGCTCGACCACGCAGCACGTTATCTACTTGCTCGTACAACATGTGTGCGTATTTCGTTTAATTTCAAGCAAAGGCGGCTGAAACGATGTTCGCGATGCATTACAGCTGTTCGACTTTCAACACTAGGCATTACGAAGTCGAAGAAGTACCATGTGACCCAATCCTACGCGGTATTGGCAAGCATCGATGGTCATTGTAGCATGAGACACGAGACTCAGGATCATCAAAATAATACAATTTCCTATCGTGTTGATAGGCCGGGCCTCGAGGCCTCAAGCAAGCCTCAAGGCCTCTGATTTTGAAACTTCAAGGTTCAGAAATTTCAATCTCAAGCCAGGCGGTTGACGTCAGGATTTACGTGGTTCCGCAGGGTTCTGCGGCAAGTAACCCGTACAAACTTGAAGTCCGCAGCTTGTCGTGTCTAGACTTTGCGAGTTGCATCCATGCAGAGCGAATGTGTTTAGGTTAAGTACCTCTTCTTCCTAACATAACTAGAAGTATTCTCAAAATATTGCCAATTGCCAATTGTCGTCTGGGCATGATGTAATTTGGAGCTTAACGGGCTTTCCATCTAGCTCGATTGTACAGTCAATGCGGCTGATGGTGTTGATGAACGAGGGTGTCCACGCATCGTCACAGAAACGGAGCAAAAGACAGGACTCTTGTGTTCTTTATCCTATCCCCTCAAACTGAATTCTATTATTATAGCAGAGCCCCTTCTTTCACTTGTACGTCAGCATCCTTCTTTACGGTAATCTGGATGTATTGTGGGTCCAAGTTTATCGCTCATATAGCTTCAGGTTGCCTGCAGGTGTCAATTTTGGGTACACGATTTGCGCCCCATCGTGTTCGGAAGTTCAAAACAGAGCGCTCGCTCGACAATAAGAACAGCCTCATTGTGGAGCTTGCTTTGCGACGCACTCCTTTGTCCCTTTGTACCTCTTGACTTGTTGGTATACCTAGCTCAAGTCTTTGTCCGGCCCTTCATATAAGTACTTGAATATCACAAGTACCTCACGTTCAACAGACCATGTTGGACTTATTCTCCAAAGATCGAATCGTCAACGAGGCAGGACTTAGAGCCGCCTTAAATCATCTGGACGCAATCTCAACTTCAGGTGCAACTGGATTGCAAGCCACGATCGAACACTTACTCTCATCACCCCATGCTTTTGCCTATATCATTTCTGGTATCTCACAGACTTTATTCTTGCGCTACCAGCTCTGACTCTGTAATAGTTTGGGATCGCTCCGAGAGAATGATCTCGCAGATCTTGACAGACTTTCCTACCAAATCGCAAGAATATCCTTCATCCCTTGCAAGCAAGATTCTGGACAATCTGTCTATATGTTTCTTAGCTTTGCCAATCGAGTCTCTGGAGACGGAAGTCTCGAGGGACATCAGCCGCCACAGAGGCTTCATCGAGGGCGCTTTACCCTTGCTTTGTGCCTTGAGCACCATGAAATTTTCCAGCGCCAATTCCTTTGAAGATGAGAGTGATCTCTTCGACATCGAACCTGATGAAGGATTCGTCAAAATGAAAGTGCATCAAAAAATGCGCAAGCGACATCGCCAGAAACCTCAGCATGCGGGTATCAACACATCACTGTTCGCCAGGCTCAATGTGGCTGTGCCTACCACGAGTGACGCGGCCACAGCATTATCCACTCACATTCTTGCAGAGCTGAAGCAAGTGCTCTCGGTATGTATGTCACCATGTACTTTTCAACGTTTCCCCTGACAGCTTCCCTTAAGTTATACCTCTCGCTTCTGCGGTGGACGGATTTAGCGGACGACATCAAAGCCTTACTCTTCCCAAATGTAGAAGAGTCTGCCAAAGATGTCGCGCCTGAACTTTCGTCCCCCGAAGACGCCGAGAGCTTAACAGAGTCGAGCGTGTACCCGATGGTGCAGCCCATGAAGGCTGCTCTTTACTTCGACAACGCGGATGGGTTCGGAGAGTGGCGGATCCTTGTATCTACCGAAGCTTATAACAATCTGCGTGAATACCGTCGAGCGGACCGGGAAATATTCAAGATCATTTTCAAGACGATCAGGTCCGTCTTTTAATGACATTTATAGCGCCAAATTGATGCTTGCCACAGACATCTCTCGCGTGGTCACTTCTCGAGCGACAATCAAAAGAGGCTCGATGGAACAGATGCAGGAATTCCGGTCTTCGAAGCCAAGTTGACCAAGGATCTACGGCTCGTGGTAGACGTACTTTTCAATACACACTGGGCAGACAATAACCTCGTTTCTCTTACAGTACCAGATTGATTGCATCCCTGACCAGGATGGAGAGGTATGTTATTCTTCCACAAAGACGTGTAAAAGATACTAAAATCAATCTTGATAGTCTGAGAGACAAGGTGCGCCGTCATGCATCAAGAGCGAACATCGCTTCTTTATCACTCACGCGAATGCCAGTCATCAAAGTGTACGGGATCTACAGACACTCCGAACTTGGGAGAATATCATGGAATGCCTTGAGCAACCATCTAGCACGCAAGGGGGCTGAATATCGCAGATGGTTGAGAACGCCTCTCACCTATTGATGCAACCTACTGAATCGTTGCTCTATCAGATGCATGTTCCGCACCAAGGCAGCTGACAGTGTTTTTCTACCGGCCTCATTTCCGCTGGCGGAACCCGAGCCAGACATCCCAGCAAGCCCGCCGGATCTCAGTCCCGATGACATGGAACATGTTGAGTGTTTGTATCCTTTAGCTTCGCCGTGATTGATCTATGGTGTATGTAGCTTCACTCTTTGCTTGTGTAAGAACGAATATTTTGCGATCCGACGCACGATGATTAACTATTTTCTAGCCTAGAGAAATACGTAACGTTCTCGCAAGTAAGTTTATCTGTACAGTCCTTCGATAAGCAATGACTTGATAATATCGCATTAGGCATTTCTGCGCAGTGAGTGACCGTGTACTTGGCCAACCCGATTTCTCATTCTTGCAAAAGGTCTTATCGCAAACCGAGACGTACACCATGTCTTCATGCTCTCGTATGTCCTACCGCCTTGAAATAAGTTTAATGGTTGACATTACTTCAGTCCTCAAGAACAGAAGGTGGTCGAATGCACCATGTCGTGCTATGTCTTGGGCCGCAGCGGCACAGGGTAAGTACCTTGTGCTCGAGATCGGCCGCTTATTTATCTCGCCACTAGAAAAACGACGATGATGCTGTTCAAGATCCTTGGCATTCAGCGAGCTTGGGAATCGAGCGGCATTGACATGCCCAAGCCACGTCAGATTTTTGTCACAAAATCTAGAATGCTGGCGACAAAAGTAGAAGAATACTTCACGAGCCTTCTCAAGTCCCTGGCATTGGCAAGTTCTACCCTGGAGGAACTCAAGGCACTAAGCATTCTGGATGATCTTGTTGATCATGACGACGCTCCGGAGTCACAGATGAATATACCAATGAGATACAGCCAACTCGAGGACAAACATTTCCCCCTATTCGCGACTTTCGATCAAGTACGTCATCGTGTGTTTCACAGACCCTCTTGAAAGCTTATTTTGTTCAGCTGGAAAAGATGATCGCAGCAGATGTATTCGACATGGACGATCCTGAGATGAGACGTAGCGCTGAGCTATTCTTCAACACTAACGATGCAGGCGCGCACGATTCGTGTGTCACCTATGATGTATTCAAAAATCAATATTGGCCACATTTTCCGCAGGGTCTCACCAAGAATCTCAGTAGTGCTGCTTCCTTTGCTGTCAGATCATGCGCTCACGTGTCCTACCCAGATTCGTGGTTGGTTTTCAGCGAGTTGATGGGCAAGTGCAAGTCTGTATCCAACAACGCAGCTGCTGAACCTCCTCCCAGGTATCATCAAGGGCTCCGAACAGGCTTTGAACTGTCCGGACGGTGTTCTCGACCGTTCAAGCTACCTCCGCCTTTCTGGTCGTTCCAATCCGATTTCTGAGAACCAGAGGGACAGTGTCTACGATATATTCGAGATTTACAAGAAGTTCAAGAAGCAGAAATACCATTTCGATGTGGCGGATCGGTATGAGTCATTTTTCCTCTCATCGATGAAACCCCATGATATAGCCCCCAACAGTACGCACGCGATCCTCAAAGTCTTAGGAAACCAACGATTTCCTGGTCGACAAATTGATTACCTGTAAGTATATATCCCGAGTGGCTAATCCTAGGTTCTTATTGATTATGTACTAGGTATGTCGACGAGGCGCAGGACAATCTTTTGATCGATGCGCTGGGTAAGTCATTGTTTCCTTCTCCAATACGAGAGTGTGAAGGAACTTTCTGCTCTAGTTTTGAGGCGATTGTGTAGGAATCCAGATGGACTTTTCTGGGCTGGGGATACCGCGCAGATGATCTCTGCTGGAAGTTCCTTCAGGTTCAATGATCTGAAAGCGTTTATCTATCGTGTGGAGGTTAGCGACCGGTGATTATATCCCAGATTTCCAATTGATCTATCTTCCTACAGCAGCAGAGTATCTCGGTCAACTCCGCTAGAGCTCCTGCGCATCAACCAACGATGTTCCAATTGGGCATGAACTACAGGTCACATGGTGGCATCGTGAACTGCGCTCATTCTGTCATCGAGCTTGTCATGAAGTTCTGGCCAAATTCAATTGATCACCTCCAACCTGAAAAGGGGGAGGTCGATAGAGTGAAGCCGATCTTTTTCACGGGCTTGGATGATAACTCTCGCTGCAAACAGTTTTTAGTTGGGGAGAGGTGAGTGGACTCAGGCTTTATCGTTCCCTTGCTGAGATTCTCGCAGTGGCTGTATCTCTGAGCTTGGAGCCAACCAATGTAAAAGGCTTCTGCCAAGGTTCCATTCGTGTCCTGAAACATTAATCTATAGGCATACTTGTACGTAACGATGCAGCGTGCCAGAAGTTGCGAGAACAAGTAGGCGACATCGGAATCATTATGTCAGTCGTCCCTGTTTGTGCTCCAAGATCTTTATGTTCACGTGTCTGCCCAGGACGCTCTATGAGAGTAAAGGCCTCGAGTTCAACGATGTGAGAACGCTGACCTTCGCTGCCTCATATATAACTGACTTCGCTCAGGTTCTCTTGTACAACTTTTTCGAAGATTCCGTCATCGATGCGTCACGCTGGCGCGTGATTCTTAATGGGGTGGAGGGTCAAGGTTATGCGCCCGATTTTTACCGCGACGAGACCCGATACGCTGGAATATACAGTGAAGTAAGCGCCATCGCTCGTCGACAAAGGAATGGACGTTCCTTACTTTTATCAGTTAAAACTCCTCTACGTGGGAATCACCCGAGCAAGGAAGAACATGTGGATCTTTGACAAGTCGGATAAGTCTGATGCTATGCGCGTACGTTTAGGCCAGCCGGATGTTGAGCGCCACTTGATCCGATAATCCTCTACCTTCAGATTTTCTGGACGTCTCGAAATCTTATCCAGAACTGTGCCCGCGGCAGCGACGTTCCTCCTCTAGCTGTCTCCTCCACTCCAGAAGAATGGGCATCCTCTGGGCGCTCACTATTCTTGCACAAGCGCTACCTGCAGGCTATCCACTGCTTTCAGCGTGCGGGCCTTCTCCGCGAAGTGAAGGTTTGCGAAGCTTATATACTACGGGAAGCAGCGCGTTCCAGTGTCGGAGTGGCCTTGCTCAACGTTCAACAAAAAGCTTTTATTACAGCAGCGGATGCCTTTGCTGACTGTGGCGCAGCTGCGACGGGGAACGAGAAACGTCAATATTACCGCACCTCGGCGGCTTGCTACTTTCGAGGAGGAGAGGACGTCAAAGCTGCTGATACCTATCTCAAGGCTCTGTTGAATGTCAATTGCACAGAGCCCCATTGCCTCTATTCTCCTCATCTGACGAGGAACTCGAGTTCCTGGAGGAATATGACTTGGACTATACTCGCGTTTCCCTTCTCGAGTCTCGCTCGAGCTACGAGGTCGCAGAGCCACACTTGCCAGAGAACCGTCTCATGGAAGCAGCTCAAGTACTCCCCAAGGACACCAGAAACATTGATTCAGCTGCTCCCACAGTCGACGCCCTTCTGGAATCCCTGTGGCGCAAATACTCATTCAGGATCACCAGAACTGCCGTTGCTGATGACTCAGTACAGCATTCTATCGCTCTCCTCAATCAGCTGCAGATGAGAAAACTGGAGCCCATGGCTCGTGACTTGGTATTTATCATGCATTACTGAGACGGAGCGAGCAAACTGATCTGTACGCAGATCTTGATGTTTCAAAGCATCTTGGGGGAAGATAATGAGTCGTTGAAGAAGCTCGCGCTTGTCTTTCAGGAACGTGATCATCCATCTGCCGTTCTCCATTGCCTGGATCACTTTTTCTCTCAAGTGACAGACATTCGTTCTTTCAAAGTCCATGAAATGGCAGGCTTTCTTGAAACTTTTCATACCTACGCGCGACTTCTTTCTCAAATATCGACCATGCCTGACCCGTTAGGGCGCGACAGTGTACTCAGACTGTTTTCCATCGTGCCACTGTCGGGCAACGAGTTTCTCATACCGCGTGGGACATTCCTCCACGACAGCGCAACGGAAACTCCTCAGAACAACCACCTGGTTTCTGTGCATCAGTCCGGATACACGGCCTCTCGTAGAAATGCCACTCAATTGATCCATCTATCCATTCGGACTGTCTTGAAGGACAAAGTTTTGGCAGTCGATGAAATGTGCTGCAACGCTCCTGTCTTTTTGCAGTGCTTACCATACATCGTCTCCGGGACCTGTCGAAGAACGCCATGCCTCCAGAAACATGTCACGATGTCGAATTTGGGCCGCGTGCAATACAACGCCCATGTCGCGATCCATCTACAGTATATGCTCATCTTACAACTCTTGTATTCTGCACATCCTCATACGAAACAATGGAAGAGGTGCGCCCACTGAGTAGTGTATGGCCGAAGTATATGCTGATATTTTTATTAGCATGAGAGACCGGATCGACCGCCTTTACGAGGCACTGAATCCGCCCTTGTTCATTCAAGGTTCCCTCGCGGACCTCGATTTGACCCTCATTCCGCATGGTTCAGCTGGCCTGAGGATGGTGAAGAACTGGACTTGCGAGTTCTTTTATAAATTGGACCCGTTCCAGAGCCCATCCCTATTTTTGACGACGTTAATGAGAATCACCAGTCTCAGTTTTGCTTTTGACAGGAATGATGCTCCCACCTACATTGCTCAGGCAAAGTGTGTCACCCGAAATATGTCTACTGAGCTTCTTTGCAAAGCAGATAATCGTTACTTGGTGCTCGACATGCTTAATTCGTACTGAGGAGTTACCGAAAGCAGCATATCTTCGGGAATTCTGTATCTACAGTGAGTTCGCGCCTTGCGTTCATGTGTATGTGCTAAGTGCTCCCTAGGCATGTCCTCGACCACCGTTTAAGCGTCAATCTGTCTGTTCTATGTGACTACATCGAGGATATCCTCTCCTCTTTCGTGATAAATCATAGAATGGATCCGAACCTCCCACTTGATGGGGTTGTTCTTCCATCCAACTGGTTGATCTTCCCCCACAAGTTTTCTGCGAATAAATGTATCTCGCCGGAGTTAGTAGGAGTGCTCTTCGATGCGATAGGGAATATTATAGAGATGTTGCGCGCGGATGCTGGCATGGGTAGAGTCCCTGCACACTTCGCAAACTGTCTAATGCTCACGATTCAGTAGATTTTCTCTGGCTTGCACATACATATGTTACACCAGTACTTCGCAGTATTTTCATATTCCGGCTGTAGGTCCAGTTTACCTACCCGTGCACAACGATCCACTCACCCTACACATCCACAGTTGCAGGAATCTTTGCCTTGGTGCGTCTGCTGAAGCCCTTCATAATTCAAGCCCTCATAATTTATTGTAACAGTCGCTCACAACACAAGGGATCTTATGATCAAGCGCAAAGTAAACTCGATCGTGCTTCATCTGCACAGAAATCTTACGCCTTGGCGCCCTGCGTACTACCGAAAGCTCGTGGACGACGTAGTCCAGCATCGTGTGCTCTTGTCAGGCAAAGCAATCCCTCCATTAGATGGCTACCTGCGAGCTGTTCTTGCGTTCGATAAATGCAATGCCGCGAGTGATCTAGTCCACTTAGTCCACAAGATGACGCCCCAACCTACTCGAATATCTTCGGTGCGACAACTGTTGTACGACAAGCCCAGTGAAATTCCCTATCTTCTTTCTTCCCATACAGTCGCTGCGCAGTCTACTCCGAGGGTGGAGGTAGCCACCTTTGTGTCTCGCATACAGCGTCCCGAAGATGATGTAGAGATTCACCAAGACCAGAAGGAGAACTTGGAACCGACACCCCAGGAGTCCGATGGAGAGGAGGCAGAGGGGGAGGAAGATATCTCAGTGGATGTTGATACCGAGGCCACTGATGACATAGAAAACATGGAGCAGGCGGTTGCATCCCTTGACGCTGTACTAGACGAGTCCCTTCGCTCCAACAGGCTATCGGAAGAGCAAGAGAGCAAGATTCAGAACGTATATCGCCGTTACCTTCGACATTTCTCGAGCCCTGCGTTGGATGCAGAAACCGAGGCGATATTCATGACGTGCCTGAAGGAGACGCAGTCCTCTGGATGGAGTCCGGGTGGTTATCGCCTCCTTTTCCTTGGTCCATTGCCTCACGTTCTGGTGTGCCTGGAACGAGGCATCACTCTTACTTATGCTGCCAAAGAGAAGGCGAAACGCCTTCTCAACAAGGAGTCTCACGAAAAGCTTGAGGAGTTGGGCAAGCAAATAAGCAAGACCACGTCAGTCATAACTTACCCAGCGTTGCTCCACAACTGACGCACAACCCTGGTTGTGTTTGCAGAAAGCTTCTTAAGAAGGGCATGCAATTGCGCAAGCAGCTAGCGCCATCCTCAGCAGATCATCATGCCCGCGACATCGGCGCCCTTAGACGTGCGGTTCGGGAAGTCGAGGATTTCATGCAGAGGGTTCCTGGCAACACGGAGGAGATGCAAACCAAGTTTCAAGTGGCCTCAAGGGGAATAATCCCAGAGAAGAAGCTAGTGCGAAAGGAGAAATCCGCTCTCAATGTCCAGGATGTTTGATGATGGTTCGGATATCGTGATTTGATATTATTGTGTATGTACCAATACATACCACAAAATGAACGCTGTTATAAACACAACGAAAGAATAAAATAGACAAAGTATCTACTCCTCATCACTGGATGTCAGGTATTCGTCGTCGTTAACCACCTGTTTGGGACCAGCAATCCGAGCCTTACCCCGCTGCGGCCGCTCATCCTCGCCCATAGGAATAAGCGTGTGGATTCCTGCATTATCATCAACACGTCTATCCAAATAATTGGCGGAGGATTATTCACCAGTCACTATCAAAGCTACAAACCTACGCGTCAGCACAGAGAAAGAAACGACTGCAAGAGACGGCGTACATGATTATCTGTGGTCTGCAAGTTGAGACCCAAACTACCAGCTCGTGTCGACAGGATGAAGACTTTGATTTCTGAGTCCTTCGCATTGAACTGTTGCACATGCATGGCACGCTCCGCCGCCGTACTACCGTGAAGACGGAGATACCTCCAGCCTGAAATCTTCCATGATATCCATGACCTTCGTCATTTGGAGGAACAAGGACCTGATGGAAACAATGATCAGCACAACTCGCGACAATTGTTGGAGAAGCAACACACCGTGTGGCCTGTTGCGAAGAACTTGGGAAGGATACGCGATAAGAGCTTGAGTTTGCCAGCCGACCTGATCGATTTGTCGTCGATGAGCCCGGTTGGGCTAACCTTGTCCTCAACGCTCTCGAACAAGAACAGATGTTGACTGCATCAGCTCATTACTCAGACCCTTCACGCCTCCAGATTTGCTACCCAAAAAACATCAGGACCACGATTCGCACCCCACCAAAAGTACCAAACTTACCTCTTGTCGTCCTTCCCATTAGCAATCATCTTATACTTCTTCATAGCTGACTCTGCAGCGCGCTCGTTCGGCAAGCTCGCTCTCCACATCCTTTTTCAGCCTTCTCAAAAGAACGGCTGCAACTGCCGGATGGTCAGTAGTGCCTCTTCTTCGTTCCACTCGATCTTGTCCCCCGTACCCGAGTCCGCCAACGGCGTGTTGAACCATTTGTCGAATAATTTGACGGAGTTGAAGATCTTCTGGCAGACAAAGTTGAGGAGGGCCCAGAGTTCAGGGAGGTTGTTCTGAAGTGGTAGTACTGTGTGAGCGTCTGCGCGAGCTTTGACTGGGTGTTCTGTCTAAACATCAGGGAAATTGGGCATTCCCAATTTGCCACAATATCACACAATTCTCGCGAATTGTCGAGGATTCAATACATTCGAATGATACGACTGATTTTTTTAGCCCCCCTCCCAATTGTAGACAATTTACCCTAATACTCCCAATAGAAAATCATAAGTCACACATTAGATCCAATTAAAACATCGCGAAAACAATCAAATTCAGGTGAATCCTAGTCAATTTCACTACTAGCGCTCGTCACCTATTACTCCTCCGACTCTGGCATTGCATCAATGTCCAGGAACATCAATGCCTCGTCCGCCTCCAGATCACACACCATGTTGGCCTTGGAGCCACTGCAATACACAGTGAGTAAAATAGTGAGAAAATCAATCCAACGAGCACGTACTAGACAGTATTGTTAGGGAACCGTTCTGAAGTGGTAGTACTGTGTGGGCGTCTGCCGCAGCGCGAGCTTTGACTGGGTGTTCTGGCTAAAACCAAGGATGAACAACCAAGAACCAACAAAATCTTCAAATCCACTTACCGATGATCGTATGCACCCATTTGAGCTTGCTGAGAATAGACTGGTCTTTAATGATGTACTCGTATGTGGTGAGCAGACTTGGATCCGGAGGTGAGTTCAGAGAGGATGTAATTGGAGGTGAATTAGAGGAGGGAGTCTGCAGGGTCTAGAGAGAAGTACTGGTCCTCGTGGAAGACCCACAGTTGAGTATAGTCCTTGAATTTGAAATGCATTCGGTGGACCGAGTCATCTTATGATTTATCTCAAGAGTCAATCGGACTCAACACATCAGCTGGTGGACTACTTCGTCTCCCCTAGAGGCTAGTATGCACGTAAAGTTATAAAGCACATACATATTGTCTCTAATTGTAGGACTGACATGCATATGTGTAACTTCTATAACTGGAGACAATGATAGGTGCATAACTGTGTGCGGATTTTGTGCAAAGGAATGCGAAGTATTACGCCCGCGGTTTCCTGATTTGAAGAAGGCGTTGTTCTTGTCTCATTGAAGCCTCCCTTAATGCACGCGTGGCTGAACACAACATGATGATGCCTATCCGCATCACAATATTTTATCTCATGTGAATTCCGCAGGTGGATGACAACGGAGGTGGCTCATATTATTTACATCGAGTCGACCAGGAAGGCTATGCGGGCATCAAAAAACAGTTTGAGAACCAGCGCGCAAGGAGTTCGCGTGCTGACAATCTAGTGGACATTTTACCTTCCACGGCCGTTAGCGTTGACCTGTCGTATACTCGCGGTTGTGGTGTATTGTGGGCTGTATACACCCACTGGCCAAGCTGCAGACTCGAGAATAGTGTGAGTAGTCCTGGTATACTGTTCAATTTATAGTCGGAGGGGATGACGAAAGCAACACATTTATTTATCTCGTCCATTAATGACTTGGATGCGGAGGATCTGCTGGAAGCGGAGAAAAAATACTTCGTATGAGAGCTAAAAACAGTGGAGCAACGTAAAAGAAATATATCAAGATGATCAATGCACAATAACAAGACCAGGATGTACAAGATCAACAGCTTCAGACTCGTGACTGAGACGACCCCGGAGCTTGGAGGAGGTGTTCCTATATGCGCAGGTCAGGTGCTGAATCACGAAAATCAGAGAACACACCTTTGCAAGTTTCTGCCCTTCAGATAAAACAAGTAGGCAAGACCGCAAGCCTTTCAAGCACCACTGCCTTTCGAGCCAGGCGAGCAAGTGATGATCCCAGAAGAACTTGAACAAAGTGTCGGGCTTGCCATCCCGTGGACTAGGAGCTCGCGAGAGATGGAAGGCCCAATTTTGACATGCATACTTCAGAGCGTCAGAGGCTAATCGACTTCGTTCCGGGGCTTCTTTTGCAAAAATTGCAAATGCCGTCATAGCATAGATGACCTCTATGTCTGGTAAACGACGATCTTCTTGGAATGCATGTGTGGAGTGATCCTGGGGTCGAAATGCCAAGAATGCCGGAAAGCCCAAGAAATCCGGCAAGTTCTTGAACTGCTGGATGGCTTGAAAAGCTGGCCGTAAATGTATTTCTGGGACGATTGTGTACTCGCTGATGGCTTCCGATGTGCTCGAGAATTCGTCGACTGTTACCCAGACAGATGCTGCTGGAGTCATCTGCCACGCTTGACCGTGGGGCGTCTGTAGCCACTCTCGCCCGCTCTGTGTCTGCAGCCACTGTTGCACTCCCTCGGTCTGCAGCCACTGTTGCCCTCCCTCGCTCTGCAGCCACTGTTGCCCTCTATAGGTCTGCAGCCACCGTTGCCCTCCCTCGATCTGCAGCCACAGTTGCGGTCCCTCGGTCTGCAGCCACCGTTGCCCTCCCTCGGTCTGCAGCCACCGTTCCCCTTCCTCGATCTGCAGCCAGCATTGCCCTTCCTCGGTCTGCAGCCACCGTTCCCCTTCCTCGATCTGCAGCCAGCATTGCCCTGCCTCGGTCTGCAGCCACTGTTGCCCTGCCTCGGTCTGCAGCCACCATTTCCCTCCATAGGTCTGCAGCCACTGTTGCGGTCCCTCGGTCTGCAGCCACTGTTGCCCTCCCTCGCTCTGCAGCCACTGTTGCCCTCCATAGGTCTGCAGCCACTGTTGCCCTCCATAGGTCTGCAGCCACCGTTGCCCTCCCTCGGTCTGCAGCCACTGTTGCCCTCCCTCGGTCTGCAGCCACTGTTGCCCTCTCTCGGTCTGCAGCCACTGTTGCCCTCCATAGGTCTGCAGCCACCGTTGCCCCCCCTCGCTCTGCAGCCACTGTTGCCCCCCCTCGGTCTGTAGCCACTGTTGCCCTCCCTCGCTCTGCAGCCACTGTTGCCCTCTATAGGTCTGCAGCCACCGTTGCCCTCCCTCGATCTGCAGCCACAGTTGCGGTCCCTCGGTCTGCAGCCACCGTTGCCCTCCCTCGGTCTGCAGCCACCGTTGTCCTCCCTCGGTCTGCAGCCACCGTTGCCCTCCCTCGGTCCGCAGCCACTGTTGCCCTCCATAGGTCCGCAGCCACCTTTGCACTCCACAGGTCTGCAGCCACTGTTGCCCTGCCTCGGTCTGCAGCCACCATTGCCCTCCCTCGGTCTGCAGCCACCGTTGCGCTCCCTCGGTCTGCAGCCACCGTTGCCCTCCGTTGGTCTGCCCTCCGTTGGTCACCAGCGACTCGCTCTGGGTCTCCAGTGACTCTTGCCCATTCTCTGGAAAACGTGGCCGGCCTCCCTGATGAAGAAGCTGATAAGGATGTGCGGGATGACGGATGAGGAGGGGTGGTCGATGACGATGTAAAATTGGAAGCATTACTTGATGAGGCAGTATAGCCGGGACATGATAAGACTGTGTCTTCAGCAACTCTTGCCCTCCATTGGGCTCCAGCAACTCTCGCTCGCTCTGGGTGTCTAGCAATTTTGGCTCGCCAGAGTGTCTAGCGACTTGTCGCCATTTCCGAGCCCATTTCCGCCCACGCTTGGTCTTCAGCCATCTATTCCCCCTGCGCGTTTGCAGCCATGCACGTCCATCCGGGGTTTCTAGCCAGGACAGCGAACCCGGACCACGAACTCCCCGAAGCCATAGCAGACCCGTAAGAACATGCAGTGGCTCTAGTGGCTCGACAACGAAGGCTAATGATTGTTGTAAACTCTGGGGATCGTGGGTTTGCATAGTTTGGCTGTGCTCCTTCAATTCTAAGAGCGCATCCAGAAGGGCCGTGCTTTTTGGAATGTCTCGCACCATCAAGCGGAAAGAGCATTCAGCGAGTAGGGAGTGGGGTGATGTGATCGAATGCACTTGAGAGAGGCTGCAGTTTGAGGGATCCGAAACGTAGTCACGAACAGACGAGTGATAGATATCCACAGGGAGGCCGCTGTCGGTAGGAATATTCATGATAGACCGTAGCTGAACCAGTGTTTTCTCGACGTCCATGCCTTGACCAGGCCCAAGAAGTTTGGAGATCTGTGAAATCGGCAGAGGATCAACAAGGGCCGCGACAACGGACAAGTGCAGGTATGCCCGCTTGGGGTCTGCACATGTGGAAAGGATGCGATCATATAACTCGTACACCTCCGTTCCTGGAAGCAGTTCACTCGTTAGCTCGAGCAAGAGCTCAAGCCGATCCCAGGGATCGTTGTATTCATCGTCGATAAACTTCATCATCGTAGTCGCCACGATGAAACGTCTGCCCGCTCGGCTCGCTAGCCGCACAAACTTATCTGCGGTGGGCTGCGGGAAATCAGGATGGCGACTTTGCAGCTCTGTGAAGGAATGCTGCAAGAAGATATAGATGTCGTGATCGACGTCCTCGCCGTCTAATGAGATGGTGGCAGAAACGCCCTCTCCAGAAGTGTTCACCGGTATCGAGCGCACCAGTGAGCGCATATCTTCTTTCTGCATGGCTTTACGGATATGCTCTTCCAAGCGACTCGTGAACAGAATGTGGATCACGGGAAGATCAGGATCGCGAAGAGCTTGGCCAAGAAGGGAGATCAGCTCGGTGACGGTTTCGGGTTTACATTCATCAAGGGCATCGATAACAAACATCGGAGGCATACACTCGCGCAGTCTCAATTGAAGGTTCAAGAGAGGTTGGCGAAATAACGCCTTCATCTGGCCGAGAAGAGACTTGCTGGGGTCTAGAACTGCAGGATTCTCCCGGATAGCTCCATTCACGTGCGTCCTGATGCTGGGGAAATTGCTCGCAAGCTGGTAGGCAAGCGTCGCAAAGAAATGACCACTCGTGCTACGTTGTGTGTGATTGCGAGAGAAAAAGAATGTCCCCGCGAGCCGTGTTTCGATATTCGTCTCCTCCGTCACTTTCAGAGATCTCATCCTTTCAGCTACAGTGAATGCAACAGCAGATTTTCCGACGCCTGCCGTGCCATGCAGCCAAATGATTTGACTCTTCTCTCGGTTCTCTAACAATCCGTAGATGTAGTCGAGAAGGTCCACCCGGGTCCTTTCCAAACATTTTGAATGTGGCTGGCGTTCAGGAGAGTCATATTCAGCGCCCGAAACAGCGACCCGAGACAGCTTCTCCCAAGGTCCTTCAGATGATTGATGGACTGTTGATGAGGTCAGAGTGTGAAAGGGGATAAGAGAAGGAGATACTGACACTGACTCATCGACAGAGATTGATGATAAAATGTGGCGCAATCGTCGGTAAAATACTAGCTGTGTTCGACAGTGTGGTTGGAAATCTTATAGGCGACGGCTATCACGAGGGACGACGTACGATTGATTGAAGAATACAAGCCTAAACTGTAACTTGAATCTTTTGAGAGAGGGTAAGGTCGAAGAAACTATGCTTGGGCGTCGGGCTATGTCCAGTCACTGTATTCGACGGTATTGGAGTGGGCAGCGAAACGAGCAAGCTGTGGAGTGACAGAGATGGCAATGTTTGAAGGCTGCTTGAATTGAATGGATAGATGTTCGAATCAGTTGCAGGGCTAGGTAAGCTCGTTGGATGGTGGTGGAATGCAGCTGAACAACCAGGTTCCTGTGTGGCCTTGCGCTGGAGTTCGACCAATTAGATATTTGAACCACTCTAGGGCCATCCAGTTTCAGGCGACATCCATCTACCCGATAAGGTAGCAGAGTCAACAGATGATCATTACACACTGAGATCCTAGATGCCCGCCACCGGATTTGATTGACAACAGTGTTCAGGATGACTCGAATGCAACTGCTGCGGCCAGTACTAGTCAAAACTCGTTAGCGAAGCGCAGGCGACAAACACTTCAAGGTAACACTGGTTCCAAGCGCTCAAAGAAGGCTTAAGTTTTAAAATTGATTCACGCACGTACGGTACATCAAAGCTACTTCTATCACCTTACTAGACCTATCATAATAGTTATATGTAGATGCACAATGCACAATTTAATGTCACAACTTGCTTCACCATCGAGCTGTATTCTGAAGTCATTACTTACTTACAATCCACTATGTAGTGCGTGGACTTAGCGAAATTTTGCGGGTCGAGTATGGTACAGTATGGTATAGTATTCGACTCGTTTTCGGGGTCCTGGCCACTCAACTTTTGCGGGTCCGTGTTGAAAACTTTATGTTTGTTGCCCCCTTGCGTGAAAGTGAACTCAAGGACAAACCCGCAACATCGCACAACCATAAAACCAGTCGCACCTCATACGCAACAAAGTCATTAGCCTCTCGCGACTCATGCACGGAGACGCCTCCAAGCCTACTAAGCGATGATCGGCGTGATTGCTCGAGCTTTATACGCAAGGAAAGATGAACCCCCGAGCATGCTCAGCAGCAGTGTATGATTACTCTGGCAGCACTAGTCATGTACGTGATGAGCTTTCGTGGCTTTCGAGCTGGTTGAGAAAAATAATAATTTCAAAGTCCGCTTGATGTAAGGGTGAGACCGAGACATCTTCAAGTTAAGCTTAACATCAACAACACATCAACTGGTGGACTATAACTTCCTCTCGTAAAGTTATAAAGCACATACTGTCTCCAGTTATAGGTCTAACATGTGTAGCTTCTACTATAACTGGAGACACTATATTATCTCAAAGATGGAGGTACGTCCCGCCGAGTGCCGTACTCCCAAAGTTCTTAGCAAGATATTGATTGTAGCATATGACTCGGGATTGTGCAGAGATTGCTAATTTCCGTGTTGATAGGCTGGGCCTCGAGGCCTTCGAAGTTTCAAGCTCAAGCCAGATGGTTGATGCACATCAGCAAACCGGTGAGCCACCGATATTCCCATATTTTGTACGCCGAAATGGTCTTTCCTATACATGACGTTATAAAACAATATAAAGCAATATAAAGTGATGTAGAGCAATATCTGAGTCTGAACTGAGTGTGAATTGGCGTGATTACATTGCTTTAGATTGCTATATATTACTTTGTATCGTAATTTACAGGAAAGAAGCATTGGGCTTGGAAAATACTACAAAATCTACTAATATCTGAGTCTCACCGGTTTACTGATGGCCAAGGTTGAGTAGCGACTCGAGTCCATGGCAGGTATAAATTTGAAGTTCGTAGCTTGTCGTGTCAGGGTACTCATTGCTCAAGGGTACACGCCACTGCCGTGACTGTGCATCAAGTACTTGGACTTCGGGAGTCACATCCATGCAGACCGAATGTCCAAATGTTTGGGTTTAGTACCTCTTCTTCCTAACAGGACGAGAAGTTCCAGATTCTACTCGCCGAGCCCAAGTTTGTTTTGGCAATTGCCACCAACGTCGTCTGGGCATGATGTAATTTGAGCTCAAATAACGTGCTGTCAATCTAGCTCGATTGTACGGATCTTGAAGTCGATGCTGAGCGCTGATGGTGGAGATGAACGAGGGTGTCCATGCATCGCCGCAGAAAAGACAGGACTAGATTGTGTTCTTTATCCTACCCTCTCAAACTCATATTATTATCATAGCAGTGCCCCTTCTTCCACGTGTACGTCGCCAATTTGATATTTGCCACAGACATCTCTCGCGTGGTCACTGCTCAAGCGACAATCAAAAGAGGCTCAATGGAACGGATGCAGGAATTCCAGTCTTCGAAGCCAAGTTGACCAAGGATCTACGGCTCGTGGTAGACGTAATTTTCAATACACACTGAGAAGAATTTTTCTCTTACAGTACCAGATTGATTGAATCCCTGACCAGGATGGAGAGGTATGTTATTCTTCCACAAAGACGTGTAAAGGATGCTGAAACTGATTCTTGATAGTCTGAGAGACAAGGTGCGCCGTCATGCATCAAGAGTGAACATCGTCTTCTTCATCACTCACGTGAATGCCAGCCATCAAAGTGTACGGGATCTACGAACACTCAGAGCTTGGGAGAATATCATGGAATGCCTTGAGCAACCATCTAGCATGCAAGGGGGCTGAATATCGCAGACGGTTGAGAACACCTCTCACCTATTGATGCAACCTACTGAATCATTGATCTATCAGATGCATCTTCCGCACCGAGGCAGCCGACAATGTTATTCTGCCAGCCTCATTCCCGTGGGGGGAACCTGAGCCAGAGATCCCAGCAAGCCCGCTGGATCTCAGTCCCGATGACATGGAACATGTTGAGTATTTGTATCCTTTAGCTTGACCGTGAGTGATCTATGGTGTGTGTAGCTTCACTCTTTGCTTGTGTAAGAATGAATATTTTGCGATCCGACGCACGATGATTAACTATTCTCTAGTCTAGAGAAACACGTAACTTATCTGTACAGTTCTTCGATAAGCAATGACCTGATAATGTCGCATCAGGCATTTTTGCGCAGTGAGTGACCGTGTACTTAACCAACCCGATTTCTCGTTCGTGCAAAAGGTCTTATCGCAAACCGAGACGTACACCATGTCTTCATGCTCTCATATGTCCTACCGCCTTGAAATGAGTCTGATGATTTGACATTACATCAGTCCTCAAGAACAGAAAGTGGTCGAATGCACCACGTCGTGCTATGTCTTGGGCCGCAGCGGCACAGGGTAAGTACCTTGTGCTCTTGATTGGTCGCTTATTTATATCACCACCAGAAAACCGACGACAATGCTGTTCAAGATCCTTAGCATTCAGCGAGCTTAGGAATCGAGCGGAATTGACATGCCCAAGCCACGTCAGATTTTTGTCACAAAATCTAGAATGCTGGTGAGAAAAGTTGAAGAATACTTCACGAGGCTTCTTGAATCCCTGGCATTGGCAGGTTCTACCCTGCAAGAACTCAAGGCACTAAGCATTCTGGATGATCTTGTTGATCATGATGACACTCCGGAGTCGCAGATGAATATACCAATGAGATACAGCCAACTCGAAGACAAACATTTCCTATTCGTGACTTTCGATCAAGTATGTCATCGTGTGTTTCACAGATCCTCTTGAAAGCTTATTTTGTCCAGCTGGCAAAGATGATCGCAGCAGATGTATTCGACATGGACGATCCTGAGACGAGACGTAGTGCTGAGCTATTCTTCAACACTGACGATGCGGGGGTGCACAATTTGTGTGTCACCTAGGATGTATTCAACAATCAATATTGGCCACATTTTTCACAGGGTCTCACCAAGAACCTCAGTAGTGCTGCTGCCTTTGCTGTCAGATCATGCACTCACGCGTCCTACCCAGATTCGTGGTTGGTTTTCAGTGAGTTTATGGGCAAGTGCAAGTCTGTATCCAACAACGCAGTTGCTGAACCTCTTCCCAGGACGCACCTCGGCAGCTTGCTACGTTCGAGGAATAGAGGACGTCAAAGCTGCTGATACCTATCTCGAGGCTCAAGAATTTGGTCTAGCTGCACAGAAATTTCACAAGGCTGGATCTTTTGATAGGATGCTCCATGTCCTCACTGACCACAGCAAATGATACCGGAGGAGACCGCGGTAGGCTTGTGGACTGCATGCTGGCTTTATTACTCCCGCAACAGCAACAATCCATAAGTGGCTGGATCTTTATGATGATTATGTTGAATGTCAATTTCACAGAGCCCCATTGCCTCTATTCTCCTCATCTGACGAGGAACTCAAGTTCCTGGAGGAATATGACTTGGACTATACTCGCGTTTCCTTTCTCAAGTCTCGAGGCTCGAGCTACGAGGTCGCAGAGCCAGACTTATCAGAGAACCGTCTCGTGGAAGCAGCTCAAGTACTCCCCAAGGACAACAGAAACGCTGAATCAGCTGCTCCCACAGTCGTCGCCCTTCTGGAATCCCTGTGGCGCAAATACTCATTCAGGATCACCAGAACTGCCGTTGCTGATGACTCAGTACAGCATTCTATCACTCTCACCAATCAGCTGCAGATGAGAAAACTGGAGCCTGTGACTTGTGACATGGTATTTATTATGCATTACTGAGACGGAGCGAGCAAACTGATCTGTACGCAGATCTTGATGTGTCAGAGCATCTTGGGGGAAGATAATGAGTCGTTGAAGAAGCTCGCGCTTGCCTTCCAGAAACATGATCATCCATCTGCCGTTCTCCATTGCCTGGATCACTTTTTCTCTCAAGTGACAGACATTCATTCTTTCAAAAGTCCATGAAATGGCAGGCTTTCTTGAAACTTTTCATACATATGCCCGACTTCTTTATCAAATCTCGACCATGCCTGACCCATTAGGGCGCGACGATGTACTCAGACTGTTTTCCATCGTGCCACTGTCGGGCAACGAGTTTCTCATACCGCGTGGGACATTCCTCCACGACAGCGCAACGGAAACTCCTTGGAACAACCACCTGGTCTCTGTGCATCAGTCTGGATACACGACCTCTCGTAGAAACGCCACCCAATTGGTCCATCCATTCATTCGAACTGTCTTGAAGGACAAAGTTTTGGCAGTCGATGAAATGTGCTGCAACGCTCCTGTCTTTTTGCAGTGCTTACCATATATTGTCTCTGGGACCTGTCGAAGAATGCCATGCCCCCAGGAACATGTCATGATGTTGAATTTGGGCCGCATGCAATACAACGCCCATGTCGCGATCCATCTACAGCAGATGCTCATCTTACAACTCTTGTATTCTGCGCATCCTCATACGAACCAATGGAAGAGGTGCGCCCACTGAGTAGTGTATGGCCGAAGTATATGCTGATATTTTTATTAGCATGAGAGACCGGATCGACCGCCTTTACGAGGCACTGAATCCGCCCTTGTTCATTCAAGGTTCCCTCACGGACCTCGATTTGACCCTCATTCCGCATGGTTCAGCTGGCCTGAGGATGGTGAAGAACTGGACTTGCGAGTTCTTTTATAAATTGGACCCGTTCCAGAGCCCATCCCTATTTTTGACGACGTTAATGAGAATCACCAGTCTCAGTTTTGCTTTTGACAGGAATGATGCTCCCACCTACATTGCTCAGGCAAAGTGTGTCACCCGAAATATGTCCACCGAGCTTCTTCGCAAAGCAGATAATCGTTACTTGGTGCTCGACATGTTCAATTTGTACCGAGGAGTTACTGAAGGCAGTATATCTTCGGGAATTCTGTATCTACAGTGAGCTCGCGCCTTGCGTTCATGTGTATGTGCTAAGTGCTCCCTAGGCATGTCCTCGACCACCGTTTAAGCGTCAATCTGTCTGTTCTATGTGACTACATCGAGGATATCCTCTCCTCTTTCATGATAAATCATAGAATGGATCCGAACCTTCCACTTGATGGGGTTGTTCTTCCATCCAACTGGTTGTTCTTCCCCTACAAGTTTTCTGTGAACAAATGCATCTGGCCAAGGTCAGTAGCAGTGCTCTTTGATGTGATAGGGAATCTTATAGAGATGTTGCACACGGATGCTGGCACAGGTAGAGTCCCTGCACACTTCGGAAACTGTCTATTGCTCACAATTCAGTAGAATTTCTCTGGCTTGCACATACATATGTTACACCGGTACTTCGCAGTATTTTCATATTCCGGCTGTAGGTCCAGTTTACCTGACCATTCACAACGATCCACTCACCCTACACATCCACAGTTGCAGGAGTCTCTGCCTTGGTGCATCTGCTTAAGCCCTTCATAATTCAACAACTCCTTATAATTTATTGTAACAGTCGCTCACAACACAAGGAACCTCATAATCAAGCGCAAAGTAAACTTGATTGTGCTTCATCTGCACATACATCCTCCGCCTTGGCACCCTGCATACTACCGAAAGCTCGTGGACGATGTAGTCCAGCATCTTGCACTCTTGTCAGGCAGAGGAATCCCTCGCTTAGATGGCTACCTGCGAGCTGTCCTTGCGTTCGATAACTGCAATGCCGCGAGTGATCTAGTCTACTTAGTCCACAAGATGACGCCCCAACCTACTCGAATCCCTTCGGTCCGACAACTGTTGTACGACAAGGCCAGTGAAATTCCCTGTCTTCTTTCTTCCCACACAGTCGCTGCGCAGTCTACTCCGAGGGTGGAGGTAGCTACCCTCGTGCCTCGCATGCAGCATCCCGAAGATGATGTAGAGATTCACCAAGACCAGAAGGAGAACTTGGAACCGACACCCCAGGAGTCCGATGGAGAGGGGGCAGAGGAGGAAGATGTCTCAGTGGATGTTGATACCGAGGCCACTGATGACACGGAAAACATGGAGCAGGAGGTTGCATCCCTTGACGCTTTGCTAGACGAGTTCCTTCACTCCAACAGGCTATCGGAAGAGCAAGAGAGCAAGATTCAGAATGTATATCGCCATTACCTTCGACATTTCTCGAGCCCTGCATTGGATGCAGAAACCGAGGCGATATTCATGACATGCCTGAAGGAGACGCAGTCCTCTGGATGGAGTCCAGGTGATTATCGCCTCCTTTTCCTTGGTCCATTCCCTCACGTTCTGGTGTGCCTGGAACGAGGCATCACTCTTACTTATGTTGCCAAAGAGAAGGCGAAACGCCTTCTCATCAAGGAGTCTCATGAAAAGCTTGAGGAGTTGGGCAAGCAAATAAGTGAGACCACGTCTGTCATAACTTAGCCAGCGTTGTGTGACGTCTACTATTTAGCGTGTGAAGGCTCGAAGTAGGCGGCACAATAGAAGAACATTATCGACTGATAGACGGTGTTAAAGTCTGGTATTCTGGGTACGATAAACGCTGCCATCATTCTATGACAGTATCCCGTATTTAAACTATAGTAAACGAAAGGCAGGGTTAAGGGTTCGGAGAAGATAGGAACGGGACGCGGATAAGTAATGAGTGCAAGCATATGATAAAGGTAAGATAGGACGTATCGGATCCTAGCAATGAAAGATAGGTAAGAAGTAGGGACAGAATAAATGATAGTCAGGGGAATAATTGACAGTCTTAGGAATGTGAAACAGCAACCGCCACTTAACGTATATGACAGCAACCGTTACATCTCCCCCTCCAGAGAGAGGTCACTCTCTCGTCCAAAGGTGAAGCTCGTTCAGTGGATCCTCACTCCACGGTGTTCATCTCGTCCTCGACGGGCGGCTGGGCGCTGCCCAATGCCTTGGTCCCTCTGGGGGCGCCAGTGCTAAGCGTGTTCCCCTTTGGGTTCCCAAACCCCTTTCTAAACATCTTGACCTGCTGCTTCTTGAAGAAGTTCTTGCTCTTCTTGTTCATCAAGCGGCACTCCTCCATCTTGTCCCTCTGATGAGCGGCAGAGAGGGCAGTGTGCCACACCATGCGGTCAACTTGGTCCATACGCGTAGCCGACAGAGTGATGTCTTCATCCTCGTCATCCAAGAGATTGCCCATCTCAATGGACGCGCCTTCGCACTTCACAAAGCCCTGGTTGTCAATGACAGAGGCAGTAGTGGTAAGCCCCTCATGATTGTAGGCGCGAGCGAAGTACTCATAGCCCAGAGGGCAGGCAGGGCGAGCCGACGGAGCCTTGTTACAAAGGGCATAGGAGTATAGGATAAACACCTTCAGTTGGCTGCGGGTGACGAGGCGGAGTTCATCCACGTCGTCAGGGTTGGTGATGATGAAGTCTTGGTCACGCTCGGTGAAGTTAACGAGGGGGGCGGAGTGTGTGGTTCTTGGTGAGTCATTGGAGTGAATGATAGATGGGGGATTTGGAGGAATGGGACGGGGTTTTATGCGTTGGTTGACCTCAAATGCGACCGCTCCTAGAGATATCGGCTGGTTGTCATTAGGGTTCATTCCTTGTCCATCTGTCAGTTCCGAAATTTCTGATATCCCGAGTAGATCGAAATATTCTGATAGCGTGTTCAGGTGCGTTACCTGGTCATATGGTAACCAGGTAATATCGCCTGCTTGCCACTGTACCTCAAAGGATGTGCCTTCCTGGGCCCCGTGTGCGATAGGATTCTGTCGACGGCCCACTCGGTGTCAGGCTCTCTGAAGTCCGCAATCTGGGTCTCCAGCCGTCCTGGAAACAGGCGGTCGTCGTTGGGCAAGTGAATGCACAGCAGGGAGGCATGGAACACGGGATGGACCCCTCGTTGTTTCAATCAATCAGGCAAGTCCACGAGGAAGGAGTTATTACTGTAGTCCCTTAACAGCTTGTATGGCCCTACATACTTGGGCAAGAGCTTCCGTGCTAGCCCCTTGGGGAAGGATATATTCTTTGTAGATAGGTACGCCAAATCGCCCGCATTGAAAGGGCAGAGCTGGCGCTTTCGGTTGGCGTTTCGAGTCTGCTTGACCCGGGCTTCGAGCATGGAGTTGTGGGCTCATATGAGTGACTCCTTCATCTTCTGAGAGTATGCTCGTACCCCTGGATATTCGTCCTGCTGGGGGTTATTCCAGACCATGGCACGTGGCATCCGCCCGTTATTGATGAAGAATGGTGACTGGGAAGTCAATTCCAACTGGGCAAGGTTTATCGCGAATTCAATGGCGGGTAAACGGGACACCCAATCCTTCTGGTTGGTGGAGATGCAGGACCTTAGCATTTGCGTGACAGTTCGGTTGGCCCGCTCAGTTGCCCCATCGGACTCGGGGTGGTAAGCGCTAGACATGCACTGCTCGATGCCTAGCAGTCTGTTGAGGTGAGTCCAGAACGTGCTGGTAAACAGGACATCTCGGTCGCTTACAATCGACCGAGGCAAACCGTGTAGCTTATACACCTCTGAAAATACCAGCTCAGCGATGTCCCGGGCATTGTAGTTAACGCGGCTGGGCACTAGATGAACCATTGACGTAAAATGGTCGATTATGACTGTTATCGAGTCGTATTCACCGTCACGGTCCTTAGACAGCGGAAGGGGTCCCATGAAGTCGATTCCAATGGACTCCCAGGGTCTTGAGGGTATGGTGAGTGGGTGAAGCATCCCATAGGGCCTCTGGTTGGAGGGCTTGCTCCTCTTGCATGTGTTGCACGAGTTACAGAAAGCGGTGATGTCACTTACTAAACTCTTCCACCACACATGGTCCCGAAGGTACGTCAGCGTCTTTGATGCTCCCAAGTGCGCCAGGAGTGAATGTGCTTGTGAGATAATTACCTCTTGAATGGCCCGATTGCTAACCCTCACGTTTGGTATGCATAACAGAGTTTTGTTATGCAGGCGCAGTTGGATCAAGCCATCTGTTATTTCAAAGTTTCGGTATTCTCCAGGCAAGTCCAAAATCCGTTTGAAGAACGGGTCCAGGTTGTATTGGTTTCTAATACTCTTGATCAGCTCACTGTCCTCTGGGTATCCCAGATGTGCGCTGTTCTCCAGTGGTATGTCGTTGTCATGCGTGGGCTCGTGCGCATTTACAAGGGTCTGGCCCATCACCTCCCCCTCCTTTCGTTCCACCGGGCCCTTCAGAGCGAAACGGGGTGCCACATGCCTGGCGAATTCCGCCGCTGCCTCAGGGTGACCAGTCTCCGCGGGTACCACCACGTGGGCTCACCTGGCGTGGCCAGCCCCAGGCGCAACACGGGGCTGGGCGGGCTGACCCTTGCCCTCGTCCTGGGGCACTGTGCCCTCAGACGTGAGTCCCTGACCGGGCTCCTGCGCCAAAGTCAGCTCCTTCTTAGACGCCAACCTGGTACTGCATCTGGACAGGACCACCAGCACCTCGGGTCCCACCAATACGGGCATCAAAATGAGCCCTGGCAACCTGCCCCGCTGCCCTTCCATCACCGAGTCATTGTGCTCTGTGAATTCACTGGGGGCGCAGACGGTACCAGGGGTGTCAAACGAGTAGAGATGGGACAGGGCGTTGGGGAGAATGTTGTCCTCCCCAGGTAAGTACTGAATTTCGAAGTCAAACTCACCCAACTTCTCGATCCAACAAGCTTGCTGCCCTGTTAAGTCCCGCTGGTGCAGCAAGTGAACCAGGCCCTTATGGTCGGTCAACCACGTGAACTTGGCGCCCTGTAGGATGTCACAATGCCTGAGCATCCCTTCAACACCCGCAAGCATCTCCTGCTCATGCACAGTATAGTTCTGCTGTGCAGGGTTGAGCTTTGTGCTATATAGCGCCGCCACTTTGGCAGAGCGCCAGTCCTCACCCTGGGCCACCACAGCCGCAATTCCCCGCCCACTGGTGTCAGTCATGAGCCAGATGGGAGGAGCGCCAGCGCTGTAGTCCAATGGTACACGATGGTGTCCCCTACAGTTGTTGACGTAGCGTTTGACCTCCTCAAACGCCTGTTGCTGGGTGAACTCCCAATGAAAAGGTACGGTGTCCCCCGTAATTTCGGACAGTACTCCCATCGGGACTCTGACATTGTGTATGTCATCAGCTAGGAAACCTACCGCCCCTAGAAAACTCCGCAGGGCATCGTGGTTGGTCGGTGTCTTCCAATTGACGATCCGGTCGACCTTGTCAGGATCCATGCGAATGCCTTCCTCGTTGATCACACGACCCAAGATTTTCAGCCGGGTGCAGAGGAATTGTAGTTTACCCTCACTTAGGTACAGTTTCTCTCATTCGAGGATCTTAAGCACCGTCCTGACATGCTCCATATGGTCATCCAGGCTATCTGAATAGACGATGATGTCATCCAGATAGATGTCCATCCAATTCCCAATGAATTCGCTGAAGAGGTGATTCATCAGTGCCTGGTAAGTCGCAGGGGCATTGCAGTCCCGCTGTTGCAACACTGTACTCACCATGTTCCCATCAGGTGTAGTGACAGTCGTTCGGTTGACGTACTCGGGCACGACGCGAATCTGTTCATATGCGTCCTGCCTGTCGATTATTGATCGAAACTTGCGCCTTGTGACCCGGCGCAGTATCCCATCGATGTCGGGCAAAGGTGACGACAGTTTTTTAGTGTTTTTATTACGCTCACGCAGGTCCATGACAGTGTGCAGCTTATTAGTGCCGGGCTTGCGGATAAACAGCATAGGCACTGCGTTTCCCGCTGTGGGTGAGGAAAATAGACTCTGTGTGGATCAGAAGTCTAACAAGGGTGCGAGGCTTATACTCGTCTCGAGGGGATTGCTACTGGGTAGCGAGTCCTCAAATAAGTGCGAGGAAACAAAGACTAGACTCTGTCTAGCGACCCGAAGGGTTCCAGTCCTTACTAGGACTGGGAGCACAAAGATGCAGAGGGTTCCCGACGAGAGGAATTCAGCGTGCGACGAGCGAACTACGCGCAATGAGCAGAACTACAGGGAACTAACGGAACTAACGCAGAGCAAACAGGACAAACAGGGAGCAAATGGAACTAATGGGGAACAAATGGAGGGAAAAAAAACTACGAGCCTGCAGGAGGATGATTGGGCAAAGTCGGACCAGGCTTGTGTCTGGTACTTGCTCCAAGTTGTCGGATCTGATGTCGGGCATTTCGAGCAGAACTCACGGGGGCGGGAAAGATGCAATGTGATCAGGAATAGATTCAGGAAGATATTTTAAACAGTGAGTGGAGTACTGGGAAGTACTCTGTAAGTGGAAGTGGAGTCGAGTCTATCAGAAGGTAAAAAACTAAGATCCCATCTATTGCTACCTATATAGGAAGGGGTTCTGAAATGCGATATGCTACAACCGGGTGAGGCTGTGAGATAAGGAATTGGTCCCGAGTAGCGGAAGGATCCGTATAAGTACTGTAACACATGGGAAATGAGATAGGAACATGTTAGTGACATGGGGAACGTAGCTAGTACTCACCAGCGAGGATGGAAGGACATGGACAGGACAGAGGAGGATGTTCCAAAGGCTGAAGGAATATAATGCATGTGGTACGCGATTGTTCCGCTGGGTTCCGCTTGGTTCCGCTGGGTTCCGTATAGCGGACGGGTCGGGGAAGATGCGGATGGGTGGTGGAACGCGCGGGAAAATGGTGGGAAGGCATGGGAAATATGCGGGATACGGGCCTACAGTGGGGACGTTCCCCACACCTGCGGGGGACTCAGATACTGACCGTCCCTGGTCAGCACTATAGTAATTGACGGACTTAGCAGGATTTCTTCTAAAAGAGTCACATGACATGGCTGTAATGGACTGAGTGGACGGAACGCAGCTGAGGAAGCATGATGATGATGATGTCGCGCGAAGAAGTTAATGGAACAATGCAACGGAATGCGATCGAAGAAGCTCGATGGGAATGATGTTGTGCGAGAAGTTAATGGAATGAAGGGTCAGAACGCGACCAAAGAAGTTTGATGGCAATGATGTCGTGCGGGACAGAGGAACGAAGGGTTGGAATGCGGCCTAAGAAGTCTGATGGTAATGCTGTCGCGCAGGATGATGGAATGATGGGCCGGAACGCGACCGAAGAACCGGCTCCTCAATGTAATGGGGAATGAAGGATAAACATGGGCGCTCCTTGGATCATCCACTTCTTTTTGTCAACTTTTCACCCCCAATCGCCCACTAAGTCCCCTCTCACAACTATGTCTTTTAGCTTTGCTGCCTTCACTCCTCCTGCACCCCTTGACTTGGGTAAGGATCGGATCCTCGCGGAATGGAAGGAACTGGAGGATAGGGTGATTGCTGAGGCAAAGTACATTCTGGATGGTAAGGAGGAGCTGCAGGAAGAATGGAGGATGTGGTGTGAATGTTGGGCCGATATTATGGTGAGTGATCTGTCTATTCCGTTTGATACGGAACGTTACCCCTCCACTTCTAGAGAGCGCTATCCAACTGCACTGACCGGGGCTGCGCCCAGAACGTCGTCCTTACGATGTCCGGTGAGGGCAAGGGCCGCTGGGCTTGGGGCCAATGAGCAGTACGAACGATGGACTCATGAACACGGTGCCCTCGAAGCGTGCATGAAGGATCGTGAGTCCTGTGAGGTGCAGATGGGTATTGACTCCCCCCCCGCGCGCCTGCACCGGATCCGCCCCTGCACAACCCCCTTCAACGGACGGAATGGGCAGGTCTGCATCCCTCGCCCCCCGGATCAACCATATGAAGATGGAGGTAGCTATCCCATCCAAGGTACGTCTATCCCGTCGTCTCGCGTTCAGTGCTAATCCGTCTTAGTCTGCTGTTGCTCAGAAGACCGTGACTCACGATCTGCCCTGCGCGCGTTGCGTCAAGGTCAGTAAGCCGTGCGTAGGTGAGGAGAAGCGGTCCTGTAATGGGTGCAACACGGTTCATCAGAAGTGTGAGTATGCTTCGTTTGGAAAGGCGATGGGTATGTGATATGGGTTCCGATTGTGTTCCGGATGGTGCTGACTGAGTGTACGGATAGGCCTTAAGGGCAAGGTATTGGATGCACCCACCCTCTCTGCTAGTGCTAGTGGATCCCTCCGCTGGACCGTCTCATCTCCCGGGTTGGCTGTTCTGTCTGGCAGTGAGCCGAAAATCGTCGAGGCCCCTGTGAAGCGTGCTACCCCGCAACATGCACAAGGCAGCGGAACCCAAGGGTAAGGGAAAGGGTAAGGTGAAGGAAGTTGTCCCTGCCACCCCTACAGTGGAGGAGTCGTCTGATGAAGTGTCGCACTATGAGAAGGGCAAGATCGCGAAGGTGGCAGCATGAGTTGCGCATCCTGAAGGGCCAGCTCATCAGCCTCTATGAGTCTGCCTACAAGATCTCCACTGAGGTGGGTCGCTTGGAGAGGTGTCTTGGGGGTCTCCTCTAGTTAGCGGATCTGCTCCCCTCCCATATATACAATGTCTTCGAATATCCGTTGTCATATTTTGTACAATGTATGCATTTTCTCGGTGTTCCATCTGGGTTCCGCATGGGTTCCGCATGGGATCCGTCCTGGTTCCGTCCGTGTCCCTATCCAGATCCTCACTGATGCTATGGGATAATGGGACTATAAGTAACATATAAGCGGTGTATGAGTTGGGAAGGAGAAATATAACACTGTGAGCCTGTGGACTACGCGTCCGACTTGTCTTCATCGATCCGCTTCATTCCTCTATTCCTTGCCCGCCGTCTGTGGATCCGACGGGCTTTGTCTATTATCGAACGGAACACTTGGGAACTACAAACGTGCATGGTGCAGCTTCATGCAGGAGAAGTAAAACGGGTCCTTGTGGTTTATGCGTGCACATATAGTCTAATCGGATCGAATGGCGAATATATAGTGGGAATCTGTAGATATGTAATTTCTTTCTTTTAGTATGCGGGGCGGATAGAGACGGAACAAAATGGAACAAGAGACGGATCACCGGACAAAAACCCGGGGTAAAACAGAGAGTAGTACTTCTATGATATATTTTTGTTTTGACGGTATTTTCTTTTCTTGGATATAGGATGCGATCGGGTCAGGGGATATTTACTGGTATGAGGGTCGGGTGGTATGGGGATGATGATCGTTATGCGCTGGGGTCGGGCTTGGGTTCTTCTTTGTCTGGCTCGTCGGCATCTCCTTCAGCCAACTGGTCTAATGCATCGTCCTCTAGTCCGGTGATAGTAGTAACGGGGATGCGGATCGCACTGCGGGGGTGGTATGGGAGTATGCGGAATGCTGCGTAATGAAGTTGTGATACGGACCCGTCCAGTTCCGCCAACAGGTACGATCCTCCCGTCGTCCTACGAAGGACTACCATCGGTCCTAGGTACCGGGGCTTCGTCTTCCGATTCAGCTCCGACTCAATCCGTGAGTTTTGGACTAGTACTAAACTACCCAGGAGGAAGTCGTAATCCTTGATAGAGGTGCGGAACCTCACTTCGAAGTCCTTGACGGACTGGTACCTCGCTTTGAGGACTTTACCCTTAATCGTGTCAAGGTCCTCCCAACGCTTCTGGAGTTGCGTTGCGCGCCATGCTATAAGTTCTGTGGATGAAATTGAGTCTTTCCCGGGCGGGGATACGAGATAAGTTGCTTCTGCGATATCAAATGGAAAGAGGGGCTCAACCCCATGTACCATGAAGTACGGGGATAGTACGGGGATAGTCCGGTGGACTTCTGGATAGTTACCCACTCCGCCCAGAATACAGAGTGCGCGGATTGGTACCAATGCGACTCATCCCCCTCGCAACTTTTCATGATGGCCTCCTGGACATTGTAGTGCCTATGCTCCATGATCCCATTCACCTGCGAGTTATAGGGGGAGATCTGGATATGATGGATCCCATACTGCTCGCGTAACGAGTCTACTGCTGCGATGAAAGGGGTTCCATTGTCAGTAATGATTTCTGCTAGAGGACCCCACCGGCAAAGAATGTCCTCGAAGATAAACGCGGCTAGCGTCTTTGTGGTTTCAGTGCGGAGCATCCTCCATTCCAGGTAGGAAGTCAATGCACAACGTGCTTGGACTATATGTGTATACCCGCCCGCTTTGGGCATCATCATGGTATCAAGGTGGGCCTTGCGGAACAGGCCCCCGGGTATCGGAATGGAGGGCGGGATATGTAACTTGCGGGTCTGGCGGATCTGGCATTCGTGACACGTCCGGAGGTACCACTTGACATCGTCGACCAGGGTAGGCCACCAAAAGCGTAGGAGAAGGCAGGTCCGGACAGTGAAGACACCCTTGTGCCTGAGGTCGTCATGCACCTCCTTTACTATCCGGTACCTCTTCCTTTCCAGAACCACTAATTGATGCCTCCCGTGGGGTTCCCGTCACCACATTGATCCTTTGAGAACGAAGAACCGGGATGCGGATGTCACAAATGATGTATATTCTGTATCTGATAAGGCCTCGGGTCATTCCCGGGTTTTGAGGTATAGGTGGAGGGAGTCGATTTTTGCATGCTTGGCATCCGCTTTTGCTGATTGCGGAAAGGATGGTTCTTCTTGTTGGGGGCCAACGATATCTAGGAATATGAGTAATGGGGATGCACCGCTGCTCGTAACAGTGGAACGATTCATATATGGGGCCCGGATGGGCTCGTGGTCAGTGGGCGGGACGGATGATATTGTGGGTAGAGTCCTATCATTGAGGAACTCGACCCTGAAGGAATACGCGCGGTCTAGCCAATCCTCGTGGTCATCATCCTCCATGGGATCCGCTTCAGCGGGCGGCCTCCTTGAGAGACCATCTACCCCTGCGTGCTTGACTGCAGGAACATGAACGAGCTCGAAGGAGAAGAGCAGGATACCCACAATCCATCGATTGATAATCGCATTGGGCTGAAGATCCGGATTATTGATCATACCTTTGATGTACTTTGCATTGACCTCTACAGTGAGGTTTGTGACCCTGAAAATGAATACCTGGACCGCCTGCAACGCGCGGAACAGTCCGTACAACTCGAGCTTGGCTTGTGAGTAGCAGGACTCGACTTCCGTCAGTGTGATGGATCCGAAACGATTCGGGTATCTTTTCTTATCCGCCCCTACCTGAAGCAGGATGTACCCGATAGCGATATTGGAGGTATCAACGGCTAGGATGACTTCCCGCCCACACTCATAGTTGATCCGACGCAGTGCGGGGGACTCTAATATCGAGTCCTTCAGGGTCTGCATGGCGAGTTGGTGTTCCGCTCCCCACTTGAATACGGTGTCCTTCTTCGTCAGGTTGATGAGCAGGCGGGCGATCTGGGAGAAGTTACGGATGAAGATCCAAAGCACCCCACAGGTTCCTAGGAACCCGTGGACCTGGGTTGCGGTCTTGCACTCTGGCCAGTCGCGGATCTTCTGGACCTTGGACTCTTCTGGGATGTGACCCTCGAAGGTGCACATGTGTCCCACAATTATCGTGGATGGAGCTGCTAGTATGAATTTCGATGCAGAAACCGTGACCCCGACGTTCTCGAGACGTTGGAGGATCCGATTGACGACCAGGCAGTGTTCCCATATGAAGCGACGGATCCCCGGGTTCCCGGGAATGGTTTCATAGGATCCATTGTCCCGTTGGTACCGGGTCTTAACTGATTTGACGGGCATGTCGTCGATGAAGGGGGAAGTATGGTCCGGGATTTCATCCTGGAGGGTGAATGTGCTATCACCTTGGTAGACTTGGACTGCGTTGGCATGTCCTTGTGGAAGGGTAGTGAGTCGATGGGGGCCGAGGGGTGTTCCGAAGGTAGTGAGATCCTGGGACTCCTCATGGAGGGGACGCTGGTCATAACCTGAGTAAAGGTCCATCATCCCATATACTGCGTACCCAGCAAATGATTCTGCGAGATGCTCGACGAACGGAGGGATGGATGCGTCGCGGATGGTTACTGCGTTCAGGGGTTGGAGGTCGTGCACAAGCCGCAATGACTTCCCATCCTTCTTCACGACGCAGAACTAGCGGGAACGGTATGCGGCTGTGGATGGCTCATATACACCTGAATCGATTTTCTCCTTGATGATGCAGATGACTTCCGTTAGGATTGCGGGAGGAATGGGGATGTTACGTTGAACCCATGGGATATGCGGAACTGTGGGGATTTTATATGCTGGAAAATAATCTTCGTTAAGGCGCCTGCGTTCCGCAGCGCCCCAAGCAAATGCCAGTTCATGGGTGCAGACTAGCCAACGGATCAGTTTGAGTTCCTTCGGCCATAACCAATTGGCCGGATCAAGGTCTAATGCTCCCATCCGCTCTTCCGTATAGCGGACCCCCGGAACAAAATCAGGGGGGAATATGGGTAATTCAGGCATGCCTGCTAATGGATCGTCTGGGAGCCGACGCATGACCCTAAATTCTTTGGGCATCGTGGTGGGCACTGTCTGCACTTTCTTCGCAACTGGTTTATACACCAGCGCATGACGGGCGGGATCATAGGAATAAATGGAATTGAACGCATCAACGGCTGCGGGATTGAACACGGACTGGGTCGACGTGAGATATGAATACTTCTCAGAATGCGGACTTGCGGATTCATAGGAATATGCACGGACGGATGAGCTCCTTGAGAGTGACGGACGGATGGAACTGATGGGACGGACAGAACAAGAATGAAATGGAGATGGGGAAAGTGGACGCGTAACTTCGACTATCAGATTTGAATCTCCCCGTGGGTCTAGCGGCTCATCAAAAATCAAAAATCCCGCTCCCCTCCCTTGGGATGCTCGGAACAGTGCTGTCCGGAACCACAGCGTGCGCAGGGCTTAGACCATGCGCGGGTCGGAAGCTTGATCTCACAGCTCGTGTTAGGGTCAGTAAGTGTTACGTCCTGTTCCCCACTGAGGAGATCCGTAGTACAGCAACTCGTCAACTTGAAGAACGGACGACCCAACAGGACCTCGAAGTTAGCCCGCTCAACGACTTGGACTTGGAAAAACATTTCCCCTGCCCCAAAATTGAAGGACAAGTTCTCGATGACGCCTAGGGTAGCGTCCTTTGAAGTATTGACAGACTCCATGGTGGTCTGATGGTCGGAACGAAGGGGTACGCCTAGTGCCTGCCAAACGGACCAGGGCATGACAATGACTTCCGCTCCCTGGTCCAGGACACAGGTGAGGGCCCGCTTCCCATGGACGGTCGCTTTGATGCATCGCAGGGGCTCAAAGTGCTCGCCTACTACATGTCCCTGGTTGTCGCGGGTGACATAGTCCTCGAATCCCCTGACAAACTCCTCATTTTCCAGGCGACTAGTGAGCCCGTTTACAAGGACGGTCCTGTTTGTCACCCATCGCGTGGTAGTAAGAT